AATCCGGTGGATCCTTCGATGTCGACTACACCGTCACTGCACCGGGCGGCAAGATCGTCCTAGACGGAACAAAGGAGCGCCAGGGTGATTTCGTCTTCACTGCCCAGAGTGTTGGCGAGTACACCTTTTGCTTCAACAACGAGATGTCGACTTTCGCCGAGAAGATGGTCGATTTCGAGATTGCGGTATGCCACAATCCCCATCCCCACAACAAACCAGACCCTTCGGCAGTCTTCGAGTCTATGAAACAGAGAAAATGGAAATACGTCAGCAGATACTAATCCATCGCAAATCCAGGTTGAGAATGAACAGCGCGCCCAACTGCCCTCCCGCCAAGGCGCCAGCCCCGAACAAACCACCAGCCTGGAGGAATCCATCTACAAGCTCTCCGCTCAGCTGTCAACCGTCTCCCGCAACCAGAAGTACTTCCGCACGCGCGAGAACCGTAACTTTAGTACCGTGCGGAGTACCGAGCGCCGTATCTTCAACTTCAGCGTTATTGAGTCTTTGATGATGGTTTCCATGGCGGCGTTGCAGGTCTTTGTTGTACGCTTCTTCTTCCAGGGTGCCCGGAAAGGTATGTTCATTTCCCATTCAGTTGGCTTCCAGTCAGGTATATGGATAAAGGGTTCGTAATAACATTTCTTTAGGTTATGTGTGATGTGAGCATGAGTAATAATATGATGCATTTACTACAATTATGTCTGGCGTGGCCTTGTGTCTGTTTTCTTTTTCCATCGCTACGATCTATTAGGTGTCTTTGTCCATTTGGACTAAAAAACAGGAAATTATACTCGATATGACAGCTACTTTCCCGACTTCCCGTTTGCTGTCGATCTTCTGGGTTTGCCCTGCTTGTTATTGACAGGAGGCCGCCCCCGAGGGCTGTGTCGGAGGACGAACAACGTACTGTAGTTGACATCGAGACAGGTTGATCAAGGGTTGGATCGAGGGTTGATCGATGCAGGCTGGTTGTGGTAGCAATGCATTCCCTTGCTGTGGAGTTAAGTGTGAGTGGAGCCACTTACTGATAAGCATCTTTACAGACAATCAGTCGACGCTGGATCTGGGGAACAGGTGTATCTGAGGGACTGGGGATGCTCAATGCTCATTCTTGTCAGAAACCTGTTTCTGGCAGGATGGGAGATGATGGAGCCCTCCGGTTGGAGGATGTCATGGTCTGTCTCTGAGTCGAGACCGAGTATCCAGGGCGACGGCTCCAAGTCTATGGACAAGACCGGTTTCTTGCGTCGAGTCAACTTGTCTTCTGCGGAGATGTTAGTGTCTCCTAAGTCTGTCCACCGTGAGTGCAGTCGTGGGATGCTTGATGCTCAATGCTCACTAGGATAGAACCGGTTTATGTTCGAAAGAAAGTGAATGACGAGGAGGCGGAACAGTCCATCCCGGAGTCGAGACCGAAGAACCAGCTCAAAATGGTTGGGATACAGAGGAGAAAAGCGGGTTTCTTGCGTCAAATTGACGTTGTGCTCTTCAGATATGGTGCCGGTCCCTCACCGATGTCCCCTGATTCTGACTGCCATGATACATGTGCACTCACCGTAGTTTGATGCTGGAGACCAAGACGAGCGGGAACGTTTGATATTCGGAAGGATACGGACGGAACCGGTTTATTCGAGGATAATTCCCCAGTGAGGCAAGCAGGCGAGAGAACCCATCTCCAGGTCGAGACCAAAGAGCCAGACCAGAATGGTCGACATACCGATACGAAAAAGCAGGTTTTCTACGTCACGTCGATGTTGTCCTCTCCAACAATGATCACTACCACCTCAATTTGTCCATTGTGATGCCTGTGCCTTCACTGCCGTTGGATACTAATGACCAACAAGCGGGGATAGGCGATGCTAGCAAGAACGGAACCCTTTGTGTCCGAGAAATTCTCTGATGAGGAGGCGAGAGTGTCCATCGATGAGTCGAGACCGAAGGATCGGGTCGAGAGGAGGTAGAGAAGGTGAGGTGTCGATGTAACAGCGGATTACTTGCGTCAGGTCGACCTTGTCGTCCTGAGTGATCAAATATGATGCCTGAAGGTTGCAAGCGTGAGTAGCGTATGTCTTGAAAAATCGGTGAACTCCAGTGCATTGACTGCTGATGCGATCAATCCGAGACCGATATCTGATCCAAAAAAACAGGTTTTTTTTTTTTTTGGCTGCTCAGGTACTCTGGCCGACATTCGGGGGCCATCCGACCCCTGGCTCAATTGCTGGGAAGACACGAGCAGCCTGTGACACGAAACAGTGCTCGCGAGTATAATACGGTATGGTTTTGCTTCAACGTTCGGGGTGATCAATCTCTACCGGTGATCTCATATGCTATCCGAAAAGGCAGTGATATCATCTAATATGGGATGAGAGACCAGCCTCAACGTGATAAAATGTGTTGATCGGCATGCATTTTGCCTTTTGGGCATTCTGGCGTTTCTCATAAGCATATGGGTCATGCTAGGGGTGGTCCGTTTTCACACGTAACCGAGATATAGTGAAGAAAGTGGGCTGTTCTAAGGACTAAGATTGGTCAATACGCTAATGTATAGACAACTCAGCACGTTGAGGTGTCTCGTGTCTCGTGTCTTTGTCTGATGGAACTTCGGGTATGCAGTTGATCAGCTCTATGCGGTCATCTCATCTTTGTGATCCGACCCTACATGATATGGTTCAAGCCCCATCGGCTCCACAAGTTCCTTTCTACTTACGACATAGTACAGAATTGCGCCGACTCTGATATCACATGGCATCATAACCTCCATTTTGCAATCTGTTCATACGAGAGTATACAGACTGCGGCGGATAACCCTTTAGCATATGACGAAACAGTTCACTGATGCTGTTCTAGACCCCAGCTGGGATATACGGGTTCCTCCTGATGACCCAAGAAAAAATTCTCTCAAAAATACGGAAAATTAGTTAGCGGATGGATGATATCCCGGAGATTACTCTGACGTGGTTGTGTTTCCCCCGGATGAGACATCCCTTGTGTCACAGGTATACGGATCTCAATTGCTATCATAATTGGTAGCTCCCGATCCCCACGGTGATATGGTGATGGGTATCTCGAGGCCATCGCAGTCATGCCGATCGGCAATTCGCCTCCCCCGCTGGCCATCAACCTCCATCCAGGGATTTGGGATGCAAATGATCTTCTCAGACCCCGTTCTATGCAAACACCCCTGTCACTCGCACGCTGCATCCTACTGATTCTTCCAACCAATTGGTTGTTTCCGCTGGGTCACTGGCTTTGGACTGTCTTCGGGTTGAAGCTTGCATACATTGTACTCCATAGTGAGGATTGTGATCTCAACTGACGTGTGGCACGTTGTGCTGATATGTTAATATACTGTCCTATGATATCAAATCTCATCTAATGTACCCGTTACACGTGCATGAGTATCACTGTAATAGAACTAATCCAATATGCGAAGTATATCGGCAGTATAGTCAAGGCGGTATCTGACTTCAGCGCTAAGAGGCAAGTCCCTCCATGGATTGCCCTCTCTTTGCTGTCTTTTCCGCAGTTCAATGAGAGCCGTCCTTAGTATACGGTAACCTCCACTATGACTGTCTCCACTGTTTTGTATAGGTCTCTTCGCTTTTGCTCATGGGGCTCAAGCTTCATTCTCCGCAAGTCCCACTTTTGATAGCATTCACCAAATCAATTTGAGGTTGTTTTGATTTCTTCCGTTTTCATATTCGGGGTCATGGTCCCGATGAGGCGACAAAGCATCAAATGCTCGGATCGCCCCGATGCCTGGAGGGTATGACGTCGCGGGCTCCATTCGTGAGCCTCACACAACCTTCTTGCGCCACAGGCGCTGGACTGCGTCACATATCATGCAAACCTCTATCTGTAGAATGCACGTCAACTCGACTACTATACGTGTATTTTATTTGGACCAGTCGAGCCCTCTATACCCCCACGGAAGAACAGTGTGTTTTCCACTGATTCGGCGCCAATTCACCGAGGATGTCCGCATTGTTTCCGTTTGGCCAAAGAAGAAAGTTTCTGCAATGCAGAATGCACCGCACTGTTCAAAAGCAAAGACCATGATAGTCATCAAATGTGAATTATTTGGGAAACGTCAGGGCGAAGATCTGCAGGGGACCAGACTTCAATGATGCCGATCCCAGAACGCCTCCGACACTCAGTGGTCCATCTGCATTCCCCAGTGACCTCATCGGTGCACTCTGACCCATCCACCGTGGGCCCAGCTCGAGATATCGTCGGGTGTTCACCAGTCTCCATGAGCATGTGGAGCTGGGCTATTTCATAACGTTCGCTGATGATGGTATACCCCCACAGGCCGTCGAGAGTCACCTTTACCGATCTCCAAGGGCTGGGGGAAGCCCGATTCTGTTATGATGTAGGGGTATTATCCCCTTTCAGCCAATGATGTCACCATACTCCGCTCGCTGTAATCGGTGGAGTTCTCTATTCGAATTTCCCATGGATGCTTTCAGGAGAAATTAAGCAGCCTATAGACGTATCAGAGGTCCTACACAGCTGCCTTTCGCTCCTTCGATCAACCGATGAGATTTCATCCTCCCTTGTGGAACCGCTGTGTCTTATATATGACCCTTGCTCGCAAATTGGCTTCGGATTTAACCCATCTCTTCCCTTGTCTCCTCTGATTCGCCCCCATACCACACACACTTTTACAGTATTCTGGTCCGTACCGTTGAATATTCAGGTCAACCTTAGCCAACCGTGATCATTCTTCTTCACATCTTCCTCTATCTTCAGTCAAGTCGTTTGACAAAACCAAGAATACAAAGGTGAGCGTGCTATTTGCACCCGAAACATTACGACTGTGGATTTTGTCAACAATGCACCCATAAAAACCTTTTCGCACCCCGCGATCGCCCTCTGTCGGCCTCATCTTTGCTTTTCTCGGAATCCACGTCACCGGCGGCGCATGCTGTTAACCTAGTGCCCAGCCCTTGCGAGCAACTTATGCTGATTCTATGATTTATTAGACATTTCCCACCATGAATCAAGCTCAGATGCAGCGCACTGATAACATGAACATGTTTAACTCTGGCTCGGGTGGAATGAACAATCCGTCCAACGAGACCATGATCGACTCTTACCAGCCTCTGGACCCTGCCAGCGCTTCGCTGGGCGACTATAACCGGTCCATGCTGCAGTACACTCAGCGCCAGATGTCTACCTTTGTTGACACCGATGACTCTCACCGCAGCAAAGGTTCTAGCAGCCGCAGTAGTCAGAGCAGCGGCCAAAGTGGTCGCAGTGGTACCTCCGGACTCGCTCGCCAGGCTAATGGGCCTCCAACATCTGTCAAGCATGCTGCTCACATCGCTGAGAACAAGGTCTCTGGCCGCGACATGGCTGCCAATTCCGAATTTTAGGTCTGCGCCAGACTAAAAAAGTATCTGTTTGTCTTTGTTCAAAGATTTGAGCATTGCTAACTATTATCCAGCCTCATCACAATATTCTCTAAAGTTTTTGGATGCCCCATTGACGAAGGTGGTTCATTAGAACCATCGACTGGCTATGTTTCCGTCAATATTCCCTGCCAGGCACTGTTTTCTACGGAGTTTATGAAAGTCGCACGGGAGAGCGTGCGCTTGAACGATGAAGCGAATTCCCGGGTTTGATATTGTTGTCCCCAGCGCCAGTCGGGGATCTGCAAATTGTCAATTCCCTTTACCCATGCCCCCTTTCCTTTTTGCCCACGTTCACCTTGCATAGCTTTTTTTTTTTTTTTTTTCCCTGGATGCCTATTGATCCCCGCCCAGCGTTCTACCTCCGACTCTATGATCGGAGCCTAGTCGCACATGGTTTATTGCGAGTGTGCATTAACCCTAGGACCCTGGTCGTGAATCATTGCTTCCATTCCCCCATTCCCCATTCCACCCCCAGAGACCCAACACCACCCTGATGAGTTAAGACTCACTGGTATGGGTCTGTGCTCTCTTCTCTTCTTGTCATTCACTTGGCTTTGTCATTTATGACTGTGTCGGTGTCCCTTGTCGGACTTGTGATCAGTCAAAACAGATATTTCATTCACACCATCAACCCTAGGGGCTTGGGTGTACGATCAAATCTTTCTTTTGCCTGCTATTACTCCGTGAAGAAATACTGGCTAGTACACGACTGTATTTGTACCCTTGGCAGTGAGCGAGCGATTTCTTCTTTCTGGTTTTGTTTTTCGTTTCTGCTTTTGTGATATTCCCTTTTATTGAGCAGCACAATTCCTGAGTCGAGGACACTGGCTGTTCCTCGGGAGAAAATACCCTGTTACGATGTGATATCCCCTTGTTTCGATCAAATCATGCTGGCCATTCATGACCTGTACAATTACGAGCGATATATTTGGAGTATTTGCTTTTCTTTTCTCTTCTTTTTCTTTTCCTTTTCCTTTTCCTTGATTTACGCACGCTCGCTACGCCGTAGATCGTAGCTTCCTAGGACATTTAGCACTAACATCTATATAGAGTGATAAACGAAGTCTATATATAAACACACCTCCAAGTGAAGCTCATGTGCCTGTTGTTGAAACGACATATCGATTGATGTCCTCCCAATGTACCATATTAGTGCAACAAGACGGCTCCAACCACCTCCAAAAGTTCAATCCCGCCTAACTCTCGCGTCTCAAGACAGTCCACACCCTGGCGGCCGAAATCCAAGGAACATACAGCTGCAACTGGGCTGGTGAAATTCTCGAGAATCCGCCCCCCAAATGCAACCTACAGCTACATCTCAGCGACCATCACAGCCCCAACCCCAATACCGACTGACGCAACCACATACCAAGCAGCATTGGCATGGGCCGGCATTGATGGGAGCACGTACACAGCTGCTATATTGCAACTGGGGTGGACTTTTATGTGGTTGATGGGGAGCCGTATACAGATGTGTGGTATGAGTGGTACCCGAACTTTGCGACGTATTATGATGAGTTTGTGGTAAACTCCGGAGATGTGATTGTCGTCTCGGTCAGTGTTACGGCGCATGCGGTATATGCTGATGAGGTTCAATAGGAAAGCTACGTTCTATGAGGTAGTGCAAGATGAGTTGGTAACGGCTGGTATTGTTATTGTGAGTGAGGAAGAAATAGTTGTTACGCGTTCCTGACAGCAACCGATTGGAATTTGGGTTTATGTTATTGTATGATTTGGGAAAGCACTATATCTATATCTTTGTCTTGGAGTATCTATAAGCACTGGAAGGCCGGAAATAAGATACCATATGTGCAGAGGCCAAACCCTTGCCTAGTTGCCATACAGGATGCTTGACGCATGAGAATATGTAGAGGACGGCTTCAGTATAGAATGTATCTATATATACATGTAGTTCGCCTGCAGCAACCTGACTTTAGCATTCGATATATTTCTACACACATGTTAATTTAAATTTACACCAAGGACACGACGATATCAATCCTGCTGTACTTGTGTGGTGAACTTTCCTACTAGATATCTATCTATTGATCGAACACCTTTCTTCCATTGAGTGCTAGTACTATAGTAATTATGTCAGGAAAAACGGGATACATCAATCATCCCTGATTATTAGCGCCGAAACCTAGTGCGTTGACTCTGTAATTTAGAGGTTAGTGGTCGTGAAGTAAATCAAAATTCCGACGGATTTCTCATATAGTTCTACCATTTGTATAGACAGCAATGCTATCGACGAGTAAAATCCGACATCGGAATATTCTCTATTCTCTGCAATAGAACTCTCTCCATCGCCATGCATATACCATAGTACCATGTGGTGTGCGCGATGAGTTCGATTGTTGAAGGGATGACACAGCGTTGGAAATCCCAGCACGGATAAGCGTGTTTTTACGAGGATGCGGTACACTGAGCAAGGATGAATGCGCTCCCTGATGACAATTTTGATGTTCAATGGATGTGAAGGCATTGCTATAACTCTTTGTTGATCCTCATAGCCCAGTGGAAATTGGTCTATCGTACCTCCCTGCGGCACTTATTGATCACCCATGACTATTGAGCTCTACGACAACACTATCACTCTTTTCTGTGAACTAAGTTATACTCGATTGACTTCCTATAACTATGTCGCCAAGATGAACATCTCAGGTGTGGAGAACTCGCGTTCCTGACACCCCTTGCATACCTTCGGAGATTCCGACGCTCGACCAAGCAACTTTGCTTTTTTGGCTCATTGAGCATAAGAATGAAATGACATAGGCTTTCTGATGCAAAAAGTCCGCAGATTTTGACCCTTGACTTAGATATCCCAAACATGAAGATCGTGTATATATCATTGCCATCATGCGCAACGAACTGGATAAAGAGCAACACAGCAAACCAAAACGCACATACCGGAGTAAAGCCACGCAACAAACCCAGTTCAAGAAATACCGACCATGGACATTCCTAATGATTCAATCCCACAACGAATCAAGGCCATATCGTGCCTTTCCAAGCAGAGGGATGAAACCTCTGGAATCCCAGGATTCAAACTAACCAACCACAATCTTCCAAGGGAGCGAAAAAGAAAACAGGATCGTCCACTATGTACACGAGCTGGCAACGCTGGCCACAGTAGCACATACATCGGCAGCCAACAATTGTCTCTCTTTTTCTCCCCATCGACACAACTCCCGGCTTTCTCGACAACCTCGTGCGACAACCACCCGGCCCAGCTCTAGTCATTCTTTCAGGTCTCATTATAGAGGCCTACACATGCCAAACCACACTCTTTTAATACATTGCCTCCAGGCTCGACCTTATTAGGGTCACACCCGCAACACCACGCGGCGCGCCAGGTCGCCTTTCTATACCTCAGCCATTCTCTACCGATACAAATTCCACAGTCAGCAGCTTCTACAAAGATAATCAAGCCAAAGACAAGACCAGCCAAACACCAAGAGCGAGCTTTATAAAGGAGGAACGAAGATAACAACAATCATGCATCTAATCACCCTCGTCACATCCCTCACCGTGCTCGCCGTCACCACCGCCGTCCCAATGGCGAGTTCAACTTCATCTCCAACACCAACAAGCGCCGTGCCATCTCTCTCTTCACCTTCGCACTCCGGTTCGGCATCTGCTTCGGCATCCGCTTCCCCTTCTGCTTCGCCGAATCCCTTCGAGGCTTATTCCTGCCCCAAGGGGAAGTATAAGAACTGCTGCATGGGTGTTGAGCAGGCGTCTCATGATATCCTTAAGCCGCTGGGCGATATTGTTCCTATGGTTGGTGGATTGCAGGTTAGCTCGGCTATTGCTTACCAGTGTATGTTTTCTTTCCTCTGGTAGGAGACTGAAGGTTCAGCAGCATGGATATATTGGATCTGCTGGATTGAGAGTCGTCGCTAAAATTTTGGTTTTGGTATAGGCAAGCCGATGAGCGCGGAGGAGCCGCCATATTCTTGCTCTGGACACGGGCGTTCTCCTATGTGCTGTGACAGCAAGGACAATGTAAGTCCATCTCATCCTCTCCCTTTCATTTCTCATTTCTTGTGCATGATAATACTACGAAGAGGGAGAATCTACTCTAATATATATTTTTACTTATTCAAGGGCCTTATCGAAGCCTGCAAGCCTTTTGAAAAGGTCAAGCAGGACTATTACTCCCACAGAATGCATCTCCCCGAAACCCAGGCCGACATCATCATGGACGCTGTTACCTAAGGCTAGGTACCCAGTGACTGTCACCAAGACCTGGCGTTTTGCGACATGGACTGCAAATGAGGATGAGGATGAAATAAGGATTTAGATGTACTTTTTTGTATACTGGGGATAACTTGTGGCGTGAGGAGATACAAGATTGGAGATAGGGAGATTCTTTTGTTTCATTTTCTTTCTTTACTTGATATTACTTGGAGACTTTACTTGTGATACTTTTTCTAGATTTAGGATTTCGATGTGTAATGTGTACAACGTCCATTTCTATTGCGTTGTTGTGCTATTTGATCCCTTGATTATATAGGAGCTAAAGAGCAAGGGTTCTATAAAGATGATGAAACATATACCGTATAGCCGCTCCTGTATTAACACCTAGTGTCACCCATAGGCCCGCCAGGCCCAGATATCCGAACTGTCCTGGCCAGAGATGGATGGCTAAATCGATGCTCCAGTAGAGGAAAAGGCCTATAACCTGGCAGATGATACCAAATAAAGCAATGAAGCAGAAGGGAACTTTGAATCGTCCTGCCAGAATGGAGCAACCCATGATGCCAACAGGGCAGGCCAGTGCAGTGGATACTTAAGATTAACATTCTGCAGGGAGCAATAATGAACGAGCATGCCGTGAAAATAAGAATTGCTGATATATTCGACGATCGAGATTCGTGACAGTGTTAATGGAAATGTCGGCTCAAGATAAGGTGTTTGGGAATGAGGACATCGTCGCACATTAATTAAATTCACATCTTAACGCTAATCTTCCTTAGGAACTAACTTGCATGTATCATGCTCATGTCCTTATGTCAAGTGGATATGGCTGGCCATTTGTCTACAATGAAGTTTTTAAGATGCACTTCCACATACCTCTTTTAAAAGATTTCATGCAAGTTTCATTCATCTGTCTCTTGATACATGGTAATTGTGCCACACTCAGCGCCAACCCCGTCCACCTTGGGGAGGAGGACCCCATGGGTCACCGTGCTGACCACCCGAATAAGGTGGAGGGAAATGATAATGACCAGGTGGTATAGGCTGACCCTGTCCTGGTGGCATATGCGGGGGAGGAGCATTGAACGGAGGAGGGAAGGCTGAGGGAGGAGCTCCGGAACCAGGTGGGGCATAGGGCATGGCCGGCATGTGTGGGGGAGGTGGAGGCCAGGCACCGTAGTTCGGCGGGGGCGGGGGAACAAAGCCGCTATTAGGACCCATGGATGGGTGGGCATATTGACCATGTCCACTTGGATTATGTGGAGGGGGAAGGAACTCATAGGTGCAGTATGGTGTTGAGGTTGTTGAGGTTGATGGGGCTGGTGAGGGGGCGGGAAATGTGAAGGGGACGGTTCGTGAGGTGTGTATGAGCTTTCCCGACTGCGTGAGCGTCTTGGTGAGCGGCTTCTTTCACGCGAGTCAAAGCGACGCCTGACTGATCGCGAACGGGAGCGGCTCGGTGTCCTTGACTCGGAGCGACTGTCACTGTAGCGCCGGCGCTTGATATTAGTTCGTGTCCCACTACGACTCCTGCTTCGACTGCGAGAATCCTCGGGCTCTCCCCTCTTCATTTGTTGACAGAACGCACGAGACCATCCATAATAGGTTTCACCCTCCAAAATGTCTCCTGTGATTTCATCCCGGAGGACTGACTGGCCAAGCTCGTCGATGTCCGCATCCCCGTCATCCTTGATGAGGTCGTCCGTGCCATAGATCTTGTCCACTTGACACAAGAAGCCTTTGAGAGCTTTCACCAGTGTTCCATCTGCAGGTCCTGCCTGCAGGTGTAGTGGTTTGATACCATCTGGTCGGAGGGGAATGGACGAGTTCGGAATGATGTGAGGGATGAGGTTGCCCGCAGGGAGATCATAAAAGGGCGTCGATGAATCTCCATGGGTAGATGGCATGACAAAAGGAACATCTTTCCCGGGTTTCTTGGCTTGGTCTGCTTCGCCGGCACCATCAGTGGATGGTGGGGCGCCCAAGGTGGCCGAGTTAATTATCACTTCCCGAAGCTTCCCAACAAGCTCGGAATTAAAGTATCCGTGCTCGGACCAGATATCAAGCAGATCATCTAGCCGCTGGTGGTGCCGGGGGTACTTCTGGCGATCGCAGGCGGCGGCATGGCCAACCAAGTCCACGATATGTGGCTGCAAGGACCCGCTCACCGTGGAGAAGGTTGCAGTGGCGCCTAGGTGGTACTTGCAGTGGTGAAACAGATCATTGAGCAAATAGAGTATGTGGAGTCGTCGACGCTTCGGTGTGGTGTGTTGAGCGGGCTGTGGTTCGAAGGAGGTAGCTAGAGCTACCAGGAACTTGGCCAATCCCCCAACACGGTTAGATGAAGCAGCAACATATCGAAGCAACCATGCTTTGCAGGTCTGAGGTGACTGTGATTTAGTAACTGGGACGTGAGAGGCATGTGCAACGAGTCAGACCTGGATGTTTTCCGTAGAACAGTGCGACAGCACGCGTTCGAGGAGGGTGTGGAAGGCGGTTATCTCATCTCGAGGCACGGAGGTCGGATCCGGGCGTAGCAGGCCCGCCGAGAATGAGGCCTTTGCAATGGCGATCTGATGGGACGCCATGGCTGAAACCTGGAGAAGGGGAGATTCATGATTCTCTCCAATTCTGTTATCGCAGCTCCTATCACACGTGACCGCGGTTAGCGCGATGCAGTAGATAAGTGAGTAGAGTAGATGTAGATTACATTTTGGTACCTTATGTTATGCCATTAATTAGTAGCTATTTGATGTTATTTGATGTTACACGATGACACCTGAATGCCTGAATGTCTGATACCAGCACACACGCGAGAGTTGTCCAAATCAGGAGATCCAGATAAGATGATCTATACAGTGTAACCCACGTTGCCACTTCCCCACCGGATATCAACGAGCCGTCATCATACTTCTCTGATTCGGAACTTCATTTCCGCTCTCGTTTCATGCGGTGAAACCCAAACCCTCTACTGCGTGTGGACCGTCGCCCACACTATGATCCACGCCCCCTTGCGACTTGGGACCCCGCGATGGCGTGAGGACTTGCCGACAGTCCGATCCGAGTGTCCTGTACATGTAGATCAGCCTGAAGCGTCTGATCACGGATAGATATTTAACAGCGAGAATCAGGCCATGCTTTAGCGCCCCCGCATGTCCCCCACAGTCGGATCACTTTGCATGGCCTGATGTTGCTTATAAAAGCCTCATAGTTCCCCCTTTAGTTGGTTCCCGTAAACTTTAACTATTTCTATGCTCCCTGCTCTCAACATTACTCTACTCTTTCCTCTCAAGTCTACCTCTCAAGTCTACCGCAATTCTACTCTACCACCACTTTACTCTCTAGACCCCACTCTACAAGTGATCGACATCATGGCCACTATCGCTCAGCTCGCCCGCCCCTCCATCCGCCACTTTTCAGCCCACCGTCGTCGTCCTGATTCTCGCGCTGCACGCGCCATCAGCCTGGGTTGCATTGTGTCTGGCGTGGTCCTGCCCTTCGTGCCACCCGCCCTGGAGAGTTCGCGCCAGCGAAACTCGGGTCTTTCTACTGGGAACAAGTGAGTTTCAACTGAACGTTGTATTATTGTGAGCTTATGTGGAGATCGTTATTAACATCGGAACGCAGGAACCCCCACTCTGCTTCCACGCCAGATAGATGCCTTGCGCTGGAACCTCTCGCACCTCGGGGAGCTGCTCGGTGCAGGCGCTGATGCAGCGGCCCGGCTTGTGAGATGATGCATGATGCCCGTGGAGTTTAGGGATGGCGTTATGGGTTGCTTTTAATAGTACCCTGGGATGGGATCTTTTTTGCTTTGCTTGTTAATACAACCACCAAGGATGAAGATGTCGTAGATCTCTCGATCGTCATCAGATAGCCAAATTTGCGCAAATCCATTCCTTAATGAAATAACGAAGCTCGAGTAATATACATGCTAGCATTGAGCAACAAACCAAACATAGCACAGGAAGTTGAAGCCAACCTCAGTATATCCTTATCAAGTACACCACCACTCTATTTTGGTTCGATATCAGAATGTACAATGCGGCCAGCCGCTTAGCTAAACCGGTTCCCAGTTGGAGGTCGGTATGGTGTCGACGTTTCGTATTTGCCCTTCTCTAGGACACGGTCGGCCTCGGTCAAGGGTTCATGGCGGGTGGGCGCGGGGTCATGAGAAGCTTCGGCACTGGGAGAGGCGACGTCGTCGGCGGCATTCTGGAACCGGGTCATGTTCGCTCGCTTTAGGCTGGCGTCGTTGCCTGGGGTAGGCCCGGACGCGGACAGGGCCTGGCGCTTGTGTTCATCTTCCATTGCTTTCATCTGGGCCTTGCGCTTGATCTCGGCATCAAATCGGGATTGGCGGTCGGCGTTGATGGATTGTTTTGCGAAGTAGTAGGCTCCGCCGCCAGCTGGAGGGACAGGTTAGTCTTTTCCCAGGTGTGTTGTACCGGATGACCTCTTTCTGTTGACTGAGACCAATCAGTTTGGTTACATACCGACACAAAGAGTGCCCCAGCCCACCCTGTTCAAGGCGAAAGCCACATCAGTAATTGGGTCCTATTGTCTTTGGGCGAAGAAATCTCCTCTCACCAGGTAGATCTGATCTAAATGGAAAATAGAGTCAGCAATGGAGCATATCAAATAGACATATAGCACTTACTGTGTTCATGACGAATGGTTGAAAAGTTGAAGAAGTTGAGAGAGGAGCTAACTGAATGTCGTCAGAGCGGCCAACGGCTATTGGTGGCCTCAGGCCGAAATCCTAATCGCCCTCTCTTACCAATCGGACTTCTTCAAACTTCTTATATCCTCGTTCTTCTCGACATCCTTCTCCTCAGACCCTTCACCATTCTCTTGACCTTGCCCACCTTATCTCCCGACATCTACACCATCCATTTTCAGCAACCCGAAGCTCTTTTCGACCCGAAACCTCCAGCGCAGACGCCGCCTGTTACTGCGGCTCAGCATCGTTTGTTCCATGCTAGTCTGAGATCACTTTTGAGGGGCGTCGCTCCACCTCATCGGACTCTCATACACTGAGAACGTGTTTGCTCAGTTCCCTCTTGCCGTTTTATCAACATCGCCGAATATTCAAACATGCCCCCCAAGCGGAAGGCGGCCGATGGTAAGTATCCGGTGTATCTTTGGGGGTAATAGTGACTCATTATATTCAGGTAGCCAGTCTAACAGGGCCTCGAAACGCGCCACGCCCGTTCCTGATGTCGAGGATATTACCAGCGATGATGATTATTCGGACGGAGATGATGCACCGGAGTCCTCCAACTTGAAAGGTATGGTGTGGCAGTCTGCCCACGTGAAGTGACCCGGACGCTAAAACTGTCCGAAAAAGAGGTCGTCGACAAGTTCTCTCTCCAATCATTTAGCAAGAAGGCGCAAGTGGATAAGACGGACCCCAGATTTGGCTACAAAGATCTTTCTTCTCTGCCGTTGAAGCTCGATCATTACAACCGACCGTTATGGATCGAACCACTCAAGGGCACCATCACCCTCGAGAGCTTTTCTCCGCTGGCACCCCAAGCTCAAGATTTCCTCACTACCATCGCCGAACCGCTTTCCCGTCCGACACATCTACACGAATACCGCTTGACAGGCCACAGTCTATACGCAGCGGTCTCGGTCGGTCTCAAACCACAGGATATTGTCGAGTTCTTGGATCGCCTGTCGAAAACACCACTACCTGAAAGCATTCGGACGTTCATTATCGAGTTCACAAAATCGTACGGAAAAATCAAGATGGTGTTGAGGCATAACCGCTACTACGTGGAAACGACGGATCCTGAAATGCTTCAACGCTTGTTGAAAGACGAAGTGATTGGACCACAACGATTGGACAATACCGAAGGCATTATTGAACGGGCTGCTCCAAAAATGGGCGGTCTAGTCATTCCCGGAACCAAGGACGCGGCTGGTGTTAGAGAAACTACACAGCAGGAGGCTATGACTGCTAGGGATGAAACTGAAGAAGAAGGGGCAGCTGTTAATTACGGTATCGACGATGTTGGTGAGGATGATCGCGAAGAAGCTATTACTTACAGCTTCGAAATCCCCGCTGCTGGAGTCGAAGTCGTCAAAGCCCGCTGCCAATCGATCGGTTGCCCTGCTCTGGAAGAGTACGATTTCCAGGGAGATACCATTAATCCCAATTTGGATATGGATCTGAAGCCTGCTGCCCGGATTCGTTCTTACCAGGAGAAGAGTCTGAGTAAGATGTTCGGTAACGGACGAGCGAAGAGTGGTATTATTGTGCTTCCTTGTGGTGCCGGTAAGACCTTGGTTGGTATTACTGCCGCGGCTACTATCAAGAAGGGTACCATCGTCCTTTGCACCAGTTCCATGTCCGTAGTTCAGTGGCGAAACGAGTTCTTGCGATGGACGACGATCGACCCTGGTGACATCGCCATCTTTACCTCTGATCACAAGGAGAAATTCAAACGGTCGACCGGTATTATTGTGTCTACTTACTCAATGGTGTCACAAACACGGGCTCGATCATATGACGCCCAGAAGATGATGGATTGGCTTCAATCCAGAGAATGGGGTATGATGATTCTTGACGAGGTGCACGTCGTGCCGGCATCGATGTTCCGAAAGGTCACATCTGCAATCGCCGCACAGAGCAAGCTCGGTCTTACCGCAACGCTACTTCGTGAGGACGACAAGATCAAAGATTTGAACTTCTTGATCGGACCCAAGCTTTACGAAGCAAACTGGATGGAACTTGCTGCACAGGGTCACATCGCCAAGGTGCAGTGTGCCGAGGTGTGGTGTCCAATGACCACGGAGTTCTACTCTGAGTATCTGCGAGAGAGCTCTAGGAAGCAAGCCCTGCTTTATATCATGAACCCTCGCAAGTTCCAGGCCTGTCAGTTCTTGATCGACTTCCACGAAAAACGTGGCGACAAGATCATTGTGTTCTCCGACAATGTCTATGCTTTGGAGCGATATGCACTCAAGCTGAACAAGGCATACATTTTCGGTGGCACTCCACAGAACGAGCGTATGCGTATTCTGGAGAACTTCCAGCACAACGAGCAGGTCAACACTATCTTCCTGTCCAAGATCGGTGATACCTCGCTCGATTTGCCTGAGGCTACCTGTCTGATCCAGATTTCGTCCCACTATGGTTCCCGTCGTCAGGAAGCCCAGCGCCTCGGACGAATTCTGCGAGCTAAGCGTCGAAATGACGAAGGCTTCAATGCTTTCTTCTACTCCCTTGTGTCTAAGGATACACATGAGATGGTCTACTCTGCCAAACGGCAAGCTTTCCTGATTGACCAAGGCTATGCGTTCAAGGTTATCACTCATCTCCAAGGCATCGACAACTACGAAGGATTGTCGTACGCAACGCCATCAGAACGCCGCGAACTTCTGCAAGAAGTCATGCTGCAAAATGAATCCTCTGCCGACGTCGAGCAGGTCAACGATGACTTATTCTCGATGCGCACGGGCAAGAAAGGCCCGGCCAAGAAGGCAACTGCGAAGCGCAGTGCGGCCACTCTTAGCGGTCTGGCTGGTGGTGATGACATGGCTTATATTGAGTATAACAAAAGCAGGAACAAGGCACTCAAGGACAAGGCCGGGCACCATCCGCTCTTCAAAAAAATGGAGCGGGACCGACAGCGTCGGAAGAAGGAGAGAGAGGGCGCGGATTGATCGAAAATGGATTGCTATTTTTGGTTTCTTTTTTAGCGCTGTCCCTGGACTTCTCCTTCCCCAGAATGATATACCCCAAATGAATAAACAAGGGAATTTTAGTGGAATATCCAAGTCCAAGAGCTAGACTCCTTGGCTGTCAGCTATGCACAGTAGTATGTCTAATATTAGGCAGCCCAGCATCAATTACTAACACCAAACAGCTGAAAAGCCAGCCCCAGATCCAAACAAGCTGACTAATATCTTCACCCCAAACTGCGATCCCTTCGATATCCTCGAATACCCTCAAATACCCTAGAGCTAGATCTCAATCCTATGAAGAACCCAAAACACCAATAATCCAGACCAGATATTACAGTAGTAATTTGGTAAGCATCAGGCCCAGAGCTGCCCAGAAATTGTATACCCATGACGTAGCAACGGAGCACCGAATAACCGAACCCGGGATGATTACATTTAGGAACGGTCCATTGGTCTCTACACACATAGACTGCATCTACCTAGGTACCTATAAGGACATGCTACCCCGGTTCTGTTTCACAACCAGACAAATACTCGCAATCCATCGATCTTCTCCGCAGACTCGCTTTTCATCTCCACTCCCTCGACCGTCATCCTTTAAGCTCTCCCCGCGATTATACACCTCCGCTGCTTATCCTCGTGGCACGATGTCTTCTTCGGCAACAGAGCCGGCTTCAGCTACTAGGATCAATCTCTCCCCCGCTACGGACTCTGGCGTGTTTAGCGCTGGTGTTAGGGAGGATACGGCGCGACTTACGAGTTCCCTTTTGCAGGATGATATGGAGAAGCATCATGTCTTTTTTAATGACCAGGGATTTCATAGTATGTTCTTCTATTTGATCTTCTTCTGAGCTTTTTGGTAAATGTGATATGTGGTTGTTGACACTGTCGTTTAGATCATATACCCCATCTCCTCCTGAGTATTTATGCTTTAGGTGCAACACCTGAGCAGGTAGAGGGTGCCTACAGCCGGAATCAGAGCTATCAGAGACCTGCGATGCCGGCTGATCAGGGTGTTGTCCAGTCTATGCGTGACGTGGATGGATTCCTGGCTGGTATGGGGAAGGAGAAGAATTATTCTAATTATTTGGCGTTTTTCCAGAGTGAGATTGGGGTGAAAGGTGTTGGGGATGTTCTTAGGGAGTACCTTTTTGCTGGGGATGAGAGGGCTGAGACTATGTTGTGTCGCTTGTTTGGTGGTACGTGTTCTATACCTATACCAATACCCCGTTTTGCTATGCTAGACTACAGGCTAACGTATTCAGGTCTGATTCACCCGCTTATCCATCTCTCCTTTGGATTGGAGTTCAATCAGCCTGCCATTGTGGCTCAGGGTTTGGCTCAGACGGCTGTGCATGATGACTGGCTTGGTCGGGCGTTCTTCCTTCCTGCTGAGAAGATGTCTGCTGGTGTTGGTGTGGCTGGCAAAAAGTCGTTGCTCGAGCTTTTGAACGAGTGTCGGGCTGATAAGGCTCTCACTGAGAGTGTTAAGTGGGCTGATAGTAATAAGATCAAGGATGGTGTGATGACCAGAGCTCCAGAGCAGATGATCAAATATGCTGCTCAGTTCACTGTTTCCGAAGATCAGGTTGAAGAGAGACTGGCGGATATGATTAACACAGTCGGTAAGTGTGCATCGGTATCCTTTCATGAGCCGTTGCTGATTCGTCTTGTCAGTCTACTACACCAGCGCCGCACAGCGTCCGACCCGAGAAATGAAACTTGACTTCTTCTTCATTCACTGTGTCAACTCATCCATCTTCTTCTCCAAGATCATCAACCTCCCATACCTGGATCAGCGATCAAAGCTGCGCCTCATGGAATGGAAAGGACGCATCGACCTACTGATGTATGTCTCACGCGGGTCACCAGACCTCCTCCTGGACGAGGTAGCCAGATACCCTATCAAGGAAGACTGGCCCCAAATCTTCGGACGCGCCGTGACCCATGGCACAGATGACGGACATCTCGCCAAGCTGGCCCGAGCAGTGGCCCACGGCCAGCGGGTCTGCCAAGGGGTCGAGAATAAGCATCAGATGCCGATCCATGGGGATATGTGGCTGAGAATCGGGAACATCGGTAAGTCGCTCCTCTTTTAGCTTTGTCACGCTAGCCTAATTCTCAACAGCTGTCGACTCCACCGTTGAGGAAGGGGAGAGAGGGATGTGGGTCCGATCCACTGGCTTTGATGAGGCCTGGGAGCCTCAGGGACGCGCGCATATGTGATTGAAATGCTTTGCTTTGAATAATCTCCAGATTGTAGCTGAAAAAGTATGCTTTGCTACATGTTATAGCCAAATTGATCGAGGTTGAAGTACAGTGTGGTTCCACTCCGGGAGCTGCGGTGGGTCTCTTGACGCCAGCGGCTCAACGGGATAGGGATTGTAGATGCTTTGAGCATAGAATTGGAGATCTGACCGTGAGAGTATATCACAGCCTGAGGCCAAGAGAGACATGAGATAAGGCAAACGGATAACAATAGGAGGATGGATAGGAGAAGAGAAGAGAGAAGAAGACGACGCAAACACAACTGGACATACATTGGGGATCACGTAAAGTGGGGCACCCCAACGACTCTCACTTTTCCTTTCTTCATCTTTCATATCTCCATATCATCTTCGCTTCATTATCTTCACTTCAATATGCCGAACGATGATCAATCTAGCTCAAACCGGGACTACTCCAGGGATGAGAGCAACCCGTTCGTCGCCTTCCGGCGCTACGCTGATGAACAGGTCTCCACAATGCTTCAATCTATCACAGGACTGCCCTCGATGGTAACGCCACCTCACAACAACCGCTGGGAAATTTTCGTAGACGATCACGGCTACGAAAGCAGGACCTCTCGTCAGAGAACCGGCGATAATACAGGAGAAAAGGGCTATTCGACAGACCGAGATGGAGGAAATGGTTATTCGGGAGGAGATGACAACACACGCAACCCAGCCAACACATCACATCCTAGGTCACGCTGGTTCGAGCATGATGACCCATGGAACTCGCAGTCATGGAGAAAATGGTGCAATGGACCATCCGACTTTTTCGGCCTCGATTCCTTCTTCAACCGCTTCTGGCTTGAGGATCGCTTCTTCCCCTTTGCGTCGCATCTCATGAATCCCAACCGCAGCTTCTTCCTCCCAGATATGTTCGATGATACCGATTCGCCGACCTGGCCGATCGCCTATATTATGTTCAGCCCGTACTCGCCTCTCCACCTAGAACGCCAAGCACAATATCGCGCTTACCGTGAAAAAGGCGTTTTCTCCTCGATTATGTCGACTTTGAGTTTGGATTCCGACCGTGCCTCTTCGGAACCGCAGTGGCGAGAAGCCTTTGAGGATTTACTTCGGCTTGAAAACGGAAAGTCGATGCTCACTCGTGATGCCTCCGCGGCACCGGAGACTGGGAAGGATTGGCTCCAGGGTCTGGTGAAGCGCGGAAGCCTGGGTGACCGATGGAAGTATGTACCTGGCACAGAGGGTCAGCCTTGGTCAGGTATTACTTTCTCTGGCCGTGCGGAGCAGGATCGGTCTCTATCCGAGAAAGAGGAAGAGCCCGTGGATCGGAAGAACGAGCAAGAGGCTGCTGAAAGTGAGCTTGACCTGTATCAGCGCTTCTTGCATGATATCGAAAACCGCGAGCGTGAATTCTTCCGCGGTGCGTCTGAAAGCCCTCTCCTGCGCATGCTCCTCGAAGAGCGACGACAACAGCAGGAGGAACTTGAGAAATACAGACGCAGTGTTCCCAAGGTACAAGATGAGCAAAGCAGTGATGGCAATGAGACCTGGCTAGAGCTTGTCTCTGGTGGAACTGTTCCTGAAACGCCCTCAAACTCATCGACCGAGACCGTGAACGAGAGGATTGGATCGCCCTCAGAACCAGCACAGTCTCGTGTCATCTCTACCATGACCCGAACAGAACGCGTTCGACTTCCCGATGGCTCGGTTGAAAGCAAGATTTTCAAAACCAAGCGTTTTGCAGACGGTCGTGAGGAAACCGACTCGTCTGTCGAGGTATCTCATCCTCAGCCGGAAGATAACAAGTCTGATGAATCTGGTCGATCCAAGAACGGCTGGTTCTGGAAAGACTAAATCGATTTCTGTCTACTTCGTGGTACAACGACAAAACTGTCCATATGGGCCTCAGTGACCCCAAAACTCGAGACTATCATTTCGATTGCTCACCAGCGTGCTTTACTTTCTCATTTCAGGTGTTTCAATTTCAACTCCAAACTGGCTTGCATGGATTCGCGAGGACTTTCGGTTATGTGGCGCTTTCTTGTTCACTACTTGATTTTTGTTTCGAGGCACAAGCTCTGTATCTACTCAAATATCTTTACTTTCGTGGAAATTGCATTCGTACGCTGTACAACAATCTATCGAACAGACACACTTTGCCCATTAATTTGGATATTCCACAGAATATATTAGACAAGTGAAGTGTATCATCAACAGGAACAGACGTCCTTTATCTGCCAAGACTCCTCGGCACAACTCCGCTTCCCCGCCCTCCGCCGCTGATTAATGCGAGTTCGACCGGTTTCCAACTTCAGAATACTTCTGAATAGACACAAAATTGTGCCTTTTTGATCTGCAAGCACTGGATATTGAGCACAGGCATAATGACCACAACTCCTCAGATCCCCGCCCCGGCTCACACGCTCGCGGATTCCATGTTGTCCCGCCACTTCGGAAGAGAGACGGTGAACTACTTCTCCAGTATGGAACTTGCCCAGGACGACACATATATGTGCGATAGCAATACTAAAACATGGCCCAGGCTCTCCGATAAACCGTTTATCATTCCTGCGCTCTGACCACCCATTCCTCTCCGCGGCCTTGAAGCACCCATCCGCCCGATTCGTCCTCTTGAACAACCTTGCGCCTTTAACTCCGTCGCCTGCGCAGCTGCACTATGCTAAGTATGATGAGGTGCGCAAGCTTGTGCCGAATGACATCTTCGATGTCTCTGAGGAGGATATGATCAAGAACTTTGATTCGCGCAAGACGCATCCTACCTTGATCTTCCTCGGTCTGGACGAGAGTCTTAAGGAAGGTGGATTTACATGGAAGATTTACTCCGGGACACCTTATTTCGCAGTCGATGTGACGCCCAAGGGCTCGGAAGAACAGCAGACTGCAGCGAAGGATGTGATCAGTGCCATGGAGGCGAAGGGACTGTCTTTCTTCCAGGCGCGGGTTGTCATGTCCTTCTCTGCCGATGAAGGTATGTCTAAACCCACCGAGGCCTAATGTAGACCATATAACGAGAAACATAAGACTAACCCGCTGAAAACAGCCGCTATCTATGCCCAGGCGCGCGCTCTGATGGACTGGAATACCCGCAACACCTTCTGCGGAACATGCGGATACCCCACACTAGGCGTGAACGCAGGCACAAAGCGTGCATGCCCACCAACAGATATCGCCCTCGCAGCCACCGGCAAGACGGGGGAAAGACCAGCCTGCAACACCCGCACGACACTGTCAAACCTATCCTTCCCGCGCACCGACCCGACGATCATCGTAGCCGTCGTCTCCGCCGACGGCAAGCGCATCCTCCTCGGCCGGTCGAAGCGCTTCCCACCAAATTGGTACTCAACACTAGCCGGCTTCATCGAGCCAGCTGAATCAATTGAAGATGCCGTGCGGAGAGAAGTGTGGGAGGAAGCAGGCGTGACGCTGTCGCGGGTTGTTATTCACTCGTCGCAGCCTTGGCCGTATCCCGCCAACTTGATGATTGGCGCTATTGCCCAGGTGAGTGATCCGGCTCATGAGACGATCTCTCTGCAGCATGACCCTGAGCTAGAGGATGCGAAGTGGTTTGAGATTGAGGAGGTTGAGGAGGCTTTGAGAGTTGGGACTAGTGACCTGAGTGCTCAGGCTGGGCCGGAGTATAAGGAGGGTGGTTTGCGGTTGCCGCCTCCTACTGCTATTGCTAATCAGTTAATTCGGGCTGCTGTTAGTGCCGAGTATTTTGCTGTTGATAAGCAGTCTAAGATTTAGATTTAGTAGATGTTGCATAGGTACATAGAGAATAGAGGTGTACATTGAATTGGGTCTATTATGGTTACTTTTTTGTATTTTGGTTGTGTTTCCAACGGTCCTCTTTGAGGCATGTCCTGACACTATCCACTATCCACATTGATACCCATTCACTAGCTATGAAACATGAGAAACGACAGAGCAGCCAATTTCATGGGTTAGAGTACACAGTACCATCCCGCAACTCGTGAATGCTATCAGTCCCTCTGCTATTCGGAGACCCAACCTCAATGTAGCGAGTACCATCCCTCAGCGAATGAATAGTAACTCGTCCACTCCGTCCTCTACGAGAGCGTCGCGAACTCCGGGTAGAATCCGGGCTTCCCGACTCACTGAGCGGAACCGACATTTCACGATCCATGCTTTCCCTCTCGATCGAAGCTTGAAGCTGATGATCCGCAACGCGAGCCGAGCCGATTTCGGTATACCACTGACGCAAGTCTGCCCCGTATTCACTTTCCTCTGAGTCATATTCGACAGGAGGTCCATTGATCTGGGCGTCGGGGCGTGAGTCATCGAAGACGGCCCAGGCGCTGGTTTCCGCACTGACGATCATCACGGTGTGGTTGAAGCTTCGAACTTTGAAGTCACGGAGCAAAACGGCGTTGCCTTCGACTAATGATGGGAAGGTCGATTTGTAGCGTCGGAAGATCTGGGCGTGGAGAGTGGTGCCGGCCATGGAGGGGTCTGTCAACTGGATGGTCATGAACCAATCCTTTGTGCCTGTTTTGGCTTTGACGATTGGGGAAACTTCGTGGACGATTGAAATGGTGTCTACCAGAGCATTGTAGTGATCAATGAGTGTGGCGAGGGGAGCGAAATAAGAATGCTTGCTGCGTAATCCGGAGGCACTGCGATCGGGAATTGTAGGCTGCGGCGCTGTCACGAGCACTTCCGGTGTTTCTGCGACTTCAGTGCCGATGACAACCTCCAAGGATTGGCGTTCGCTTGGGTGATCTGTTGCACTGTCGAGACCATACTGACTTTCCTCGGCGTGGTGTACGTTGTCTGGCTCAGGAATATCATCCATTTCTGGCGGAAGCGAACCAGCAGTACGCATATGCGGGAGAGATACGTCAAGGTCCACAGGTTCATCTCGTTCACCAGCCGTGGGTGCCTTAGGTTCAACATGACTCTGATTAGGCAACGCAGAATCTTGAGTAGAGTCTGAGGTCGGGAGTTGTTGCTCGGATAGAGAAGTGATAATCCCTGATGCTGCAGGCTCGATTTGAGGATCAAGATTGGTAAACTCAGTGGTTATAATGGTTTGTTCGTGCGCCGACACAAAGTCGGCTGTATCCTCAAAGGACGGAGAAACGTACGAATCAGACGGCCCGTCCACATTGAAAAAGGTATCGATCTTTTCGGCGTCAGAGTGTAGGACAGAATCAGCCATATTCTCACTATTTTCAGCTGGTTCCTGGTCCATAGCTTCAGGCACTTTGGGTATACTTTGATAATCATCAAAAGCCTGTTCTTTGTCAGAGCCTTGATTTGAAGCTGCTTCCAGCTGTGACCCGAGGCTAGCTATCAAACCAGAGTCTCGATCGTCTGGCTCTTCGTCCTCAAACTCTGCCAGCGGGGCATCAGCATCCTGTTCCGCATTGACTGAAGCAACTTCCTGTTGATGTTCCGGGGCACCTTCGTCTCCCGAAAATCCATCAAATGGTGATTCGTCAGCCTTGTCGCTGTCATGCACTCGACCATCTTGGTCATCGGATTCATAGTCGTTCTTTTCTTTGCTTTCTTCGCTTTGATCGCTGTCGTACGATTCCTCTGCGCTCCGCGTTCTATCGGCATACCGTGGTCCGGACTGGCCAGATTCGGGGCTTTCTGAACGCTCGTCTTGCTCATGAAGTTGATAAGTGGAGACCGGTGGGTGACCAGGAGCAGGTTCATCCTCACTGTCGCTGTCCAGCACGATTACTTCCTGGGTCTTCGGGCGGGAGGGGAAGCTCCGGTATTGTTCTGATTCATCCTGGCTAGAATTGTCGACGTTAGATTCCTCGTCGCTGAATTCTTCTTGTTCCGGCCGTGTGCCCAAACGGGGTACATAGTGGTCCTCCTCATCATCGTAGTCATATTGTGAGTCATAATCGTCGGCTTGTTCTTCGTACTGTTCTTCTCCTTCAGCCATTTCATCGTCTTCTTCGACGTAGCTTTGACTGCGCGAGCGAGGAGGAACGTTTGAAGCTGGAGATGATCCATCAACTTCATCTCCACTTCCGAGGTCTTCGGGGGTCTTCGCATTGAGTTTGTTTTCATGGATTGTATCCGCATCCATGGCGGATGTCGGATGTTGTTGGCCAGCTGACTGAATCTCTACTTCGGAATTTGATAAGGGCTCTCCCTCATTATCAACCTCGCCTTCAGGCTGAACGGACCGCACATCGTCGTGGAGGTCTCCATCCTCCCGTTGATGGTCACGATCTTTCACGGACAACATTTCGGGGGCTGTTCTTCATTTGACTGTTCAACTTCGTCGGCATTTCCAATTTCAACATCAGCCTGAACAATAATTGGTTCATCGACGGTCAACCGGTGATCGGTCATCCCAACTTCTTGTTCATCTGGTAGATCTTCTAATCCTGTAGACCGTGGCGCAATGTCCTGGAGAAGAGACTCCGCATCAAGAACGGGTTCCTCCTGGAGGGATGCAACATTTGACTGGACCGATTCCATTGCAAGTGGTTCAAGGGATTCGGTGGCATGGGTCTCGTGCGTCTCCTGGGTCTCAACTGAGGGTCCAGAGTGTGATGTGATGGTGGTTGTTTCAGCAGCAACAGAACGAATCGCTTCGGTTTGCGCAGACGCGGACCATGATGTGAAATATCCACTTGAATTAGCGTGATTTGACACCAGTGGCGAGGGGATTGGAAGTCCAGGAGAGGGAATAGGTCGGATCTGTGGTGTGTCTGTTGGAAGATGAAAAGGCGGAGGTCCTCGCCCCGGGATATCGACTGATTCATGAGGTGTATTGTTGCTTAACGCGCCCGCACGTCTCTCAATGATGCTACCCGTAAGTTCAAGGGAAGGCTTCGCAAACACTGACAGGGCCTCTGCCGGTGCATTCTCGAGGTCGGCTTGAGTAGCAGCAGCATCTGCCATCGGTTCGTCCGAAGATTGACCCTCCGCATCCTCCGCGTCAAGTTCTTGTTCCAAGGTCTGTTCCCACCAATCCACGGGAAGTTCTTGTTCGACAGAGCTCTCCGGCTCATCGATCAGACGCCAATCCTCCCTTTGCAAGCTGTACCGCGGACGTTTCCTTCCTTTCCCAGGCACAAAGCCATCGTCTTCCGCAAAAGGGTCACGCGAGGTATCGATAACTCCACCAAAGGAGTTGCGAGCGGACCGCATGAATGCCGGTGATCCCCAAGAGCCTGTACCAGGCGCTGTATCCAATCCATGCTTGGCTGTGTGACGAACGGGGGTTGACGGAGGTGCGAGTTGGACATGATCTGGCACCGTCGGCTGTGGCTCAACGCTGATTATCAACGGAGGATCGGAGGATCGGTGAACCTTTATGGGCCATTGTCAATTCTGGAAGACGCGGAGCAAGAGGAGAGTTACTTACCTCGAGAGACACAGCATCTTCAAAGTGTGCACCACACGCGATAGACCTCCCCGGTGTTTGCTCGGCGGCTTCATTGCTAACAAACTTGGAATTTGCCAAAGAAAGATGAACTGTATCCCTTATTCCGACATGCGACTCTGCGATCTTCTGCGCGACGCGTCCATGAAATGTGGCCTTCACTTGTCCGTTCGGCCGTCGTAGGCGGGCGTCCGGCTCTGCCAACAAAAGGCTCAGAGACTTATTTGAGGATGAGTAGGGCCAGATAAGTGTTACAACTGCGACAATAAACTTTTCGCTCGGTTGCGCAAGGTCTGGAGAAAGCTGGGCGATCGGGACCTGTGTCAAATGCGCCAGCGCATTCGGTGAAGATTGTTCGATCGCGTCCATTACGCCGGTTTTGCGCGACTTCAACTCCAGCGGATAGCCATCGAGAGGAACATATGGGACGAAATAAAGATGTAAGTAAAAATGTGAGGGAAAGACAGAGGTGAAGGAGGGAAGTGTTGAGATCAAAGAAAGTCGGGAGCTTCAGCTTTGTGCTGTCGTAATACAGGTGTATCACTAGGCTGCTACTATGTGTAAGGTCTGTATTGGTGGAACAGAATTACACCGCTTCAAACAATGAAGTGTGTCTTTTTTGTTGGGCTTAAAGTGTACGATTATTCCAATTCTTGTCATATATACTCTTTATTTGAGCTTATTGAGCTTGCATTATACCAATCCCTAGCTACAATAGCCTCATTTCTATACTCTAATCTGTTGTACCTCGATAAGATGTGGGCACATAGCTCCACAATGGCGCCAGCGCTCCCCTCCATCTCGCATCTGACACTCTTTTGCTACAACCGTACGGAATAGTGACTCTCTACAGAGAATGTCACTCACAAATCCCATCCGCCGAGTGGCTGTTATTGGCGCTGGGCCATCTGGCCTGGCTTCAGTCAAGTATGTGGGTGATATCTTGTACCACTGCGTAGCATGCTGACACCCCAGGTACCTGCTCGCGGAGAAACACTTCGATCAAATCGAGGTCTTTGAGCAAAGAAGCTCAGTCGGTGGAGCCTGGAACCACAATCCAAGTTCAGCCAAGACCGGGATGTCAACTACTGTCCCTCATCTAACCCCCCACGAGCCACTCGAGAAACCGATATGGATCGATGGGGCTGAGGGAAAGCGTGAGGCAACTTTCGTGTCCCCGCTTTATGATCTACTGGAAACCAATATCCCTAAGGAATTGATGCGTTACTCAGACCAGGAATGGCCATCGGAAACCCAGCTATTCCCCAAACACCGGACGGTGAAGCAGTACCTTGAGGATTATGCCAAGGATATCAAATCACTCATTCAATTCGAGACCCAAGTATTGGATGTGAAACTCAAGGATGCAGGCTTGAGCACCTGGGATTTAACAGCAAAGAATCTTTATACCGGCGCTGAAATAACTCGGACTTATGATGCAGTTGTGGTTGCAAGCGGTCATTTCACCGTCCCCTATCTACCGGGTACCCCAGGTATAGAGGTTTGGGATGCATCTTACCCTGGGACTATCACCCATTCCAAATTCTATGACTCACCAGAAACCTTCCGGGGTAAGAAGGTTGTTGTGGTCGGCAGCTCTGCTTCAGGTCTTGACATTGGTGCCCAAATCAACGAAGTGAGCAAAGGCAGAGTGGTGGTTTCCCAGAAGTCCGAATCATATTTGGCTGCATCTTCAGCTGGCAATCAAATCATTTGCCCAGAGATAGTCGAGTTTCTTCCCCCGGCAACACATAACCGAGGCATCAAATTTGCAGACGGCCACATTGAAGAACAGATCGACGCGATTGTTTTCTGTACTGGTTATTTCTATTCATTCCCTTTCTTGTCTTCGCTCAACCCACCAGTTGTCACCCATGGATGGCGAACGACAAACATATATCAGCAATTATTTTATACAGAGCACCCGACGCTCGCGTTCCCTGTTCTTCCGCAACGGGTCATTCCGTTCCCCATGGCAGAGGCCCAAGCTGCTGTATTCTCTCGTGTGTGGTCTGCGCGGCTTACACTTCCACCCAAAAATGCTATGCGAGAATGGGAGGATGCTGAAATCAACAAGAAAGGGGATGGGAAAGCATTCCATATCCTTCACTTTCCCGCGGATGCAGATTATCTGAACTTCCTCCACGACTGGGCGAAAAAGGCGAATTTACGCCCAGGCTTGTCAAATGATGGACAAGGCAAACTCGGTCCTTGGTGGGGTGAGAGGGAAAGATGGATGCGAGCTCTTTTCCCCGACATTAGACGAGCTTTCGTGAAGAGGGGAGCTGAGAGAGGCGAGATCAGGAGCCTCGCAGAAATCGGGTTCGACTTTGAAGAGTGGAAAAGGGAACAAGGTCCCCGCTTATGATTAGCATACAAACTCCACATAGACATAGACTACGCTGTGACTGTGAGAATGAAAGAGAAATAGACGAGATTTGGTATAGATCTAGCGAAGTTGTATACGGCGAATAGTGACGTGGTGGTTGCTAAAGGCGAATGTTTCTCCAATCTCCATTCAAACTTCGAGCAATCGATAAAACATATATAATTAGTTTGATAGAGAATTTGATCAGAGCCACTCTTATTTGCCTTCCTATACTTGCAAGTGTAGACTTCTCGCTATTCAACATTGGCAATGTAGGGCTACCGATAAGCTCATCACGTGAAGCGCCTGTTATCCATCCGCCCGTCGCGCCGTTCGGTTACTCTCTTTCATACCTCGACGGGAAACGTTGGATGTCTCCTGATATTTGTATGTGGCCGGGATCAATACAGTTGCTCACTGGAGCTTATCCTAAGTATCCAATCTACATTCCATCGCCCCGTCATGCCATCTCCCAGACCCAGGTCGCCCGCATATGATGTCCCGAGCTCACTCTCCCACCCTCAACAACCGAAACACCGGAAGTTCTAGAAGATGTGCTGACTCACCTGGAGCTGGACCTACAATCACGACTGATAGTAGTGACAGCAGCGATAACAGCGAAGCAGAGGACGAGTGGCCTATTAAGAGCATCCTGCGCGAAACCGATACACATTACCTCATTGACTGGGAGGGTCCTTACGAACCAACTTGGGTGAGTCGCATTACGCGACTGCTCTTTAAGAAGCTCACATAGTAACGCGCCGAGCTTAGACTAACACACGCCTTTTCACCTAGGAACCCAAAGAGAACGCCAGCGAGCTTGCTATTGAGGTCTGGGAGAAGTGGAAAGCCCGCAATTCAAGAGCTGGTCCAATTATCATCTCCTCTGATAGCAGCTTACAACAAGAGGTTCACAGCAGCAGCCCCAGCAGCAACCCCAGTCGCAGTCGCAGCCCCGGCCAATTTCGGAGTGAAGACGCCAAACCTCTGAGTGAAGAGGGTGATCGCAGCTCACGAGCGTCCTCGGCATTGTTTGTAAAGCAGGACGATCTTCCGGAAATACTTGAATCCATTGAAGCCCACCTCGTCCCAGCTTCAAACCTCGCTCGAGCGTCCCTCGATTATTCCTCAGACGACTTACGACCACGACACCGCTCTTCTTCTTTTGAGACTATATCCGAAGCTTCTCCGCCCCCCGAGGACCTCCCACCGGCCGAGTGTGAAGAAGTCGCTGCAGGTGATCCGCTGCAAAACACTCAAGTGCAGGTCCCTACTTCTGATCTGAATTCTTTGATTGCCAGAGAGCCTCCGCACTGGCAATTCAATCATAACAGCACTTTGGCGTCAGTTATTCCAAATACACCAGGCACCTACAAAGGTTACAAAGCTAGCGAAGTAGCCGAGACGCCCGCTGGGTCACCATCTGCGAAAAGCAATATCTCGTTTGACACTCCCAATCTTTACAGTACATTGATCTCCCAACCTTTCCCATCACGTGGTCCAATTGAAGGTATTTGCACCTCCTGAGCAAGGCCCATACTTTGCTTATTTTCCTACAGAAGCGAAAATTCCAAAACCAAGATATTTGGGCACGATCCCAGAAACAATCTTCCGTCCTTCACAGCAACGAAAATTGAGTGGAGAAGTTTTTGATCAACCGAGCCATTCATTTTCTAGCCTTTTCCCTGCACGGTCATCACGCCAAACGATGGATGAAAGAGAGACCAAGCCCCCGCTCGGTGATCTACCCGGGTCTACTCCAAGAGAAAGAATTCGCAACGCATGGGCCCAACTGAACGTAGAACCCCAATCCGCGGGAACTCAAACGGCCAGTGGAATTGACACCCCATCATCCGTGGGGGATATCGAGGCATCAATGCCAGTGACGGTCCCTGAAACAACCGCACCACTCAGTGTCAGAGCTGAGGCGAACCCGTTTTCCCACACTGCAGTTCATCATGCTCATTCGTCTCTACTGCCACCGTCGGAGCTAGCCCATGGTCATCTAGGTCAACCCTCGATGCAAACCATTCATCCAAGTGCGTTGACGGCCACAGGCACGGAAGAGATCGTGCCAGGATCGGTCCTCCTCGGGCCCTCCGAATTTGCTGTCACTCTTCCAATGGACTCTCGGGTAAAGGATGACTATGAACGAGTGTTGGCAGACGCAGCCACAAGCATTCGCCGGTTCTTCGTTGGTTTCCAGTCTGATAGCCAAATACCAGTTTCTGAGGTGAGTGAACGTCGTGCCTGAGATATCATTCCGACATCTAACATCTTTTTTAGCGGGAACATCTCCAACAAAAGATGCGGGAGGTTGTTATGCAGCTGAACAACGTTTCAACTCATCCAGACCTTAACATTGCAAATCATCTCAAAGACTCTGATTCGGACCCTGAGAAGGAGGCATCCTGGGCCGAATACTCCAGTGCGAAGTTCCTCTTCCTTGGTCATCTCATGGATGCCGTGGAAACGCATGAGCTTCATGTGATCATTGCGGTTCAAGACGAGAAGAAACAGGCAGTTATTGAGCGTTATCTGCTAGGGAAAGGCTTTGCATACACCAGACCCCGCGATGACATGGGCCGCACTCTGGAAGTATCCCTGTCGAGGGGGCCACTCAGCTTTGGTATCCATTCCAGCGAGAGCGTGCGCGAACTTTACAAGCCACCATCTGCCATTTTTGCATTAGATGCTTCTTTCAACCCTAAGAGCCCGTCCATGCAACACATCCGAACTACCTATGCCCGAAACGGAAACTTGCTCCCTGTCATCTGGTTCCTCGTTGCGAACACCAGTGAACACATCCAACGCTGTTTGCCGGATTTGCCCGAGCCAGAGCGATTGCATTGGCTTGTTCATTACACTGCCCGTTTTCACGACGAGGTCGGTGATCTCCAGGATGATGCGCTGGGTGTACATGAGGACGCCGAAGAGATTCTCACATACCTCCTGGATAGTGTTGCCGGCTGGCCACTTGCCACGATTGAGCCTTTGGCCTTTGTGTCCAAGGAGGAACTGGAGTCGTCAACCCCTTCATCTGGCTCTTCACTCCCACAGACCCAGAAACGGTCACTAGTAAGTTTACCGTGTAGCTATTTCTTAAGATTGACTAACTCCGTGGCAGGACGATGAAAGTGAGGATCACACGTCAAAGCGCGCACGAGTCGATACTCAAGACAACAGTCAATGGACCGAGTCAACGAAGCCTCCAAGCCAAACATTGTATAACGATTTGGAGTCACTGGAGAAAGTTCTCATCCAGACGAAGCACGCCCACGCGACTGAGAAAGAGCAATTGCAGACAGAGTTAGCTCAAGTGCGTGCTCAGGCGAAAGAAATGGAACTGGCATTCGGCAAACTACAACACCGGTTCGAGACTCGGACCGAACAAGTCCACATGGTTCGCAAAGAGCGTGATGCATTGGCTGCGTACAAAACAACCCTTGAGCAAAACCTCGAAAAGCGGGAGCGGGAGGTATTCACTTTGAAAGAAGAAAAGAAAGTACTCAGGCATGAACTTGAAGAAGCCAGAGAAACGATCAAAGCTGGCGGTGGTAGCGCTGCTGAACTGGAGACAGCACGCGGCGAAATCCGTCGCCTAACTACGGAAAATGAGGACCTCAGTCGCAAGGCTACTTACGAAGCGAAACGGTCTGAATATACTAGAGAGCAGTATCAAACTGCATCTACAGCGGCAGCTCAATCAGGCAATGAAAGCCGTCTACTGACATCCGAAAACGAGGATTTGAAGCGCAAAGCCGATCAGAACAAGCTCAAACTTCGCGAACTAAACATCAAGGACAACACTGCTCGCCATCTCGCTCGGAACAAAGAGCTGGAATTGACATTAGCGGCGCGTGACGAACTCCTACGCAGAAAGGAAGAGGAGCTTCGTGAAATCCGCAAAAATCGACCATCCACCCGCTCAACGAGCACTCAGCCACGAAGCCCTAAGATCTCCGCCAGCAGTCGTCCAACTAGCCCAGGTGTTGGCCATAACGGCAATGGCCACAACGGTGGTCTTCCGGGTAGAGGCAGCGCACTGCGATTTAGCTCAGAAATGCGGTTTTGAAAACTCTCAGGGGCCTCCTCTCCCCACCCCCATCTCTCGCCATCTATCTCTTGTCAACCCGTTTCCCTACTCTGGTGATCTATGACGTATAGACACCACATTTGACATTCGGAACATTCTCCCTCTGCAACCCTTTTTACACATCAGTCCAGGCGAGCCTTTTCCCTTCGTCCGCTCAATGCGACATTGCATATTTCTGGCGTTTCATTCCTTCATCCTGTTCCATTCATTCATGAGCGATTTTCACTTCGCAAGTCATCCGGTGTGGTGTGGACCTGCAATGCATTCTGGTTCCTTACCTTGTGCTCTCTGAGGCAACACTGGCAGCGCGTTCAATAACATGATATCATTCTTTTCTGAATTGTGGTTGTATCTTTTCTATAGCTATGCAGTGTTCCAGCTAGTGTAGCCCTTCCATTGCGCTATCTATGGAAAAGAAGAAATCCCAAGTTAAATATCAATCTGGATTCGGATTCGAGTTAAATGATTAAAAATATAACCCAAATAATGGGATAGAGCCGAGGGTCATGTAAATATACACTGAAAGAAATAAGACAGGAATGGAAAAAGGACTGTTGTGCCGAAGAGCAAAATGAACCAAAAAAAAAAAAAGGGCGACAGCGGGAAAAGCGAAGCGGAACCCGGAAGAAAAAACTCCTACCAAACCCCAAACTTCCAGAATTCAAAATGCAGTGCGCCTAGGCAGCCATTGACTTAGCAATGAAAGCAGCCAATTCCTTTGCCTTCTCGCCGCGAGTCATGGTGAAGTGATTGGCACCCTCCATAACGGTAATGCCACCAACATGCTTCGGGCCAACGAGGGTATCCCAACCATTCGGACCGAGGTCAGTACGGTTGTTCAACAGCCAAAGCATCTCACGTGGGTCAGCGCTTCCATCCTCAGCAGGCGCAGGACGCTGATCACCAGGTTTGGAGCAGACACCATCCTTAGCCCAGACCAAGAATGTCTTGGGGAGTTTCTTGGCCAGGTGGGCGTCTTGGTAAGGGAATGGCTTAGCCTTGTACGCATCGAGGGAGTCGATGAAGGCTAGGAAGTGGGGGAGCAGCCACTTTGGTGGAGGCGCCTTGCCCTCGCCGAATAGCCCGATGGTATCAAAGAAGCTGTATAGACGGGGAGGAAGCTTCTCCAGTCCAATTGGGAAGGGGGAGTCCAGGAGGAGCAGGCGCTCGACTCGCTCGCCCTCTTCGAAGATTAGTTGACGCGCGGCATCGTAGGCGCAGATTCCACCGGCGGACCAGCCGCCGAAGTTGTATGGGCCGGTTGGTTGACGGCGCCGGATCTCTGCCACGTAGGGAGCTGTCAGCTCATCTAGGCGGAATTTAAGGTTCTCAGGGGTGCGCATGTATGGGCAGTTGAGTCCGTAGACGCACACGTCTGGGGACACTCCAGGGATGGTGGCGTAAGAGGTGGCGGAGCCAGAGCCATCTGGGAATAGGAACAGCTTCTGGGTCGCTGTCTTGGGGTTACCCTGGAGGAGGATCGAGGTCGCCGGCGGGTGCTGGATGGCAGTGCTGGAGGCAGTGCTGGATGCAGTGCTGGGGGCGGACTTCGGGGCCTGAACCTGAATTTGCTCGGGGAGGATGAGGGCCTCTGCAGCGACTGGCTTGGGCTTTAAGTCAAGAGTTGATTCGATGTCATCGAGGGTTTGGTTCTCGATGAAGAACTCTCCTGAGAGATCCATGTCCAATTCCTCGCGGATCTTTCCGAGGACTGTGAGAGACATCAATGAGTCCAGTCCCATCTCTCCGAGGTTGGCATCGCCGTCGAGCTCCGCGGGATCAACACCGATCTCCTCGGCCAAGATTGCGGTGATCTGCTTCATGCTGTCGTTTTGCTCGACTGTGCCATGTGTCATGGACTTTTCATTAGCAGGAGTCGGAAGACCGCTGGAGTTTGGACTAGAGATATCTGTCGAGGACGCGGCAGAGGACGTTTCTTCTTCGCTGTTTGATCCATCGCTGCTGCTCTCGGCAGGACCCATCTGAGCCAGAAGGCGCTTGAAGTCTTTGACAGTGGGCTGATCCACGAAGACAGAGGAGTCGAGATCTAGCCCCATGTCCTCGCGGAAGCGTCCGGTGACAGTCAGCGAGAGTAGAGAGTCAACTCCGTAGTCAGCAAAGTTGAGATCGTCGGTCATCTCAGCTGCTGACAATCCAACCTCTTCAGCAAGGATTGCAAGGGCGCGAGCAGAGAGACTTAGTCCTGCAGACTTGGGCGTAGACGCAGCAGTCTTCTTGGCAGGTCCCTTCTTCGCCTTCTGGACGTCGATGGGAGCAGGAGTGCGCTTAGCGGCAGCTGGCTTAGGAGCAGAAGCGGCAGGACCTCCGGCAGGAGGAAGAGCCATGTCGAGGATCTTCCGAGCAAGTGCTTGGAACTGTATATATTCGTTAGGGTTTTCATTCCAAATGATTGGGTAATCTCAACATACCTTGACACCACCATACACAGCGACGATGTCATCACCCTCGAACAGGTAGACATCACCAGCCCAGATAGAGTCCTTCCAGGGTTGCATCCTCACGTAAGTTCGGTAAGTAACACTGGGGTCGAACTTCTTCAAGCAGCGCATCGAGTCCCAGCCATGGTTGACGAATACTTGGTTCTTCGAATCGGTGTTGTCGCTGGCGTTCATGATGAAGCCAGAGAGGTGACCAATGCTGTCGATCCAGAATGGGTTGCGGTGGAAGTTGCCAGGAGGCGCCTCGAACTTGACCAGAGCCGTAGCTTCGTGCTGATCACTGTCAAGGATGACTTCGCGGATGGACTTGTAGTTCTCATCATAGTCGACCAGAGAAGCGAAGAGCTTGTAAACCATTCCTCGCTTCATGCGGTGCGCCTGACCAGAGATAGTGCTCTCTTGGAGATGCTCGATGCTTCGCTTGATAAGGTAGGCGCTTCGCTTCCACTCACTCGAAGAGGCGCTGGTGTCAAAGAACTTGACAGAGCAGCTGGCGTGGTCGAGGATCTTCTTGCCTTCGGGGGTGACTGACCAAACTTGCACCTTGGCGTGTTCCTCGGCCCAGTTGGCAGTGGCCGAGACTCGGAAGAGTTGCTTGCCACCCTTAGCAATGAGAGGCTTGGGGACTGTCACGTTGCAAACATCCAGACCACGGTCCTTCCACTCGGGCTTGTAGTTCTGCACCAAATACTCACCGAGTGTCTGGGCAATATCGGCGTACAAGGATGAGGGAGTAAGGCAAGCGCCATTGACCTTGTGACCGGCAATGACCCGGTTCAAATCGGGATCAGCGATATCGTTCTCAATAACAATCATGGCCGAAGAAGAGTCACTGGTTGTCTCAAGAACCTTCTGGGCTGCCGTCGTCAAGAAGGTAGAGACTGGAGCGGCCTCAACGGCTGGCGTAGCCGGGGCACCCTTGAGCAGACAGAAGTTGTTGGTATATGGGATCCAGTAGTTCTTGAGGTCCCACTTGTATGAAGGCAGTGGAAGGACTTTGTGGCCAGCGGTGAAGTCCTGGTGGTACTCCTTCCAGCGAAGGTCAATACCGGCAAGGTAAAGCGCCGAAAGACTATTCGACAGGACCTTCCATGTATCTTCCTGGCGACGGAGAGAAGCCATAGTGGCTGCCTGGGGGCCGAATGTTGACTTAACCATTCCAGAGCAGACGGTATGAGAGCCAATCTCAACCCAGAGGGTCTTATCATTCATCAGCTTGGCATGGCGGGTAGCTTCCAGAGCACCCAAAAAGTTGACAGTCTCACGGCAGTGACGAGTCAGATAGTTGGGGCCAAGCATCTCGTTGCTGTCATCCTTGATAACATCTCCGAGAAGAGCAGAGACGAAGGGAATAGTAGGCTCGCTGAAGGTAACACCCTTAGCAATTTCGGCAAGGCTCTCCAGGATAGGCTCAACCTGAGCAGAGTGGAAAGCAAAAGGCACCTTCAGCTTGGTCGCCTTGAAGCCTTCGTTACTCAAGGTCTGTGCCAGCTCATCGATCTTGTCGCTCGCACCACTGATGACAGTCTCACTAGGAGCGTTGATGCAAGCCACCTCAGTTGAGTTATCAAGGAGCTGCTTCACCTGTGCCACGGAAGACTTGACAGCAAGCATGGCGTGTGTTCCGACCTTGCATTGCTCGGTGAGAAGTTGTGCGCGACGACCGGCAAGATAGATGGTATCACTGGTAGTCAGGATACCGGCGGCATTGAGTGCAGCATACTCACCGAGGCTATGGCCGAGGACAAAGGTGGGGACAACACCTAGGGAGGTCCAGTACTTGGTCAAGGCCATCTGAATGCAAGTGGTTCCGAGCTGAGTGACAACTGGGCTGTGTTCCTCAATGGGAACGCTTCCGTCAATCAAGGGCAGAATGGCTGGGAAGCCCTGGCTCTGACCAATGCGATCAAAGTGCTCGATGTGAGTACGGAAGAGTGAGCAACTCTCAAACAGCTGGCTGCCCATGCCTGTATACTGAGCACCTTGGCCAGTGAAGACAAATCCAATACCAGGTGTGGTAGCAGGAGCCGGGCTGATGCTATCACGGTTGACAATGGGAGCCAATGCGCCTCTGACCTCATCCAGTGTAGATCCAGTAACCGCGACTCTGAACGGATGGTGGATACGTCTGGCGGTCGTAGTGTAAGAAAGGTTGGCAAGAAGGCTGGCCGGGTTGACATTGAACTGGTTCTTGTTCGTGTCAATGTACTGCACGAGAGCAGAGATGTTGTTCTTCAGGGCAGACTGGGATCGTGCAGAGACAACCACAGGATGGGTAGACCGGGAATCTTCCACATTTAACTCATTGAGAGGACCGTCCTCGACCAACAGAGCAGTGTTACCGCCAGCGGCTGAGAAGTTGTTGACGAACGTCTTGCGCTTCCCGCCACTGGGTCTGGTCCATGCGGTAGGCTCTCGAGCAATGTGAACGTTCCGCTGAGGGAAGTCCGTTGGAAAGTTGTGGTTGATCTTGGTCTTGATACCGCAGTGAGGAGGAATCATGTTCTTCCGCATCATCATCAGCACTTTAATCAAAGCGGTGACACCAGAGGCAGACTCTCCGTGGCCAACATTTGCCTTTGCTGAACCGAGGTGAAGAGATTGGGTTGGTCCGCGACGGTAGTCTGGAGCAAAGACGTCGAGAACTGACTGCATCTCCACTGCATCGCCAGCCTGAGTTCCAGTTCCGTGCATCTCAATATAGCTGATCTCCTTAGGGTCGGTGTTAGACTCGTTGAGAAGCTTATCGAAGATGAATGACTGGGCTCCAACGTGAGGCCGGGTGATGGAAACAGCCTCGGCAGAGTGGTTGGTGTACGCTCCATTGATGATACCATAGATGGGATCGTTATCAGCCTGAGCATCCTCGAGTCTCTTCAGAACGATGGAACCAATTCCATCAGCTCGACAGTAACCATCAGCTCCGTCGTCAAAGGTAGTGCAATTTCCAGTCCTTGAGAGGAAGTGGCCACGGTCGAGACCTGCATGGTTGTCAGGGTTCGTGAGGATGTTGACACCGCCAGCTACGGCAGAGTCACAGTCATTTCTCCACAGCGAGTTGCAAGCGATGTGGATTGCTGCGAGACTTGAAGAGCAAGCTGTGTCAACGCTGACGCTGGGACCGCTGAACTTGAAGTAATAGTTGATACGGCCGGGAGTGAAAGCACGGTTACCACCAGGAATGAAGTAGGTATCGATATCCTGACCGCTGTTAATCTCACGGTAGTCGTCACTGGTCATTCCATAGAAGACACCGACTCGGTTCTTCTGTGTAGAGGGAGTGCTGTCAGGGATGAAGCCAGCCATCTCAAATGCCTCATAAGCGGTCAGGAGAGCGAGTCGCTGAGCAGGATCAGCCTGAAGAGCCTCACGGGGAGACATGTTGAAGAAACGAGGATCGAACATTCCTGCGTCGTTGTACCAGCATCCGTATTGAACCTGGCTGGTGTTTCGTGTCTTTCCTTCCATATCGACATGGGCCTTTACATCCCATCGCTCGGCGGGAACTTCACGGTGAACATCCATTCCTTTATACAAGAGGTCCCAGAATGCTTCGGTGTCAGGTGCTTCTGGGAATCTGCCCGAAAGACCGATGATCGCGATCTTGGATTGTTCAGCACGGCCAGTGCGGTTCTCAGCCTCAGAGTCATTTTGAACCTCGCCGATGGAGCCATCAACTTCGAGGTTGGAGATTCCAGCTTTCTTTAACGAGTTAAACAGACTCTGGGTAGCAGTGCTAGAGATTGGAAGCAATGTGCATGTTGTCGTAGCAGTCTCCAATATCGAATGACAAGATTCAATAACCTTGTCCCAGCAAAGCTGACGCTGCAAGATCTCCTCGAGGGAGAACTTCAAGAGCTGCTCCAGGCTCTCGGCCTGGAGCTCATGGCCAGTCTCACAGGAGAGAACAGGAATCTGAGGCACATAGCTCGCGAACTCTTCCTTGGGCCAAGATTCCATGATACGGTTAACATCTCTGTCATCAAACAGATGAGAAGCATGGTATGGGCCGTGGATCGGGACCCTCATTGGCTTGTGTTCCTTGGTGAGGTTGATCTCAATGAAACGGCCAAGGAATGTTGGAGGGCCACTGATTGTGAGTCCATTTTGACTAACTGCACTAATGTAAGGCTGGGACACACGGGGCAAAGCCTTCGGAAATTAGTTATATGATAAATACATATTTGAGGGTTTCAAGTAAAATACTCACAGTCGTCTTCGCAAACTGTTGAATCAGCTCGTGAGCCTCGGGCTCGCGCATGCCAGAAACTAGCACAGACCAGCTTGCTCCTGGTGACTTGTTCGTTTCTACAAGATCCTGAACCTTTAGGACGCAGATACCGAGTCTCAAAGCAAGCACCACGGTTTCAACGCCGACTGGAATAAGCTCTCCGACTGTTTTCGAAGAGCTGACAGCTGCAGATGCAAGCTGACCGGTGCAAAGACCAATAATGCAGTTCTCGTCTCCCGACGGATAGGCATGACCCAAATCGCCGTAGTAGCTAAGAAACAGTCAGAAACCAGATTCTCAATGTTTGCAGTAGCAAGTTTTGGGAATCTTACTGAATAAAACTTCCCAGTTGGTAAATTGTCATCAATGCGCTCTCCAAGGCCGCGTTTGGTCCCGACTCTCGGTATCTAGCGAGCAGATCAACAACGCTGGTGAAGCGAGGGAACTTCTGCCGCTCAGATGGCGGCAGTGCAGTAATTTCCTTGCGCAAGGCATAGTAGCACTTCTGGAAAAATGCCGACAGCAGCGAGTCGTTCTTAGCATGCAAAAGGCGCCGGATCCCCGAGTCGAAATCCGCAGTCTGGTCTCCGAAGAGATACACACGACTGGGACTGTCCATAATCAAGCCAGGTGCCTAATCACTGGTACAAAACTCTACAAAAGAAGAAAGAATGTTTCAGCTCAGGCGCGAATTGAAGGAAATGATACTTTATAAAATGGTACACGGACTTTTGTTCCTTGTGGGTCAGAGCTAATGGTAAGGCATCATGAGTCTATGAACTATGTCTATATGGCAACGTAAAAAGTCTTCGTTCCCTGTTTTCGAACGGATCTGTTGGTACACCCACAGTGGCTAAACTTAGGAAAGATAAGCAGCCAACAGCAAATCCCGAAAAGAGCTTTTGGATTCTATAGTACTCTTGCCCATCGATATAGGGTTTGACCAATGGCACCGTTACTGTAGTGAACCCCATACTGCCTGCGAGGCTGAAGTATTCTTGGCTCGGGTAATGCTGTACAGGGATAGATGTGAATCATACGGCTCTGTTCCCTGGATAACAGGAACTATGCCATAAATTAGTCAAGGTACCGGCAAACCGAGGCGATTTCCCGGTTGCCCGAGTGCTGCTTGCGGATGAGACAGCTAGCTTTTGAGGGGCGAGAGCTGAATCGAGTCCTAATTGGGCCGTCCATGACATGTGTATTTGGATAAAGAGTAATGATTCACAGAGAAATCCCCAAGGCATTGCAACTGAACAGTGAAATGTCGCCGCTTTCAGAAGGTTACAGCCGTAGCTTCCATGGATCACGTGATCCGCTTGCCCTAGGTGCCTCGACCTCTTATGTACCTTATGGGACACCTGAACTTTCAAATAATGCACAAAGGCTCAATAGAGTATCTCAGGTATATTAATTTGTCTTAAACTTCAGGAAACACAGGGGCGATACTTTACATGTAGGTACCCTAAGGAACACATAATTCCCCAACAAGATGGATTTCAGAGCTAAGTAGATTATCGATCGGAATGCAAGAATGCAAGAATGCAACAGAAATCCAGTTTGCCAAAGAACTAGCAAATCTTCAGCAACCTTAGTAATGATTTGTAGATCATCTCAAGACATCATGCTGACTTTTTCCCATACGTCATGACTCGCATTCAAAACATATTTTCTATTTTCTAAGACATTGAGCATCATTTTACCTTTCTTGATACAGTTGCATTTTGAGCCGAGTGCTTGTCTTATGGTGACGTTTGATCTTTGGACAGTACAACTGTGTCAAGGTTTGCTAGGAGAGAAATGCCTTTGGTTAAATAATATATACAGAGGCATAGTTACTGGCGCCCGACTAACGCAGGTTTTTTTTTTTTTTTTTTTTTTTTTTTTCCCATTTTTGAAAAAAAAAAAAAAACGTGGGATACGCCAAAATGAGCGAAAGTCATCATTACAAGTTCTCTCCCAGGAAATATCTCCACGTTGCAGCACGCGGTCCGCCTGACGATTTACGATTTTCCCGAACGCGATCAGAATAATAGAGCGGTGACGGACCGAGCCTGCATTCCAAATGACCGGAAACAGATTGTGGCTTGCGGAAATACAAAATAATGAACTGAATAAAGCAAATAAAACATATTGAATGGTATCATAGTTATTATGGCAGCTGTGTCTACGTAACGTCAGATAATAATTCAGAAATTCAGATTATTAGTACAAAATCAACATCATGCTCAAGGGCTACCTACCAGCGACGAGCCTGGTAGGCTCTGCCGATAGGTGGAGCAGGTTGCGGGTTTACTTCAACTGGCATCGGAGGGAAATCCTCATCAACTTCAACGATTGCAATCTACTCGTGATGGGGAGGACAGTCCGACATAGGTGGACTAGCGGGCATACGTTCAGGTGCGGGAGGCCACGTAGGCTTTCCACCAGGAATTGGCATGTTAGGGTGAGGCTTGAAAGATGAGCCGCTTTGATCAGGAGGACCCTGGCCAGCAAGTTTAACCTGAGCACCGGGGCTTTTGTCTTCCCCAGCTGGGGCCATACATCAACAACATTAAGAAGAGCAACAGTCATACCATTGGACATTTGTGTTTCAATGTGGCAGTGGAAAAGGAAGGGACCCGGGTTAACAACCTGGTACCGCACAATCATCCACGTCGGTCCCGTAGGGCCATTGGCGACGGAAGTATCTCTCATCTGAGGGTTCTCTACCTGGAGCAGTTCCGGACGCTCGGCGTAGGCCTCCTCCTCTGTACTGGACCAGTTGAAAAATCCAGGGCCAACACCAAGAATGAACGCCTTGTTGGGGTGCTTGTGCATAACGTGAGGCCCTGAATGGCAGGGGTGCTAGGCACACCTAGCTGAAGAAGAAGGTGTACCCAGGTTCTTTTCTTGGTTTGAATAGCGACCTTTGGGCCCAAGTTATTCTTTGCGTTGATATTGTAGAGGATTGGGTCGTCCTACTTAGTTATCATGTCATACAACCCACCACCAAATGTAGACCACATGTATGCAGAGTCAACGCGGCCAATAGTGAGGCTGACCAGCTGGTCGACAGACTTTGGGGTGGTGACGGGAGGATAAGGCTTGATAGCTCTGTTGTCCAAGGGCATGACAGAAGCAGGAGTGCTTCTGCCATCGTTGTCAACATCATCAAGGCTTAGATGAAGTTGTGTTCAGGAAAGCCTTGTATCTCATCGTAGCGAAACGGGAAATAATCTGGTCATCCTGTGTGTCGGGAACATGGATAGTGTAGTGTTTTTAGGCTCTGTCAAGCTTATCACGGCGGCGTAACGCTCACCATTGAATATGGTAACGCTTTGCGCAATCTGGGGCACAATATAGCTGCCATCAACCTCGTAATGTACATCGGAGGCTCATCGATGGAGAACATGAGAGATTTGGGAGAGGAGGCACTGATAAACTTCAGGCTAATCCAACAGGTATTAGGATCGACCTCGATAACCTCATGCGATCCGGTGGTGGGGGTGCCGCCAGAGTTTATTCCAGCGGGGATCTTGCTCTCGTAGGTAGGAAGGGAATTGCCCTAAGTCTCATAAATATTGGGCAAGCCTAAGTTATTGAAATTAGTCAGAGGACACGTTGCGTTTACAAGGTTAAACTTACCCTTTGCCTCTCAATGGCTGATTACCAATAGCAGTCTTCAAGTAGGAAAGCTCCAGATTGAAAATATTTTCAGTGCCTGGGCAGAATACTGCTCCACGGTCATTTATAAGGACACTGTATGAGCAGCTGAATGCTGTTAACACGTAGTTATCTAAGAAAAGAATGAGATTGACTTACAAAACACCTAAGCGGTTGTCCTCCATTGCCTTCCGGTACTGTCCAGATATCAGGTGGCCCCAATCAGACACTGTAACAAGTTGAGGGTTCTTTTCTGCTTCCTTTATCGCCTCGATATCATTCTCGTTGCTCGAGATGAGACGAAATGGCTGCTGAACATCGGGACCAGGGCTATAACTGTTAGTGTGTTGCATATCAAATATGGCCTCGAAACAAAAGCTTCTCGTTCCAAATAGGCCCGTAGAGGCCGTCCACCATGTCAGCCTTGCCGTGAGCATGGTAGCAGTAGGCTCCATACTGGGTGGCCGTTCATTTATATGTCCAGCTATGTCCAGGCTGGATTGGCTTCTGGGTTAGGCCAGGAATTCCGTCAGACCACGCAGTATTCCGCTGCTCAATACCGTGGAAGTGAACCGTGATGTTGAAAGGCAAGCTGTTATGTACAAGAACCTGGAAGTGGTCAGCATAAATGATCGCTGTAAGATTATGCTCAAAATCTTACTTCAACCTTGTCACCGTCACCCTGGTTTAGTCGAAGCTCAGGTCCGGGGAACTGGTCATTCATGAAGATCATCTCCCGCATATTGCCATCTGGTGCACCGTTTTGCCATGTAAGATCGAGATCGAAGTGAACCTGCTTAGTCCAAGCTGGGGGCATAACCTGTAGGAAGGCGAATGGTGCCATAGTTGGGTGACTTAATACCAAGGAAGAATAATTAAAATTGAGATAGACAAAGAGTTTGATTTTGCCCACTGGTACTGGTAGTCGATATTGAGCTTGTCAAACTTACACACTATTTTCAATCTATGGGAATTACGGAGCTATTTGAGTAGTTTGCATTATGACTTATCATGGACAGCATCTAGTCCTATGTTCTGCTTCTGACCGGCATGGAGAAGCATTTGACGTCTGCAAACGAGTTTCCTTTTTTGACAAAATCAGGGAAAGCTATATTCTGTTTGACATTTTTGCATAATTGGCAAAGGTAGACAAAAAAGCAGAGGGTTGTCTAGCGGGCTGGGGAAGGTCTGTCTACAAACAATTTTCCGTTTCCGACAAAGGGTACTTCGACCCGAGATGCTCGGAGCTTGAACCGAGACACGCTGACAGACTGCGCATTGGGAGGAGCTCGCTAAGTGCAGTGCTCTGTCAAAATCCAGTGAGAATCGACAAGGGGGACCATCCAGAGATCTGCGAACAGGAGGCTTCCCGTTGGTAGCTGGGAATTCTTTAACCTCCCACCGGAATGTGGCGATTGCCTGACTAGCGTCTCGGCATGAGAGGGGGCATTGGCCACCAGGCTCTCAAGTATGTGGAAGCTCTGTATGGCTCAATAGCTATTGCGTGTACCCCTGATCCAGGTACGTAAAATGATTATATTATGTATACTACCGAAATGACATCCAGGTTTAGTTAGGCCTTATACATCAACAGTTAAAGTTCAGCATTGATCAAGACAAGGAAGCTGTGAAGATACAGACCATCAGCTGGAATTAGTTTGAGGGGCTAGTTGGTGACTGATTAACTCCTTAGATTGAGACTTTAGAGGGTGAATAATTGTTCCAGACTGTGACATGCTGAGTGAGACCGAATGGAGAAATCTTATTGTAGATTATACATGCAAAAGAAACTAGTAGGAAGCCAAATTTTTGCACCCTAGACAGTCATCAAAGCTAATATGAATATCATCTGACAAGGGAATACTGGCTGCGCTTGTAAATTTTCTCTGATCGGGCTCCCGCTTAAGAAGAAAACAAACGAGACAGAAATCAAAAGAACTAGTCCTCTATGACACATTTGTCAGTTAGGATCAACCATACGACTGTACAAAGGTGAGTCTTTAACTTCTACCCCGTGGTATGAAACAAAAGAGAGGGATGGCGGGGGTTGCTAGGGCACAGGCGATTGCGGCACGCTGGCCGATGCTCCACACGCAGACAGAGTGTGCAGCTCCATATTGTGCTGGCATTTGGATATGTATATTATGTGATTGTTCCGTATCAGAAGCAAAGTTATGTCCCTTTAATGTACCATGCTAGGAACTTTGGAATAATATAGTTTCCCATCCACGGTTTGTTTTGGCTCCAACCATGGATCGAAGGCGGCTCGAACCACGGGGGGCTTGGTCAGCAACAAAGCGAACTCTTCAGGCTAATCCTCAAGCTAATGTTTATACTCTTCTTCGGACGCCACAGAGCATTTTCACGTTTAAGCGTAACGATTTATAGATCAGCCTATCTGCCACAGTTCTCTTCAGTTCTTGAAGGTCAATAAGTTAACTTAATAGAAACACGAATTACATAAGACGATTAAGCTTATCGATAAGACCTCCCTGTCCCGATCGGGACTAGCGGACCACCACCACAACGTAAACAACCTTGACTACCCCAGTAAACAATTGGGCCTGACCGACTCCTTCCACACTTCGACTCAGTTCCCCAGCACATTGGGCAGTCAATTAGTCCCCTCTAAAACCCGATTACCACTCTACCATACAATGCTGATTGACTGAGCGACCGTTGCTATCTAGCTATCCCTGCGACCGTGCGTTTACCCTGCGACCCCATCTGACCTGGGAAGCTGTGTTGGTACCAACCACGCAACACCTGCGATTGATACATCAACTGCCAACCTTGACCTGAAAATCCACTCGCTGGAACTGCGCTACGATACAACACTGTTGATTGGGTTGACTTCGTGCGTTGCGACCAGACCTTGCTTCGGTGAACGCGATGGCTCAACTGCCAGCAAAGTTCCCATGCTGGTGCCGAGCAGTATACTCTTGGGGCGGAGAAACAACCCGAGACTTGGGATTTGTAGAGGGAGATCTGATCGAATGTCTGAATGCAGGCGACGGACAATGGTGGATGGGACGGTTGCGCCGAGACAGGCGCGCAGTGGGACTATTCCCATCCAACTTTGTCGAGCTTCTGAGCGAAGACTTTGTACCCGTGAGCCGGGATACCAGTCCAATGGTGCTAGCGGGGTCTTCCCCGGTCAACAATCCTACGTTTGCGCCAAAGAAGCAGAAAACTGTGTGGCGGAAGCCTTTCCAGGCGCACAAGGAAGCTGTATCACCATCTGCCAAACTAGCCCGTGGCCCACTTGAATCTAGCCCAGCACCCTCGATTCCTCAAACTCCGCCTCGGGATGGCAGTGTTCCACGCAGCACAAAACCATTGCGCACACACGCGTCGGCGGTCAAGAACCAAGGCTCAGTATCCCGTCCCACATCGTCTGCATCGCGACCTTCGTCGCGCGGCGCATCTCCGCGTTCCTCAGTGGAGCCAGAGCGATCACCATCTGCAATCGTGCCACGAGGAAGTGTTTCATCCTCTAGGCCTTCGTCCCGTGAACCATCACCATTCCAAATGCAGGAACGCCCATCGTCGGTGATTCCAAAGAGCAGTGTCTCGTCCTCTCGGCCCGCGGTATCTCGGGAACCATCTCCATTGCCAATGCAGGAATACCCATCAGCAATTGTGCCCCGTGGCAGCGTCTCATCCTACCGACATTCATCTCGTGAGCCATCTCCATTGCAACAACATGAATACTCATCCACAATGATGCCACAGGGCAGCATGTCTTCTTACAGGGATGCATCCCGCGAGCCCTCTCCATTGCAAATGCAAGAACACGCATCTGCAATGGTACCATATGGCAGTGCTTCATCCTACCGTCATGCATCCCGCGAACCATCCCCCTTACAGATGCAGGAGTACTCATCTGCAATGGTGCCACAATGCAGCATGTCATCTTATCGGCATTCATCCCGTGAGCCATCTTCATTGCAAATGGAGGAGGATCGAGAGGACTCGCCCCCTCCTCCACCTCCACCGCCACACCGTGTCGCTATCAGTCGTGCGGCATCCCATTCTCCACAGCCGCCGATGCACCCTGCTCAGCCTCGCGCTCAATCCCCTCAACCGCCAATGCATGCACCTCATCCTCGCGCGCAATCTCCTCAACCACAGATGCACGCACAACAGCCCCGCGCGCATTCTCCCCAACCTCCATCACATACTCCTCGCCCTTCACATTCTCCTGCACCCCTGGTTATGAACGACCGTTATGTCATCTTTGATCGTACTCCATCCCCATCCGCAGCTTCGACCCACTCCGCAATGTCTGAACATTCGGCGCAGTCAGATATCCATGGAAATACCCCATCTCCACTGCGGGATGCCATGGAGGATGTCATGACTTCATTGGAAGATATGGGCCTTCCCCGCCAAGCTGCATCGCCTTCTCCAACACCAACATTCAATGACCCGTGGGCGCCAGAGAACTTTGATACCTCAAATGAAAGGACTCCACAAGGCAACAGACGCCGACCATTGACATCAATGGGCTTTGATGGCGACAAAGATCAGCGTCAAGGTGGACTCGTCCATCGAAATAGTGTCTATAGCCATGACCATTATATGGATGGACCTCCGCAGTTGAATAATTATGTTCAAAGAATGGAGAGCCGCCTTCGCCAGCTAGAAGACCAGAACCGACAGCCCGAAGACGATAAAGGGGGCCCTGAGGACGACGACGGCCCCCTCCACCACCACCAAAGCATGCTACCTATCACCCCCGTAACAATTCAATTGCAGGACAGTTTCCTCACCTGAAGTCACGGCGGTCCGGGCAGGCCCTTCGGGGAGATATTCTCAACAGATCATTCACCAATAAGTCTAGTGCGACCAATTCGTCCAGCGGTGTCCAAAGTAATGGTACATCAATGACGAACAGTACGGACAAGACCAGCCAAAGTCTGATGAGTGGGTTCTCTGCAGGAGGGTTCAGTGCAACGAGCGCGGGTAGCTTTGCCAGACGAGGCGGCCACGAACGGCCAAACACTGCTATGGATACTGTGCGCTCTCGTGGTTTCAGCGATGCTCGTCCAGAGACCCCTTTCACCGGTGTATCTTATCACTCCAGTCACAACTCATCTCGCCAGGGCGCATCCTCTGCCATTCCTTGGTCATCAACTGATCTCGACACAACCGATCACAGTGGAGTTTTTGGTGGCCTCTCCACGCCGAAGACGAAAAAGCAAGGCTTCTTCAAGAAGATTTTTGAAACAGCGAAGACTGGCGCTGCCAGTGCGAGGAGTAGTATTTCTGCCCATGGGGACAGGTCACAGTCTCAATCTCCGACCAAGAGCAGCAGAGGTATAGACGTGGTATCACCCATGCTCACATCTCATGGGAACCGTGACAGTGCTCGTGATATGGGAGTCGGCGGCGCTAGCACCATCGACTGGGTTCAAGTGCGCCGCGATGTCAACCGCGCGTCCTCTCCCAGCCGCAATGAGAGGGTTGAAAGGGCAGAACGATGCCAGATGCACGACCACCCTGTGATCTACTCTGTAGAGGAACTTTATGACACTGCGGAGGGCGATGAAAGCATTGATGGCCAACCAATCAGTGAACCTACCAATTTCAATGCAGCGAACCTCAACCTTGTGGACAAGAGTGCGCGGTTCATTAGCAGCCTCCCACCAACAACAAATCCAATGAGTCTTGCGCAAGCCTACATCTGTCGACCATACAAGAGTGACGTCCAACGTCTTCGCGCTATCTTTACCTGGGTTAGCGAGAAGATCGCTTGGGAAGAACCAGTTGATGGCCTCGAAGTCGACATGAAGAGACTGTTACAGGCCAAACGAGGTACACCAGAGGAAATTGCTCTTCTAGTGCACGAGATGTGTGCAGCCGTAGGCTTGCATACAGAGATCATCCGAGGCTTCCTCAAGAGTCCCGGCGATGTCCTCGACCTGGACAGTCTCTCCCGTCCCAATCACTGGTGGAACGCGGTTCTGGTCGATGGTGAATGGCGCTTCATGGACTGCGCGCTCGCCAACCCCACGAATCCCCAGCGGAGTCGATTCGTCTCCAACAACTCCGCCACGGCAGAGAGCTGGTACTTCCTGACGCGGCCCCTTGACCTTTGCTATACCCATGTCCCGCTCTACCCTGAGGAACAGCATATCTGCCCACCAATCTCACCCGATGTCCTCCTCGCTCTCCCCTCTGTCTGCCCACCATTCTTCAAACTGGGCCTTCAGCTACCAGACTATGACACAAGTCTGCTTCGCATAGAAGGCCTGGAGGTAATGCAGCTGCGCCTTGTCGTCCCCTCAGACGTCGAGTGTGCGGCGGAAGTTGAAGCACCAGCCTTCGCCCGCGATGCAGACGGCGACTTCTTCGAAAGTGGAGACATCGTACGCAAGCGTGCCCTCGTCCAGCCCGATTGGTTCCGCGGCCAAAAACGCATCACTATCAAGGCGGTACTCCCTGGTGACGAGGGGCAGGGTGTTGTAAAGGTCTACGCAGGAAAGAAAGGTTTGATGCACTCAAGCAAAGACATCCCTCATCCCCTAGCATTCGCCCTCCCTATGACCCATACCGGAGAGAATCCCTCATACGACTTCGTCCTGCGCCATCCGACGCCACATGCCCAGCGTCACGATTTGTACATCATGCAACCGCAATGCTCGCGCCTAGCAGTAAACAACACATTCGTCTTTGCCGTGCGCCAGCACCCAGCATCCGCAACGCCAGCCAAGGACGAATCATCCTCCAACGGCCGTGGCTCGCCCTCATCCGTCTTCACCCGTCCATCCAGTGCGTTGAGCATGGTCTCCAGCAACGCCGGCGGCTCCACCGTCTCAGGTGCCTCGTATGAATTCTCAGCATCGACTTCTGCAATCTCATCCACGAAGTCCGCCTCCGGACGGGACAAGCCCGCTAAACTGGCCATCCAATCTCCGTCTGGCAAGATCCTCCGTCTAACCCGGAAAGCAGAGCACATGATCAGCAGCGACAATAGCAGCGAATCAGTTACAGATGCCGCTGCCGAAGGAAGCGTCTGGGAGACAGTCATCAAGATCGGAGAACGGGGCATGTGGCGTGGCCTGGTGCTAGCCGACCGCGCTGCGCGGTGGTGTGTATTTTGCGAGTGGGAATGCATTTAAGTACTACATTGTATCGGCGTTTATTGATTTACTAGATCTCCAAGGCGGCTCCCTTTTTTTTCTTTTTTTTTATTATTATGCGATTTGCGTGCTTGCATCTCTTCGATTTTCCTTATTACGTCTCGTGTGTGATCTTGTTCTCCTTCCATACTGTCATTTGCATCTGGTGGGCCTGGAGCATTGCACATATTGCATTCATTTTTTGTTTCCCTTGTCATTCCAGAGAACAAGGCATTGGTGTTTGAGGGTTGGATTAATAGGAGTCCTTGAGCAATTCAATTCTGCATATTCCACTTCGGTACCGTGTAAGGTGTATTTCTATCAAGTAGATCATATAACAGTTTGTTTACAATTTAGATACTGCCGTCCTAAGCAACGGCGCAACCTGCTTTCTACTCCCAGCAGCATTCTTCTGGATCCATAACCTTCTCCAAAAGGGTGTATCTGACCCATTCAGAGCAGAACACACATCTCCTAGCTCGGAGATATTCTCGCCGTCCAACGGAGACCACTCGACAAGCTCGAGTCGGGAAGTGGTCTGTTCAACAAAAGCCTTGACACCCTCAAGGGCAGACTCATTTTCACGAACCACGCAGACAAACAGCTCACGACAGAACGAGCCATCAGCTGCCGTAAAGGCCGTCATAACAACAACAATATCTAGCTCCTTCTCCGCTGTAGCCGCAAACGAGCGTACAGCATCCAGGAATTTCTCTGGTGTACCCGCCTTCTGCACAACCCATCGGATAGGCTTAACAGAAGAACAAAATCCCATCTTAACAGTTTTCCCAGAAGACTGGGAAGTCTCAGTCCAGTCCTTATAATCCCGATCGAGGACTTCATCCAAATTCAAGAGATCGAGACTATTCTGCTTAGCATTAAGAACACCCTCGTAGAAAGCCTGCAGATTCCAGTTGTCTTGTGGAACCTTTGCTGCCTCCAATTGTCCTCCGATCTGAGATTGCAGGGTCTTGACAGCCTCGCGGTCCACATCAGTGACCTTGCCCTCGGCAGTGAGATTTGATGTATCGATCAATACCGCCGAAAGAGCGAGTTTCGCTACTTGCACCATCTCTGCTGAGATTGCTTGCCCGTCGCCCATCAGCGTCCGGTTCTGAAGTTCCCTCGTGATAAGGGATGCGCAGGAACCGGGACCGGGTTGAATGATTAGCGGCTGGTTCTCTGGTAGTGATTCGGTACTTGGCATGAATTTTTCATCGACGTGGTGGTCGATGCATCCCACGGCTCGGAAGGTGACACCTGGCAAACCAGGTAGTGAGCCAGATCCCTTGTCTGTGTCGGAAGGAATTGGAAAGGCATTCCAATCGACGAGAGTCGCTTCAGCAAGGAGCTGTTTGAAGATATTTTGCTCTTGCAGGTTTTGCGCAAAATCTGCAACTGTCACGAGATGCAAGCCGAGGAGATTTCCCGCCGAGCCTTGGGCGTTCTCAAATTGCTCCTCGGCTCTCAATGCGGGAAAATTGGTCGATAGCCATAATGCAGTTGCAAACTCTGGTCGTAGCCGATATAACTCCGGGCCTGCAAGCACGTTGGGAAGATTGAGCAGGGGAATATGAGGTCGTGGGGCTTTGAGTGGGAGGCGGTTGTTCGCGCAGAAGGAATAAATGATCGCCGAAACAATAGAGTCGAGGTCAGCTGAAGGATTGCCGATCACGTAGATTGGAGATTCGGATAAAGCACCCGAGAGGAACTGGCGGTGCAGCTGGCGCGCCTGTCGCAGGAACTGGAGGAGAGTCATTGTTGAGAAGATTCCGATAGCTCCAAGGGTCCGACGTCATCGCCAGGCACGTGCGGAGTTGAACATCTCCAACTTCAACTCCAACTCCAACACAACACAACAACACGCCACACCAAAATGAAAAGCACAATGGCCCTCCCCCTCCCAGAACGCTTCTCCCAAATCCCCCGCCATGCAATTCTCTACCAATCCCCATCCCCAATCCACCCCCTGCCCACACTTTCAAGATTAACACACCCCCGCATAACCCTCTTCGCCAAACGCGAAGACCACTCCTCCCCACTAGCATGCTCTGGAAACAAATACCGCAAACTAGAATACATAGTCCCAGACATCCTCTCCAACAAACCCATCCACCACGCCCACGAGAACAACTTAACCCCAGCAGCACCTCTCCCAGGCCCAGCAACGACCCTCGTAACAGAGGGCGCAATCCAAAGCAACCACACCGTCCAAGTCGCAGCCCTGGCACGCATACTAGGTCTCAAAGCTATTGTTCTGTTACACCGCGGTACGGGCGGTGGATTACGCGCGGCTGTTGATAAAGAGGGCTATCTGCGCAGTGGGAACGTGCAGGTTAATCGTCTTCTCGGTGCTGAGGTGCGGGTCTGTGAGGAAGGGGATCCGCTTGCGGATGATGCGACGCCGCTGCTTGAGGGGTTAGCTGCTGAGGGGGAGAGACCGTATTGGATCCCTGGGGGTGCGAGTTTGCATCCGCTTGGGGGGTTGGGGTATGCGCGGGCGGCGTTTGAGATTGCTGAGCAGGAGGAGGGGATAGGGCTTGGGGGGAGTGGACGGTTTGATTATGTTTTCGTTGCTTGTGGGAGTGGGAGTACGGTTGGAGGGTTGGTTGCTGGGTTTAAGTTGTTGGAGAAGATGAAGACGGGGAGTGGTTCGAGGAGGGTTGTTGGGATATTGAATTCGCCGACGAAGCCTAGGGCGTATCATGAGGAGAGGGTGCTTGCTTTTGCGAAGAGGGCTGGGGGGATGATTGGGCTTGAGGATGGGGATATTGGGATGGATGATGTGCGGCTTGATGATCGATTTGTTGGGAGTGGGTATGGTGTTTTTGATGCGGATACGAAGGAGTCATTGGAGTCTATAGCGAGGACAGAAGGCATGGTGCTGGATCCAGTGTATACGGCCAAGGTTGCGAGGGGGATGATGCATTGGGTTGAAGAAGGAAAAATCGTGAATATTCAGCAGCCCTTGGATGAAGTGAATGTTTTGTTCATGCACACCGGTGGGCAAGCTGCTCTAGGAGCGTATGCAGATATCAAATAAGCCAGATTGGCGCACAAGTAAAATCAATAAGAATGGCTGGATTCAACTAGTATTACAGGGTGAGTTGGCAGCAGCAAAAACGATAACTCGTGACAAACGTGGCCTTGGTGGTATGAAAAACAGAAGTAAAAACAGAAAATAATTCGCTGGAAAACACCCCCGGACTCGCCAGACCCATCTCTTGTAGTACACCTTTTTCGAAAATTTATAACAAACGAAGCATAGAAGAGGGGAGTCAGATAGGGACAGAAGCAAAGAAAAAGACAATAGAAAAACAGTAAAGACCTGAGGAACATATGGTCGGGTTTTAGAAGAGAAGAAAAATTTGACCGAAAAAAACACTCAAGCAAGGCGTGATCATAGCTCTGAGTCGTCGAGGGCTTCATTGGAGCCTTCATGTTTGATTTCATGAGATTCGCTAGTTTGGATTGGCTCCTCATGAACTGAGCCAGCACGACTGCTGCCATTATCGGCTACCAGAGCTGCGAGGGCCTCGTTCGCATGAGTATTCTCCATAGACTGTCCCTCAGCCTCAGGATCGACATCTTCTTGATTGGTCAAATCCGCAAACACATCATCCAAATTCTGGCGAGGACTGCTGCTTGCGAATTGAGGTTCACGACCGAAACGCGGAGGGCTGAAAAGCGATGTTTCCATACCCTGCTGGGGTGAGGGAGATCGAGGTAGGAACGAAGGGGATTGAGAAGCGACGGCGTGAGGGAGGAAAGCAGAGGATGATGTAGGTGCAAAGGCTGGTGTGGAGTCGCTAGCAGGCAGAGAGTAGTTTGCGGAGAAAGGATATGATGCAGTATTTGGGTCTGACATCGGCGTCAATGTTGGACCCGTGCTCGGAGGTTGGGTACTGCTGGAAGTCACAGGTGCTGGCTGCAAAGATGTAGGCCGAGCAGACTGTGAGTGAGCATCCACCGATTTCCGCTTGGTGACGCCGATATGCTTGGGACGAAGATGCTCTGGGAGATCCTCGGGACGATCCACGCCAAGCTGGGCCATCATCTTCTGTTGCTTAGTAGGGCGTGGCTTTCGCGTGGACAAGGACTGCTCCAGAATTGGAGGAGGTTCCGGGGCAACAGGAGCCCACTTATGAATTTCCTGCCGGAAGAAGTTTGTCTCAAAAGTGAGAAGAACTTCAGCACCTTCTATTTTGCGCAGGTAGAATATCAAGGTAGGGACTTCCTCGGTTGTAGTGCAAGCAGCATTCGTAAAGCCATGCAGAAAATCGCGGAACGCAGTAGCTTGGTTGATAATATTCTCGAGAACCTCTTCCTCTTCGGGCTGGAAAGGGAGAGTTGCAATCTCCGCATGCCAGTCCTGAAGGTCCTCAAGTTTAGGACGAGCTGCATCACGTGGAATCTTCTGTCGCCAATCGCAGATCGGGCATGTGTACTTGTCGAACTCCTTGACTTTTCCCCTCGCAATCTTCAAGCATTTCCCATGGTACCTATACGCTGTAAGTTATCTTATCTCCAATCCATAGTGTGTTTGTTGACTTACCATTCGTGACAGACTTCACATTCGATCATCATCCCTGCCTCAGAGTGTCTGCAGATACAGAAAACATCCCTCTTTCGTGACTTCGGACCCCACACATTCGGTCCGCTGTTGGTATTTTCAAGCAGACCGTCAGGTGAGTTATCCCGAGAGGAGGGCTCCACAGGCGGGCGGTAACTGTCCTCAAGATCGAAGCAGTACGAATTCCGCTTAGCAACGTATTCCATGTGAGACCTCAGGATGTGCAAAGGGGCGTTGGCCTTGCCAAACAACTTCTTGCCCTTTCTCATCCAGTCTTCGTGTCGCTTTTGTTCCCGCTCCAAGTCAATTGCGCCGATGGGTCGACTGGTCAAATGCTCAAGAGACTCCATTAAGTCCCGGATATCCTTGTACTTGGGTCGATTCTTCAGCTCGGGATCCTTGCTCTTCTCGTACAGAGTTTGGATCCGCTTCTGCGCCTCACGTTGCTTGGTCAAGATGGCATCCACAGCAGTGAGCGTATCTGGCGATACTGGGAAGCGAGACGCCTGCGCAGAGAGAGCTTCCAGTTGCTGATAGTGGACAGCTTCAACCGACATCAATTCCTTGGCCTTGTTCTCCCACGCATCACCGAGGCGAGTCAGTTCCTTGAAATGTAGCAAATGCTCGTTGGTCTCGGAAAGACCTAGCTGTTCAGCGGAAGAGACAAGATCTCGGCAATTCTGAAGGGTCAGGTACTGATCACGTTTGCGAGCAGCTTCGTCGGTCCATTTGATTTGTCGGGAGACTTGTTCCAGGTGTTCCAGTTCCGGGATTTCCACGTTGAAGTTTCGGCCAGATTCGATCATCTCTTCAATCTCCTGGATCGGTCGTGTGTGCGGGTTCATAAGGGCAGCATTAATATCCTGGCGGAATTTCTCGATTTCGCGGGTCTTCTCTTCCAGCGCAGCCATCTGTGGACAGTCGAACGAAAGTTTATCAGCCTCTGCCAGAAGGGCGTAGATGTGTTCCACTCTGCGGACTTCACGGTCGCGATCGTCCAGCTGCGCTGCCTTGGTACTGGTCCTGCGCCATGCCTTTTCGTTTTTTCTCCGGTTTTGTTGTTTCCGGGTAATGTAGTTGTTGGCTTCTTCCACCCATTTATCGCAACGCTGGACGAAGGCCGCAAGATCTTGAAGGCCAGACAAGTGGTACGGGATTTTCTCACCTTCATTGAGTAAGGTATGAAGGGCCTTAAGCTGGGGCTTTGGTTCATCCTCCAAGGTCTTGTCGAGCTTTTCGGACCAAGTTTCCGGGATCCTGGCACGTTCTTGGACCTTCTGTACGAGCGCCTCTAGATCGGCATCACTCATACGATAACGCAGGGTGTGGTTTGGACCACACAACTTCTGAGCAAAAGTTTCTCCACAGCAGTCGTACGTGTCCACATGCAGCAAGCAAACAGTTTTGCCTGATTTATGACAGCGGAACTGGGTGAGGTAAGCGTATGCTTTGCAATGTTGACACTGGTAATCATCTTCAGGAATATCTTCATCCTCAATTACAAACTTCGACTGCGGACCCTCTGCCATAGAGGTAGAGTAAGCGGAATTAAGGGCAGAGATTTCCTTCTGTCGGGCTAAGAAGTGAGCACGTTCACCAAGCTCTCGATCGCGGGTTCTCGCCAAAGCAGGTGCAAGCCACTTGGAGGTGGCAATTGAAGTATCACGCAAAGCCGCCGTCAAAAGCAATTCGTCATGCGAGAAGCACGGATGTCTGCGGAAGTTCTGAAGACGTTGAACACCGAGTGCTCCATACGGCTCCCAGTCAGCAGGCGCAAAGTTGACTGCTTCATTGAAATTGAAGCCGTGGTTGAACCCTGCATGATACGCTTGAGGGAACGTGAGAACGAATTGACCAGCGCGCTGATCCACGGCATAGACGTTGACGCCCGCCTTTCGAAGCTTATCCGGGGGCATCAACGTCACAAGCTGGAAAAGGAGGTCGGGCTGTCCTTCAAAGAGTTCCGGGACTGCATCGCGCATAGCAGCCTCAAAGGCCTCGGCATCCGCACCGGGAATTCCGTACCAAGTTTTAGTAGCGCCGAAATGCTGGTAATTGGCCGAATATGCGTAATGATCCTCGTTGTGCCAGCAGAAAGTTGAGAAGCACATGCCAACATAGACCCAAGGCACTGTCATGCCAGAGATGTCAGACTTGATGTGACGGAACAATGAGTCTCCATAGAATGGGAGCACGTTCAGATTCCAGGGATCAGAAGAGAATGGATCAAGAGGGTTGCGTTCGATGGTAGGGAATCCACTGCCATGGGTTGTCGAATGGATGTCCGCGCCATACTCGACCTCGACGGTTTCATGTAGATCCACAACAAGTTTCCAGAACTCGGCCTCAACATCGTCCTCTGTCTCGCGGCGATGCGTGTTAAGCACGGGATCAAAGGGCATTTTGGAAGCAAAATACTTCTTCTTGAACTCGTTTGCCTTATCCTGAAACTGCTTGAGAGAGTAGATGCCACCATCTTCAAAGCCGAATTCTCCTGTGCCAACCAGGCACTTGGGACAATGCCAGTCATGTTCCGATGGTGTTGTGGTAGATGGATCCAGGCAAGCTTTGTGATATCTAAGCTCACAACCGTCACACAGTAGGATTGAATCTTGATCATCTGCACTGCCACAGGTCTCGCATTTCTATTGATGAATCAGTATGAGGTTAATAACCGACACGGAGTCAATGCCTACCTCTCCATCTGGTGGAACACCATCCTTGCGAACTTTAGGTAGCGCAGGGCGAAGTAGAGACATATGGGAACCAGCAACGGTTGGTAGTGAATCTAGAAATACGATTAGACCAATCCTGTTTGAAGCGCGCAGGGAGATGTACCTTTTTTGAGGCGCTTGCTGCGTCGCCCACTTCCGCCATCATCGTCACCAATGTCACTCTGAGAACCATTCTCCTGGCTGATGGCACGCTTCACGGATTCTCCAGGTTGACCGTTCACAGGAGTGGATACCAAAGCATGCTCGGAAACAGTCTTGGGGGTCGATGTGCCGTTCTCTCCCTCCCGCTTGATAGGCGGACCGTTGTTCACCGGAGTGTTATTCCCAGGAGTGTTGTTCCCAGGAGTGTTGTTCGTCGGGGTAAACGGAGAGCGATTAACAGCAGTGAAACCACCAAGGCCAGTATTTACAGGAGTAAAACCTGTGGCCGCGGGACGTGGGGGAGGGGTGGGTTCGACGGGGGGTGTAGGCTTCTCAGGCGATTTTTCCATCGGGGTATGTGAAATTGCCATCCGGGGTAGAGTAGGAGTTTCATCGCGAGATTTCGAAGGTGTGCCATTCTCATCCATTAGAGGCTTGTAGGCCATGGGAGATTGATTGGGCGAAGGGGTGTAGGGGCCACCATGCTCAAGCTCAAGCTGTTGCTGGACACCTGGTTTGGCCCGGGCCAAATATTCCTCGTAAGGCTGTAGGTAGCGCTGGTAGGAGTTCTTGAGCGAAGTCGACAATGATGACATGATTTTGCCGCTGTATCCGAGGTCGCGACCGATTTCTGCCCATTTCTTCGTTTTGCACACGGATTCGAACCCACCACGGATCTCAACTGCCTTTTTGAGCTTGTAGAGATCCAATGGCCGCTTGTCAACGCTGGGTAGTCTGCTGTAGTTCGTGCCGTGCTGCTTGTGGAACATGGCGAGTCCATCGACGTAGTTCATGTTGGCGCGGTTACCTGAGTTAGAGTAAGGTCAGAACCGCACTGCGAAATGTTCCCAGGGTAGAATTATCTGCTGGATATTTGTGCTTACCTCCTTCGACGGAATTTAGTTCTTGTCGACGGGTTTTGAAGTGGAACCGCTGTAACCATTGTCAGCAGTGTTCCTACCAGTGCACCAGTCCCGAATGTATCCGTCAGAAGAGTATTCCTACCTCTGTATCAATTGCGAAAGTAGGTTGCCAGCCCTCTGGCGGGACTACTCTACAAATGCCGTACTTCTTGCCCTCGGGGGCAATCTTCTGGATGTAGGCCACCGGGTCTTTGAATTCCTCCTCCGTCGGACGGAAAGTCGGGGCTTCGGGAATTCCATGAGGGCGAATGCGCTTCGATGGCTCTCGAGGATTGTTTGGTTGACCACGGCGTTCCACAGTGGATAAATCAAGGGGCGTAGATCTGCGAGCGCTCAAGGGGACATTGTGGGAGTGTGATGGATGGGTGCTCGAGGACCGAGTCGGCTGTCCTGGCGCGGCCGCGGCCGTCGAGGTCGCCCCGGCGGAGGCCGGAGCTCCCATTGTTCAGAATAGGTTGGGCTAATGGTATATCGGTCAGATTGGGCGCGTCCCGTCGAGAAAATTAAAAGTGAGAGTGATGCGACAAGGGCATTGAGAGTGAGGGAGGAAAGGCGGTTTCGGAGTCCTGCGATCTGAAGGGGAAAGGTCGGGGGGCACGAACCAGGGAGTACGGGAAAACGGGATGTTTGGATAGAAAAAGACAGAGACAAGGTCGGAGGGGAAGGGAAAGAAGGGCAGTCGCAGGGAAGAAAGAGTAGATGGGATAGAAGCTTAGCGGATTATGTTGCAAGGACGTACAGATCAATGTACTGAGAAGTACTCTCGAGTCACTTTGTGTGGGCCACCAGTACTGAAGGGACCTCAAGTGACCTGGAAGGACTCCTCATTCCAGTACCGATTCATACAGTATTGGACTGCTCAGGGCCCGATTTAGTGCCAAAACGGTCATCTGCGGGTAATCTACTCGTAAAATACCGTTACTGCAAACGGAACCATGGATTCGAGTCCCGTGATATGCGACATCATACGGTGTTCGACGTGGCTGTGGTGAGGTACCGAGTTAATATAGACGCTCTGTTGTCTTCGGCTTAGTATATCTTGGGTTGCTGCTGATATTTTCACTTGTTTGTTTGCGTTGTGGATCGACTTCTTTTTGGGCCTTTTTCTGAGGCTCTGTAGGATCAACCTATATTCAACTCTAAAAGTATTCTGGCTTGATATATTTTCGATTTTGATTTCTCGGCATATTCTATCTCGCATAATCCATTGGGCTATTTGCAATTGACTTGGTACCCCAATTCCCCGTTAAAATATCTCATCATGTGACGAATGTTTATCAACGGCGGACCCGCAATGGAGCTAATATCAAGGGCCGAAGTGACTACAATCATGGAAGGGTCCAAACCCAAGCCAATCCCAGCGTATTACTGCTGTTATCTCCTCAGATCAACAGTCAGACATGCCTCGCTGTACATCGGCTCGACGCCAAACCCAATCCGACGACTCCCACAGCACAATGGTATCGCCAAAGGTGGGGCCAAACGAACTGCCAGAGACAAATTACGACCCTGGGAAATGACTCTGGTGGTGGAAGGGTTCATGAACAGGGTTGGGGCTCTGCAATTCGAGTAAGTATACCTAAGTTTACTTTCGATATATATATATACTCTCCCCCCGGCGATAGACAGTCTCGAATTCTAATGTCGCGCAGGTGGGCCTGGCAACATCCGGAGAGGTCTCGGCATATTGGATCCGAGGATGAGCTAGATCCCAATGATCCAGCCAAATCCAATATCAACCCCAAGACCGGGAAACCGAAGACCAAACCGCGCGCGCGTGTTAGGAGATCTTTGACGGCTCATCTGGAGGATCTGCATTCGCTGCTTCGGTCGTCTTATTTCTCTACGTGGCCATTGCGGGTTCGCTTCTTTCGGGCTGATGTATACCGCGTCTGGCGTGTTTGGAGTGATCGGGTTGATGGTAGCCTACCGGCAAATATCAAGGTCATTTTAGATGGAGATAACCTCGGTGTTGTTCCGGCTATTCAGAAAGGCAATGACCTCGTTCCTGTCGGGGGCGTGACCAACTTATCTGTTGATTATACCAAACTGGAGGATTATCTCGAGAAATCCATGTTCCTTCTGGAAGACCCGGAAGATCTACAGTGCAAGTGCTGCGAGGGACCTGTGTCTCCGGACAAAGAACAGATAGTGGTGTGTCCACAACCAGACTGCCGTGGCACGAGTCATATCTTATGTCTATCTACCAAGTTTCTTGACGCTGCCAATAACCCGGACCTCCTCACACCAGTTGAAGGGACCTGCCCAGCATGTGAAACAGTGGTACAATGGCCAGTGATGATGCAAGAGCTCACTTTCCGCAACCGAGCAGAAAAAGAAGCGCGCGCAATCATAACAAAGAAAGAGAAGCGTCTCCGCAAAGAGTCTGCAGCAAAGATATCTTCGGGGCCTCAGTCATCTCCTGTGAAGCCCAGGTCACAACGGACACAAGAAACCACAGACGACTTAGAACCAGATTGGTATAGAGAGGTTGATCTAGAATCCGACTCCGATTTCGACGGTCGACAAAAGAACAAAACGACTCGACCTGCGCCAAAACTCGACATTGTGATCGAAGACAGCGATTGGGACGACGCAGAACTTGTGGAATGACAGACAAGACAAGTCCAGCCTGTCTCTAGTTCGCAAGAGGTTCCAACTTCCTCAACGCGCCACACGTGTCCAGACCCGCAATGCAACCAGTCACAGCGCTCTGTATCTCCTTCGACACCTCGTCCATGGATTTACCCGCATCAATAATGGCGACATCCTGCATCTTCTCAAATATCGTCTGGAAAAGCTCCCGCACGCGGGTTTGCATGGCCGCATTCTCATATCGCTCAGCACCAAATCCACCACGCTTAGCCGCTTCCTCTGGGGAAATGCCAAGGAACAGACAAATATCCGGACGGGGTAGACCAATCTCCGGCTGCCATGCCCAGTCCAGGGAGAGTGTGGGGTTTGCTTTGGCGGCCGAGTAGACGACGCCGGAGTAAGAGTAGCGGTCTACGATGACTGTGGTGCCGCTTGCGATATCCTCTTCGATGCTCTTTGCTACCTCCCACCGGTTTGCCGAGAAGAGAAGGTGGATGGAATGGTCGTCTTGCTGGGATGAGCCGCGGAGGTAGCTATCGATTAACTTGCCGATGGGCGTTGTCCTGTCTGCAGAGTTATTAGACCAATGGCACAATTACAGAACACAGTTCAGATGAATACCTGGAAATCGAATGTATTTCACAACATGCCCCTGCTCTGAGAGGAACCCTCGTAGCATCTCGCATTGACTTGACTTGCCGGCGCGGTCGAGTCCCTCCACGACAATGAGAGCTCCGCGTCGCGTCTGCGCTGGTAAATCGGTCATAGTTGAGGATGTGAATATAATATTGTGTGTAATTGGCGTTCACTCATTAATATTGTAAAAGTCAGATCTCTCAGAATATGACAATAGTCCAAGATGTCCAAATGTTGTCCAAGTCCAACGGATGTTTATCAGCAAGCCGCATTTTCTCCCGATAAGATCAACCCCGAAGGCTTCACCACAACCTCCAGCAGCCATGGACGAAAAGCCCCCAATGACATTCAATCTTCTGGGCTCGGCAGCTCCAGTTCTCGCACCGCGGGTAGGTCAATTATCCATCCCTGGTCGCAAGGCTATCACAACGCCGCACCATGTCCCGCTCACGTCGCGGGGCACAGTGCCTCACATCGCACACGATGTGATGCGCGACCACACGGCGATTAGCAATTTATATATCGGACTCGAGGATTGTAAGTGATATCTCGAAGAGATCATCATCCTCTGGCCCATCCATCAAGACCATATCTGACAGTGTATGCCCACCCGGGCTTAGAACAGTCATCGAGAGAAGCGACTCTGCACCCGTATACAAAACACCAGCTGCGGCGCACGAGTCTCCCCCTGAAAAATTCACCTGCCTACCTAATGACATGCCCGTGTTCCTTGGCCCGCGGCGGTTTCCCGCGATTGTATGCCCGCCTCCTAACACGTCAACTTCTATCGCGCTGTCTACGTCCATTGGATTCCGCCAACTTCCCGCGAAACAATATGTGGAAGCAGTGCAAAAGCTGAGGCCAGATATTGCAATTGGAATGGCAGACCTAGTTCTGGGAAAACCCCCGGGAATAAGAGGCGCGAGAAGATGGTTGATCGCACGCATGCGTTTACTCGCGATGCATTGGAGCAGTTATACGGAAACACTGTTGCCGAGAAAGGCAAGTCAAAGACTGCATTCTTTGCACCGGTCTTACCGCTGGATAATGCGCAACAGTCGCTTTATCTGGAGGATTTGGAATCTGAGTTCCGGTGGGATATATCCGGTCTGGCGCTTTACCAGGCTGCCTCGTTGGAATTCATTCCTGCTTCTTTGGGGGATTTGCCGCGCTTGCTGTTTAGTAATCCTGCTACTCCTCATGATATCTTGCGTGAGATCTCGCTTGGTGCTGATCTTTTGACGACGCCTGTTTTGGGTGCTTCGTCGGATGCTGGTATCGCACTAGACTTCAAGTTCCCGCCTCCAGTTGCGCTGGATTGCGGTAAGCAGCCTATGCCGCTGGGAGCTGATATGTGGTCTGCTGAGCATGCGACTGATGTATCTCCTCTGGCTGAGGGATGTGTCTGCTATGCTTGTCAGAAACATCACCGGGCTTACTTCCATCATTTGCTGGCTGCGAAGGAGATGTCTGCGTGGGCACTTCTTCAAATTCATAATTATCACGTTTTGGATCTCTTTTTTGCTGGAGTTCGAGAGAGTATTCAGCATGGTACCTTCGAGCAGGACGTTGAAGCGTTCGCTCGCTTTTATGCCTCTGAGATGCCGGAGAGCAGTGGTCAAGGTCCTAGGTATGTCACTTTCAATGTGATTCCCCATATGAGATGACAGCCTTATTCATCCCATAGCGTCCTTATTTGGTATCACTTTGCTAACTATTTCATAGGTTACGTGGCTACCAACTCCCAGCCCCGGGAGCTCACCAACCCCGCCGCACACCAAAGGTATATGGCCGTCTTGAAGAAGTCATCGACTCATCTTCAGTTGTGACGCCTGACACCGACGCAAGCGGTCTCGAGGAGCACGGATTTGCGCAGAAGGCATAACCTCCAAACAAAATCTCTTGCATGAGCGGACCTGTTTATAGAAGCATTTGCTTATAACTCAGCGTATCAATGAATATAAACGAATCCATAAACAAGACATGCATATTCATAATATTCATCTCAATTGCACGAGGTCAAGACTACTATACAGAATCCATATTTTGTACCATTCATTTCTCGTATGTCCAGTCCAGGCTTGCCCTCATTACACCATCAACATCATTCTCCATCACCAAGGGTATATCTAGATTCCAATTGAGAGGCGGAAGTGGGGGATGCAATCTAAGCATCCTCGCCCGCCAACACTCGCCACATCCACTTGACCTCGTCTTCCTCCTCCTTCGAGCCGCGCTTGGTTCCAGCGCCGAACTGCTGGCCAACGACGCAGACGAGCCAGGCGTCATTCTTGGTGGTGTCCAGGTAGGTTTCGGTGGGTGAGCCGCGGGGGTAGATGCGGCGCCATTCGTCCCAGATTCGGAAGGCTTCTTCTCCCCAGGCGCGGAAACTGACCTCTTCGATGATGGTGGGTGTCACGATTTCCTTACCGCGGAACACGCCCCATGTGACGGCGTTGACGCTCTCTGGGTTGGAACCGAGGTCGTCCAGCTCGACATCGGCAGGCTGGGCTGGAAGCGAGGATTCAAAGGCTCCTGTGATGTTTGTAGCGAACCAGGTCAGCTTGTCGTGACCGTGCTGGGCGAACAGTGGCTTGAGGATATTTTTGTAGTCGTTGTTCGAGCAGAAGAACTCGACGAAAGGCTTCTGGAAGACGAAGCCCTCGCGCTGAGGGCCCCAGCCGAAGATGTGGTGGTCACTCTTCACGCCATTCACGGCGGGCTGTGAGGCCAAGGTCCACCAACCGCGGCCGTCAATGAGCTTGAGGAGCTCTGGGCGAATCAGTTCAGTCTCGGCGTTCAAGCCACCACCGTCTTCTTCGGCACCACCCTCTGACCACGGGACCATGTGTAGCTCTCCCGAGACGTGGCGCCGGAAGAGTGTGCTCATGTCCGATGAGTCCACTGGGTGTCCCCATAGCCGGCGAGCGGCAGCGGAAGTGACATGAAGCGAAGGGCCGTAGCCGTCGATTTCGCCGAAAGCAGGCGAGCGAGCATCACCCCATCGTCCGTTGGGGAAGTCGTCCCATGTTGCTTCTCTACCAAGCGAGCCCAGACCCTCAGAAATCTGGAGAGTAGTGCTGCGGTTGGGCTGCATGGGCATACCTACACTGTCTGCAAGGGCCTCGTGCACGGAATCCTGTGATGACTCGTGCACAGATAGCTTGTCCACGATAACCCGGTTATGAGGCTGCGAGTGCATAGACGACGCACGGCTTCTTCCCAATGTACGTCCGGGGAAATCGAGAGGAGCACCCTCCTCGATAGCAGAGTCGTTCATCTCTGAGTAAGGAGGGATCAAGTCGGATTGCTCCAAAATGAACGACACCGTCTTCTCCAAGTTCAAGGTGTAGAAGTGGAATCCCCGCGGTCCAGGGCAGGGGAGATCTTTGATACCACCCACGATCTCACTGACAATGTCCACACCGGCACGCTTGACTGCATCATCATCGTGCTTCAGCTCTTCCATACGTCGGGAGATCGGGGGAGGGATGGTGACGTGGCTGAGCTTGGTGACCCGGGTCAGGATCTTGTAGCTGTGAATGGGCATCAAGCCCGGGATGATGGGAATAGTCTTAAAAGCACCTGACTCATGGTTGCGGAGCATGTCTTCAAATTTGGTGTAAGCATCGATATCGTATGTCAATTGGGTCATGATGAAGTCTGCGCCAGCGACTGTCTTCTCAACCAGATAGGGAATGTCTCTCGCCGGATCCTGGATATCTTGGAAGGCATCGGCGGGATGGCCCTCGGGGTATGCAGCAACACCAACACAGAAGTAGTCCCCATGCGTCTTGCGAATGTACTTGACAAGGTCAACCGCAAAGGTGAAGTCCTTGTTGCTATCGTCCTCTCCGTGCATGTTGTACTCCTCACTGCGGGGCGGGTCTCCACGCAGAGCCAGGATGTTGCGGATTCCAAGAGCTTTGGCTTCATCAAGTGCCATATCAACCAGCTTGCGGCTCATGTTGGTACAAGTCAAGTGCAGGACCGTCGTTAACTGTAACTGGCGTTGGCATACTTCGGCCAACTCGAGCGATCGTGCCGCTGTGCTACCACCAGCACCCCAGGTGACCGTCACAAACAGCGGACGCAGAGCCTGAGCCATCCGCTCCAGACGCGCAGACAGATTGGCGAAACCCTACATGAATCCATAATCGTTAGTGACTTCACATCTTTGCGCACGCGGGGTTACCCCACCATCCGGGTCTTTGGAGGGAAGAACTCCAGGGAGAAGTAGTTGGCATCTGGCGGCAAAGCCGCAATCTTCTCTGTAATTTTCTTCTCCATTGTGTCTAGGGAGTGTATGTGGAGAGGGGTTGGATGAGGAAAAGAGAGAGATCCGGGCAAAAGTGGACCATGTCACAATTATGGCCGATTGCGTCGGATACTGCGATGTCTACAGCTGCCGAGGGGCCACGCACTAACGATCTACTAGATGTACACTATGTGCATAAAATGCTTGAATAGCCGATTTCTATCATGCAAGGAGTAGTGTAGTAACTGCTGAAGGAAAAACCAGCTGGAACCCTGCAAAAGTTGCCATGGGATCCAAGATGACTCAGCCCGATATCGATCGACGTGCTTACTGCTTAACAGCGATTAAGTTGGATACTTCCATTGACCGCAGTCGAGCTTCATTGGACATAGACGTTTGTTTCTTTTAGACCTGTGGCTCAATTCCCTATGATGGCATCCCGTCCACGGAACATTCTTCGCTATTTCCGTTTGCAGATCCGGGATAGCAGATCACGCGCAGTGTCGCGACGACTCCTGTCCACACCCTCTCCTTCACAACCTCCAAAGCCACCCAATGTGAACGCCATTGACTCCCGGTCTCGTCTGCGTCGGTTCAATGATCGTCTCCCCGGCTTTCTCCGCAATTATACTACCCCCTTATTCGGCGCTCCGGTCACCCACATCACATCATTCCTAATACTCCACGAGATCACGGCTATACTCCCACTATTCGGACTAGTTGGTGCCTTCCATTATGGTGCATGGATGCCGGATCTTTCCTCGGAGACAGGCGAGACCAATGCCTTTGACGAGGGGGCTGCACGTTTTGGTCGCTGGTTGAAGAAGAAGGGCTGGGTGGACCAGGATGATGTAAATACTGTCGCGGAACACGAGGCTACTGGGGAGAAGATAACGGAGCGTGCGGGGGTGCGATTGGTCCTGGAATTTGCAACGGCCTATGCAATCACCAAGGCTTTGCTGCCGGCTCGGCTGGCAGCGAGTGTATGGGCCACGCCGTGGTTTGCAAGGACCGTTTTTACACCTACGACCAACCTAGCCAGGAGGCTGTTCCGAAGAGGTTGAGCTAGTCGAGCATTACTGTGATACCAGAGATCGATGTTCATAAATCATATGAAATTGTATATTGTTTATTTTTCCAAGCCATCAGGGACCTTCCCTCGGACTCGTGGCGTTTTTTTATGCTGCAAGCACCCGAGGATTGGCATCCGTCAGACCAAGTCACTTGGAAACGAGTAATTTACTCGTAAACCCAAGGGGAAGCGGCGGACTTCCACTTGAGGACCTCGGAGGGAGTGAACCAGAGGCCAATCTCCTTCTTGGCGTTCTCGACGGAGTCGGAACCGTGGCAGACGTTGCGGCCGACATCCTAATGACGGGTCAGTATGAGAAGAGGATAGTGTGGATTGCGGGGAAGCTCTTACGATGGCGTAGTCACCACGGATGGTACCGGGGGCGGAGGCCAGGGGGTTGGTGGCACCGAGGATGACACGGCCGGTCTTGACGACGTCCTTACCCTCCCAGACCATGGCGCAGATGGGGCCGCTCAGCATGTAGGCGACGAGACCCTTGAAGAAGGGCTTGGAGGAGAGGTCCTCGTAGTGCTTCTCGAGGTGCTCCTGGCTGGGGGTGGTGAGCTTCATGGCAACGAGCTTGAAGCCGCGGTTCTCGAAGCGAGAGATAATGGGGCCGATGAGTCCACGCTGGTTGGGGTCAGTTACTGCTTTCAATTGAGTGACCAATCTATCTTCCGTGATGGGATCGGTTCAACGGATGCTATATCCATACCTGGACACCATCGGGCTTGATGGCAATGAAACTAGAGCAATTTGTTAGCTTGACCGGACAATGAGGGGTAACGGCAGGGATGGAGTGAAGGGGAATTGGATAAAAGGGCAAATTAAGGGAGAGCATAAAGAGCAAGAACGTACGTCTGTTCCTCGTTGGCGGACATTTTGAATATGAAACCAAAAAATGTATGTGGTATGAGGTGGAAAAAGAGGGAGGAGGTGGAAGATTAAATAGAGGGGCTTTTTTTCGGTGCTATCACATCTGGGCCGATGATTGGCTGACGGGGGAGGAGGGGTGTCTCACCTTGGTGCCTTATCGCCTTGTGACCTTGGTGCCTTAATGCCTGACAATCAAGGTGTCCGGCCAGCTTGAAGCTGTTGACATCTCCACACTTTAGATGCGGGTCACATCATCACTCACACCCTCAGAGATTGAGAGTCTCTGGTTGCACATATTGTCTACACTATGGCCAGGAGTCAGCCTGCGCCCCGTTGGGCAGTCTTGCTCTCCTTGGTGATCCTCATTGGATGCATTGTTGTCCCCAGTTGTATGGTTTCCCTTTTCCCCTTCGGTCAAGCTTACGGACGGCTAATTTTGCATGCAGGGGCTGTCAAACATGGAGACTTCAAGACATGCGAACAGTCTGGATTCTGTAAACGAAACCGCGCATACGCTGATGACGCTTCTACTCAAGGCTCATGGAACTCGCCCTATGAGCTCGATCCCGCCACCGTACACTTCAAGGATGGCCTATTCACAGGTGTCCTCATCAAAACAACCACTGCCGACGAGAAGGTCCGGTTACCTCTCACGGTCTCTTTCTTAGAATCGGGAGCCGCTCGTCTGTTGGTGGATGAAGAGAAGCGACTGAAGGGCGATATTGAAATGCGACACGGTAGCAAGGCAAACAAGAAGCGTTATGATGAAGCTGAGCAATGGGTGCTCGTTGGTGGCTTGGAAGTCAGCAAGTCAGCTACATTGAATGCCCAGAGTGAAACTGGCTTCACCAATGTTCTATACGGACCTGGAGACAAGTTCCAGGCAGTCATTCGCCATGCCCCATTCGGGATTGATTTCCAAAGAGACGGTCAAACTCATGTTCAATTGAACGAGCGAGGCTTGTTAAACATGGAGCACTGGCGCCCGAAGGTGGATGGAAAGGAAGGTGAATCTGGCGAGGACGAGAGCACCTGGTGGGAGGAGACATTCGGTGGCAACACTGACTCCAAGCCCCGTGGTCCAGAGAGTGTTGCTCTTGATGTCACTTTCCCTGGCTACAGCCATGTGTTTGGTATCCCAGAGCATGCCGACTCGCTTTCGCTCAAGGAGACCAGGGGCGGCGATGGCAACCATGAGAACCCTTACCGTCTATTCAACTCGGATGTGTTCGAGTATGAGCTCGAGAGCCCAATGACTCTCTACGGTGCCATCCCGTTCATGCAAGCCCACCGCAAGAACTCGACTGTTGGTGTTTTCTGGCTCAATGCAGCGGAAACCTGGATTGATATTGTCAAGTCCACAACTACCCCCAACCCTCTATCATTGGGCACCAGCTCCAAGACCAACACTCAGACTCACTGGATCTCTGAGTCTGGCCGGCTTGACTTGTTTGTCTTCCTGGGTCCTTCGCCTAAGGAAATCAGTAAGACGTATGGCGAGCTCACTGGGTATACGCAACTTCCCCAGCAGTTTGCCATTGGATACCACCAATGTCGCTGGAACTATGTTACAGATGAGGACGTGAAAGAGGTAAACGCCAAGTTTGACAAGTACCAAATTCCGTACGATGTGATCTGGCTTGATCTTGAATATACTGATGACCGTAAATACTTCACCTGGGATCCCCTCACCTTCCCTGACCCCAAGGGTATGCAGGAGAAGCTTGATGAGACAGAACGAAAGCTTGTTGTCCTCATCGACCCTCATATCAAGAAGGCGGATAACTACTATGTGTCCGACGAGCTCAGAAGCAAGAATCTCGCCGTACTCAACAAGGATGGCGAGATTTACGATGGATGGTGTTGGCCCGGATCCTCAAACTGGGTCGATTGCTTCAACCCCGCTGCTCGTGTATGGTGGACAGCTCTTCACAAGTACGACAAGTTTAAGGGATCCCTCTCGAATCTTTTCATCTGGAACGATATGAATGAGCCTTCTGTTTTCAACGGACCGGACATGAGCATGCCCAGAGACAACCTGCACTATGGCAACTGGGAGCACCGTGATATTCACAATGTCAACGGCATGACCCTCTTGAACGCCACCTACGATGCCATGCTCCAGCGCAAGAAGGGCGAGATTCGCCGTCCATTCATTCTGACGCGCTCGTTCTACGCAGGCTCTCAGCGTGTTGCTGCTATGTGGACTGGAGATAACCAGGCCACATGGGACCACCTGGCGGCATCTGTCCCTATGGTCCTGACCAATGGCATTGCTGGTTTCCCATTCGCAGGTGCCGATGTCGGCGGCTTCTTCCACAACCCTGATAAGGATCTGTTGACCCGCTGGTACCAAGCCGGTATTTGGTATCCCTTCTTCCGCGCGCACGCTCACATCGACACTCGTCGCCGTGAGCCGTATCTCATCAGTGAGCCCCACCGATCCTACATCGCTCAGGCCATCCGTCTGAGATATCAACTTCTCCCTGCCTGGTACACTGCTTTCCATGAAGCCTCAGTCAACGGAACACCGATTGTGCGGCCCCAGTACTACGCCTTCCCAGATGACGAGCAAGGCTTCGCGATCGATGATCAATTATACCTTGCCGCTACTGGTCTTCTCGTGAAGCCCGTTCTGACCGAGAACACCGAAACCGCGGACGTGTATATCTCCGATGACGAGAAATACTACGACTACTTCGATTTCACCGTCTATCAGGGTGCTGGCAAGAGACACACTGTCCCCGCCCCCGAGAACAAGGTGCCCGTCCTGATCCAGGGTGGCCACATCATCCCCCGCAAGGACCGCCCCCGTCGTAGTGCCGGTCTCATGCGCTGGGACCCATACACCTTGGTCATTACTCTAGACAAGAACCGCGATGCCGAAGGAAGCCTGTACGTAGACGACGGCGAGACCTTCGATTACGAGCGTGGAGCTTACATCCACCGCCACTTCCACTACCGCGAGTCCGTCCTCTCCTCGGAAGACGTCGGCACCAAGGGACCCAAGACAGCCGAGTACCTCAAGACGATGGCCGGTGTCACCGTCGAGCGGGTGGTTATTGTCGACCCACCCACCGAGTGGAAGAATAGGGAGACCGTGACGGTTATCGAAGATGGGGCCAAGGCGGGTTCCACGGCCTCATTGGAATTCTACGAGCAGCAGCTCGGACAGGCATCCTATGCCGTGGTGAAGAAGCCAAATGTTGGCATTGGAAAGACATGGCGTATCGAGTTCTGAGCAATTGGTCTCGGATTCGTACGATTTATGTATGCGATATAACAATATATTATCAAAATTGCTAGGCTGCATGTAATCCGCGGCTATTTGAGTACTCATATATGAACAGTATCCCATTCGATTTATACAACTCAGTAGGACAACCCTTCTATAATTTAATTCCCATGCGCCTCGACCCAAACCAAAAATTGCTCGCCCATACTAGCTTCAGTAGCGACCAACTTCAACTCCCCACGAGGACTAATTTCCCACACAATCTCATTCTCCTGCTCTTGTTTGGTTCCCTTCTCGTAAACGTTGGACATATCCTTTTGCTGGTCGAGGAACTCAGGATATGAGTCTCTGAAGTCTGCCAAAGCAGCCTGGTTCGCCTCCTCTAGTGTATCAAAGATTCCTTCGATTTCGGGTTCCGACATGTCGGGGTTCTCGTTGAAGACGACGAATTTGTAGGGAATTGGGAATTCTGCGGTGCGTTCGCGCTGGGTAGGTTCGTGGTAGGCCGCCTTCACTCTGTCCAGGAGGTCCTGGGGCCATTCAGGTGTAGAGTCTTTGGGTTTTCATTAGCCATGCTTTGATGTGTTGAGATTATCGGGGGATGATACAACTCATGTTTGCGAATAGCGCGGTGCTTGTAAGTCGGATAGTAATAGTAGGAGAAATTCACGGTTCAGATTTAATGCCAGATATATTGAGGTTCTATCAGAGAAAGAGGGCGTCTCCAAGTTTATATCGTTGATTGAAATTGATCATTCACGATATCGCGAAGCCGCGTGGGGACAAACTCGCGACGATCTGCGCCGCTATGACGCCGTGTGCCAGCAACCCTTCATTTTGTTGTCTTTTTTTGCTTTATTTAGCGGTGTGTAACACCAACAATATCTCTAGTCACTCTGTTTAATCTATTGCCCCTGAATATCTTGTTTGCGAACTAATGTCGCTATCCGTGGATATATATCAGTCACCCGTGGCGCCTATATATGCAGGCAATACCCGTGGATCAGCAGTTGCAGTTAGGCACAAAATATTCTAGTGACGATCATGACATCTAGTCAGGATCACAGGATACCTGGATTCGAGGGTTGGTCCTAACAGCTTTGTTACTGATACCACGAGGATTCAACCACTTCTTTTACTGTATACTGTACTCCCTAGAGCATAGAGACGGTAGATTCTTTTTAGAAACCGTTCAAGGCTCTGCTTGCTTTCCCCGTTTTCTCCTGTTCTAAGGTTAAGTACAGCAATGATTACCACACACAATACGGGGGAAGTCGATTTAGCTGCGCTCTGTTTTACAAAGCAATTTCGTAATGGGCCGAATGCTAGTATCCAACACACCCATAGTAACTATAGAGGCTATAAATGCGACTCCATAACAAAGCCTTACGAGCCTAACTATATAAGATCACACTAAGTAGGGAAGGATAGATTCCATACCCAATTCATCGACGAGAGTAATCGAGTCGTCACTGTCGTCAATTCAGTCAGCCTCATGTGTCTCAATCAGGTCGAACGGGTTATCATCGTTGTCGTCGAGTAGTCCCCATATCGAGACCTGCATAATCTCTTGAAAATAAACGTCAAATTGATCCCGAGCTCGGTACTCCAACGTACTCCAACTGTGTTTTAGACGCCGTCTTTGCGTGCGGGGTGAAATCAAAACCTCGAGCTTTGCGACAGCACCCGCATTCATTAGTACAGTGTCTAGCACCAAGGCTCCGTGAGCCAATATTGCGATGGACACAGCACCCACAGTCACGTCCACAGCATTCTCCTTCTCTAGCACAGTGGTCACGAAGAGCGCGGTGCATGTACCATTGCGGGAGTGAGCGCCATAATATAAACGCTCTTCACACAGGCCTTTATGGAATGCGCCGCGATGTAACCACCATTCTCGCCCCAAATCTAATCCTTTCTGTTCAATTTGGCCAGTTCTTCTTTTCAGCAAGAGGCTTGGAGCTCTCGTTGCGCGAAATCGGTCGGTTGTTACTCAAATTCTTCGTGAAGAGATATCTCCTTTTGGACAATACTTCGGAGTCCATTCTGTAACAATGAACTTGCGCATCTGAGTTATAAATTGGTAGCCATCGTCTCTGGTGTAGTAAAGAAGCGTAGTCGTTGAAGGGCATTTACGTCTCCTCTCTTTTCGAGCTCGACTTCCACTGTCTTGTCATATCCCTATATGGTTGGAGTGGGCGGCCAATCGCCCAGCGATGGCTTAGTAAATCGGGATAGGAACGGCATGATCGTTGAAGTTGGCTTGAGTGATTGCTCAGCTTGAGATTGACAAGACTATATGCTTATGCTCTGTGGACAGTTCATGGTGATGTCAACTGCCCAGGTGGTCCTATAGTTCCATGTCAACACAACCAAACATCTTACTCCGAAAACATACAACAACAATCGAGAACCAATACATTTACATAATTAACTCAACTTAGCAAGGCAAAAAGAAAACCAAATCACCTCGTGCCAAGTAGATTAAACAAATTAAACGCTGGAGTGATCGACACGCTGACATAAGCCAAGACCCTGAAAAAGCCGCATGCGTGTCGAAGTGTACCTTTTTTCTGTTTTTTAGATTCCCCTGTCGCGAAAGTCTCTGTGGAAGTCACCTTATTTCAAACCTTCAACAGACCGGCTCGGCTTCCATCTCGCCTACAGGCCCTGACCCGCGGAGGTCTATCGCCGATATGTATCTCATTTCGGCTGCCATTGACTGGGCCGCGCCCGTCTTGTAAGTCGGCTTCGATGAGTTCCTGATTTATGCGCAGACGTTCAATGCTAATGAAGCTCGTCTACAGCCTCGTCACCTCCCCCTCACGTCCTACGCCGACCAAATCGTAAGCATTCATCGCTCAAGAAGCTCGACTGGTTTCTCTTTGGACATTCCCCTGATTATGCTTGTTTCTTCGATTTTGAAGTAAGCGTCTGCTTTCCGGCGCGTCGAATTCCGAGATTGAAGATCAAAGTTGACGTTATCAGGGTTTTTTATTGGTTTGGAGAGTACTATTCAGCCACTTTGTTGACCCAGGCCGTCGTCATGATTGTGGTGCAGATGACCATGCTCAAGGTTGCATTGGATAATCGGCCTTCTCCTGGTGGTCTGAATGGGATTGAGCATGCGCCTTTCAGCGGTGGCTCTGACAGTGGCTCCTCAAGGCCTTACGAATTTTGGCAGTGGAAGAACACAAAGCCGTAAGTTTGGAGAGCGCACAGGAAGCCGCGGACATTGAAACTGATTATACACTTTACAGGTACTACATGTTCCTCACTTACTTCGTCGGAGCCCTGACTCTTATCCACCTAAGTCCGATCTCCCAATTCGAATCGTATATCAGCCTCTTAGGTTACATCGGACTTGCCGTCGAGGCCACCCTTCCCATCCCACAAATCATCGCCAACTACCGATCAGGCTCGTGCAAGGGCTTCCGGGTCTCCGTCATCGCGGCATGGATTCTCGGTGACACCATGAAGATGAGCTACTTCTTCTGCAGCACGGAAACTATCCCGTGGGCCTTCAAGCTGTGCGGCATGTTCCAATGCGCGTGCGATTTCTACCTGGGCTTCCAGTTCTATATGTTCACTCGGGGCTCCTCACTCCCCTCACACTCTCGGGGCCCCTCCCAGACCGCGGGCAGGTCGGAACAGGATGGCCGTTGGGGCCACGAGGCGAAAGATATCCGCATGAACTGAAGTGGAGCGTTTTGCATAGATTAGACATGTAGATAGAAATTGGCGACCATATAGACAAATAATTGGAATGAGATAATGTCATAACGTGTTCTGCCTCTTCTATACTTCCAAAGCTTATGCGGAGTTAAGCATTTCCGCGTTTGTGAATTGCCCCGCGATATCGTCGAGTTGGAAATGCGCTTCTCCTCCTTATTCTCCGCGGAACTCCGGACAGTCTCTGTTTATTCTCTGTTGAAGTAGCCAACTAGCCGATACTATTTCCTCATAATGGCTACTCCCACAATTCGCATCGGCTATGTTCCCGGTACGCCTACCTACCCCCTCCATAGCTCAAGCTCGACGCTTGCTTTGCAGCCGCACCTTTTCCAGTTGCTGGCCAGCTTCGTACAGGCTGAAGTGCCTCGAGGAATGCGCGCTAACAATGAATTTTCTGGTTACTAGAGCACTATCTCACACCACTTCACCTCGCCCTCCGTTCGTCAGCTGTCGCAGCCCTCCCATTCAAGATCGCCCTGACCCCATTCCCCTCCGGAACGGGTCATATGATCACCTCTTTGCGCGGCAATGAGATTGACATTGCCATCGGTCTGACCGAGGGCTGGGTCGCCGGTCTAGCAGGCAAGACACAGCAACTAAGCCAGAACGCAGATGGCGGATACAAGGTTGTCGGCCACTGGGTTGACAACCCATTGCGGTGGGCTATTGTGACAGGCCGCAACCGGGACGAGATTAATGGAGTTTCGGACTTGAAGGATCGGAGGGTGGGAGTTAGCCGGTTGGGAAGGTAAGATCAGAATTGGCAAGAGATTGGGTGAATACCAGGCTGACCGAGAACCTTGCAGCGGCTCGCACATCATGTCTTTCGTCCTTGCCCAGCAGCAAGGCTGGAAGGCAGACTCTCTTACAACTGTTCCTCTTGGACCCTTCGGGCCTCTGCGCGATGGAGTCTCCGGTCTGGATGAATCGCAGCCCGAGAAGGCAGCTAACCCCTCAGCGGAGTTCTTCATGTGGGAGGAATTTACCACAAAGCCATACTTCCACCCGACATCCGAGAAGCCGAACCCGCCTCTGAAGAAGATCGGCGAGATCTTTACTCCCTGGCCTTCATGGATGATTGTCGCTTCTACGGCTTTATTCCCTGATCCCGAAAACGACCAGCGATTGGCCAGCCTCTTCCAGGCCCTCGATCAGGGTGTCAGGGATTTTGAGGCTGATACGGCGCAGGTTGTTAAGCTTTTGGGCACTGGCGAGCTTGGCTGCAATTACATCGAGGAGGATGCTACTGAGTGGTTGAAGGATGTCAAGTTTACTAACAGCACTCGCGGTGTTGATATTAAGGTTATTGAGGGTGTTGTTGATGTGCTCAAGGTTGCTGGTGTTATTGATCCGGCTATGAGCAATGAGGAGGCTATTCAGCGGGTTATTGGAATTAAGAGGTAGATAAAGATCTTGCGGAAGTAGAAAAGGAATATCAAGAGACATCGTAAATATAAGTTCGTGAAATCGTGATATATCGCCTATAAAAGACTCTCAATCCACAATGATGGATAGTAGAGATGCAGTCAACAAAGCGAGATAACTATATTTCGAGACATTAGCCCACACTTCGTAATGACCCCTACATCAGGTCTACTAAAGCCAATAAAGATTAGAGTTTGCTACGATTTCCCCTTTAATTCAAAAATGAAGGGAAAAAAAGCCACAAAAAGACATGTCACAGGCAGTATACCATTCCACTGTGCCAGAAAATGACCTTGCTTGCCATCCGAAATGATAGGCCAACCCCATAGTCCCATATCCATAGCACATGTATGTAAGAAGATATAACAGCAATGAGATCGCCGAAACGGAGCCCCCAAAAAATGGAGTGCATTCCTATGGCGGGATGACCCCTTGCACCCTTACCACGGGATATTCAAGGTGTAGGTATGTGTATACCCCTACATAGCTCTATCCCAGGGGACAGATATTTGGTCTTCTTTGGGATATTGTAGCTGTGATTAGGGTCCATGTTCTATGGTGTTATTTCTGTAGTAGAGATGTTGCCTTGTTGCCTGCATCGAATGATATGAGGCGTTGGGTTGTAACTTACTCTGAGAATAGTTAGGTATACCAAAATTGAAATTAAGGGTGCTTAGACATTAAAATAGACGAATTTATAATTGTCTTTTGTTTCAGCAGCTGTCTTTTTGGTAAGAAATACTTGTGGTCTGGTGTATACTGAAGTTGTTGGCTACGGTGCTGTTTAACTTCACCCAGCCATGGATCTCATAATTTTCTTTAATAGACGACATGCTCAATTAGCTTTGGAGAAAAGTTGCAGTAAGTATCTCCTTATGCTCAATTTAAACAATGCAAATAAGTATACCAATGTTATAACTTGGTTGTGGGTGTAGATATATATCCACACCAATTCGATATATATACCCATTCAGATTGAGCCCAATTCACTGGGGGTATCTAATTTTTCAGCAATAACACAATATTAACGAGCCAAGTCTTGAGAGCATAGTCTACCAATTTATATAGAAAAATGAAATTCGTTAATTTGGTCTAAAACAATGTATAGGCTCGCGGGGGACAGACGGACAGGAGAACCAAAGCCAACAAGAAGACAAGGGATATAGAGTCCGGCATTGACAGTCCAGCTTGGGTCCATTATCTGGCCTAGAGCCCCATTCTACAGAGCAAGCCTGCTCCTCCCTATCTACATTCTCGAATCTGCCCCGGGGCCCCTGACAACAATGTCGGAATGCGCACCAAGTTGCAAAACACCCCTAACGACCCAATCAAATTACGCGATCAGGGATTTTTTACAAATTACATCTGCTCAGGGTCTTTTTTTTGCAAGTCCAAGCTCTCCCCGTTCGACTGCTGGCGTGTACAGTGTGGGTCATACCATGCGTGTAGAGCCCCAAGTGACGCAGTTGAGTGGTGGAACGCAACCGTTTGTTTTTATGATTTGATGAGCAAAATAACTCAGCCTGTGCTATTTAATGGCAGTTGATGCTAGATCCTCTTTACAGACTGGTGTTCTGACTTGTCCACGCCGTCGGCAGCCCTATACATCCTATAATCGATTATACTAATATAGCCCTTAATAGCTAATACCCTCCCAACGGGATAATACCGCCTTAATATGCGTCGGTCTCAAACTCTTCTGTCTTGGTCGCTTCTGCTGGCATCCCTCGGGGGAGTGCAGGCGAAGCTTGACTTGAAATCTACAAAGAACATTGTTGTTTACTGGGGTAGGTGACCTGGCTTTGTATATCTCGATTGATTCTAATTTAATTCTCCTACAGGACAAAACTCTTTCAGAGGCAAGGGTGACCAGGCACAACAGCCCTTGTCGTATTACTGTGACAGTGAGTGAGACGGATTCTATAATCACGACGATGAAACTAATGAGGACACTAGATGCTGACATTGATGTATGTATAAAAGCGCGATGTTTAGGAGATATTGAGCTGACAAAACCCTCTAGGTCATTCCAATGGCCTTTAATATGATGGTCAATGGCCCTGGAGGTGCACCCGAGATTGACTTCGCGGTGAGCAGCGAAGATTGCCAGGTGTTTGAGGGAACGCAGCTGAAGAACTGCCCCAAGATTGGGTGAGTTTCTTTGGCACAACTGGCAGCACGCCAGTCCACTGATAGCTTCTAGCAAGGACATCGCGACCTGCCAACAAAAGGGCAAGACAATTCTTCTCTCCATTGGTGGCGCCACATACAGCGAAGGCGGCTTCAAGTCTGAGACCGATGCTAAAGACGGCGCCAAGTTGATGTGGGAGACCTTTGGTCCCAAGCAAGAAGGCTCCAATGCTCTTCGTCCCTTCGGCGACACTGCCTTGAACGGATTTGATTTCGACTTCGAGGCCAATGTCCAGCACATGGCTACTTTCGCCAACGAGCTCCGGTCCCTGATTGAGGCCGACAAGAGTGGTCAGGACTTCTTCCTGACTGCTGCACCCCAATGCCCTTACCCCGACCAGGCTGACAAGGACATCCTCAACGGTCCTGTATATATTGACGCCATCTGGGTCCAGTTCTACAACAACTACTGCGGTGTCAACGCTTATAGCCCCCAGAGCTCCGCCAACAAGTACAACTTCGAGGAGTGGGACAACTGGGCTCACACAGTCTCGAAGAACAAGGACGTCAAGGTCATTGTCGGAGTACCAGCAGGCACCACCGCGGCCAGCACTGGATACATTCCAGCCTCGGAGCTGGCCAAGGTGGTCGAGTACTCGAAGAAGTTCGACAGTTTTGGAGGAGTTATGATGTGGGATGCCACGCAGGCGTACGGCAACGGAGCCTTCATTAAGGATGTGCGAAAGGCCCTGGGAGGCGCTGATGATACCGGTTCGTCGTCGTCCAGTTCGGCGTCGACCTCGGCGCCTTCTACTTCGTCCACTGACTCATCGAATACCTCGTCATCATCTACCAATGCACCCGGTTCCTCACCCTCATCTTCCTCCTCCTCTGCTGCTTCCTCATCGTCCAGTGGTCCTGAACCGACCTCCACTGAGAGCAAGCCTCCAGCCGCAGTTACCACCACCACCTCCGAGGCCACGCCGACCCCGACCGCGCCCCCAGAGACGGCCGCGACCCCAGAGACGACCGCACCCCCTGCAGATGTCCCTACTTCTGCCGAGGCACCCCCTACTTCTACCGAGACAACCCCAGCTCCCTCACCCACCAGCACCGGTGACACTGATGACACCGATGGGTTGATTTCCAGCATCCTTAGCACTGATCTCTTGGGCTTGCTGGGTGGTCTCCGCACAGCCAACGCTGCGACTCATCGCGTTACTCACAATCTCGCCGATCACCTGGGACCTAAGGCCGTGGGACATATGGGACCTAAACAAATGGGACCTGCGACTCAGCGCGTCGCCCACAGTTTCGTCGACAACCTAGGACCTAAGGCTGAGGGACCTAAGCAACTAGACGCTGCGACTCATCGCGTTGCCCACAGTGTCGCCGACAACCTAGGACCTAAGGCCGAGGGACCTGAGCAACTAGACGCTGCGACTCATCGCGCTACCCACAGTTTCGCCGACAACCTAGGACCCAAGGCCGAGGGACCTAAGCAAATAGACGCTGCGACTCATCGCGTTGCCCACAGTGTCGCCGATCACCTGGGACCCAAGGCCGAGGGAAATATGGGTCCTAAGCAAATAGGACCTAAAAGGATGGAACTTCAGAAGATGGGCCCTAATCATAATCTACGACGTGCTCTGCGTAACCGCGCTTAGGCTCGTTAGAGGTATCCAGGGCGAGCAACTATGTCCAATGGCATAGTTGATATTGCCGCACCTTGCATGTCTGGAGTGTGATATGAAAGACATGAGTGATCATAAAAGGAGATGTTACGATTTTCCCTCCGCTTCTTTTTCTTTTCTCCTTTTGGCACCTTCTGCCACTTCCAACGTCTCATGCTGTTCAACCTTAATTTTCTCTCTCTTATATTTACCTTCTCTATGATACCCATAGTATTCTAATTATGTTATTTCTTTTCTTTTATTTTGATGCCCAGGTGGTTTCGCCCTGAAAATAATTCATATTAGGTGAGCTCAACAACTTAAAGGTATTCAAGTTCCATAAGAAACATTAAAATCAGTTGACCATATTAGAGATTAAACAAAACACGCTTTCTACTTCGCTTCCATTTCCTTGAATGCCAGCCCAAACATCGCTCCCACGGCCAAAAAGACCAGTGACAACTATTAAGAGACTAAATAGACGCATTGATACTGCAATACCCAACCCACTCACTCAGCCTCCCCTTCCTCCTTGCTTGCCGTCAAGCAGAACCGACCCTTCGGCTTGCCTGTTTCCTCATACTCAAGGGTTAGACGAGACAAGTGCGCGAGCATATTCTCAATCTTCATCTCACCCTTGTCGCGCTGAGCACGACCAAGATTGTCGAGCCATTTGATTTTGTTCAGAATGAAGTATACCAAGGCAATGACAACCTCCACACCAAGGGAATAACCCCAAATTCGCACGACAGTAACGATATCAGTCCACCCATTTCTCGTCTCGACGAACTTGTCTGCTGGTTTGGTCTTCATATTCTCGTTACTGAACCAACCGAAAAGACAGAAGATCGTGGCCAGAGTATCCACACCCAGAATCGCGGTTACTAGGTGGATGGATGGCCAAGTGTCAATACCGCGAGTCACGAAAATGAGCCAATTCTCTGTGAGCGCCACTTCCAAGAAGAGAACTTCTTGAATGGAACCCCAGTTTTGGATGATGCCTCCGTTTTTGAGGAACATTGTTCCTCGTGCAACCCACGTACCCAGGGCGAGGAGTACACCTAGCAAACACGAAATGAACCAGATCTTTGGGAGTTGCCATTCAACAGGTCTCAGTTCAAAGGAGGCATGATCATAGGCTACAGCAACCGTTGCGAGATCGGCGAATAAAGCCAGGAAGACAATGAGCTCGACACGAATGCTTTCATTAAGAATGATCATCGAAGTTACGAGGTAGATTTCGAGATGCAAGCAAAGTGCAATGCGATATTGGATATACGCCTTCATGCGGTGGAAGATTTGACGCGCGACCTTGATGGAGTCAATAATGGTCGATAATCCAGGCTCGAGAAATACAATGTCTGATGCAGTTTGCGCAGCTTCGGATGCTCCTTCGACGGCGATGCCACAGTCGGCTTTTTTGAGAGACGGTGCGTCGTTCACTCCGTCTCCTGTCATGGCGGTTAAATGGCCTCGCTCCTGCAGCATCTGCACGACTTGGTATTTGTGCTCTGGGAACACCTCTGCAAAGCCATCAGCCTTTTCGACTAGATCGCTGGCCATGGCTCCACTGAGGCCGCCGTGAATAAGCTTGTCCGAATTATACACCTTAGTTCCCAATGCCAGCATCTTGCAGGTTTCCTTTGCAATAGCAATGGCATCTCCCGTGAGCATCTTCACGCTGATACCAAGGTTCTGTGCTTCGCTGATCGTATGAGCGGTATCTTCTCGGGGGGATCAAACATAGGCAGCATTCCAAGTAGAACCCAATCTTCGCCTTCTTTCTGAACGGCAACTCCAAGAGAGCGGAAGCCTCGGTGTGCGAATTCCTGCGCTTTGGTCTTGTATAACTCAGCTGTCTCTTTAGAACAGTTCGTCAGCTGAAGCACAGCTTTCGGAGCGCCCTTGGTGCATGTATACCGTACACCGTCACAGACAGCAACTGTAACAATCCGCTTGGATACTGGGTCAAACGGCGTAAATTTTTCGGTTTTCCAGCCGCGGCGCATGATCTCTCGTGCCTTAGGGTATTGCCTGAGAGTCAATACGGTAACTTTGTCGATTGGATCAAGAGATTCAGTGTTGTGCGAGGATGCAAGCGCAGCAACCGCAAACATCCAGTCAATATCGACACCTTCGGCCACGTAAGGATCTCGAATACTCAGTTTGTTCGCAGTCAGGGTTCCAGTCTTATCAGAACAAAGGATATCAACTCCCTGCTTGTGATTAGTATTGGGAACAGGCTAACATGATTGGGGAGACTTACTGCCAGGGACTCAATAGCAGTCAGCTTTTGCACAATGGCTTTCTTCTTCGCCAGATAAGCAGCACCAACAGCCATGGTAGTAGTGGTTACAACCGGAAGACCAACAGGCACACCGATGATGAGCAAAGACAGGGTGTAGTGAAGCAAGGTCTGCTGACCTGGCGAAGCAATGGGAATATGTCGGAAGAATCCACCAATCCATGCGGCAAGAATCCAAGCCATGACAAGAATCAAAAGAGAAGTTCCGATATTGTCCATGACAAGTTCGAAGTGACCGGTGCCTTTTGCAGATTGCACCATTGTTGCGGTGCGACCGACAAAAGAAGTTCTTGCGCCAGTTTGAACTACCGCGTAGGCCTTGCCACGCTTGCATCCGGTTGTATAGAAGATCATATCCCCCATATAACGATCCACAGCAAGGGATTCTCCGGTAATGGCAGAGTGGTCGCAGGCCAGAATGGGATAGCCACGTCTGCGAGGAGGTGTCGGTTCTTCCTGTCCTCCGTTTTCTTCTTTGGATTTGCCATCACCTTGATTTACTTCCTCCACAGCCTTTTTTGCCTCTTCATCTTGATCTTCAGAATCGGAGCCTCCGCCGAGCATTCCCTGTTCTTGAAGCTGGTTGAACTCTTCCCAGCCGTTGGGGTCATTGAAGTCACAGATAACCTTGGCATCAGCAGGCACCACTGAGCCTTCACCAACAATGATCTGAAGGAGTCATGAGTATACAGACATGAATGGGGAATTGCGGGTAGACACACCACGTCACCTGGAACTAACTCTCGCGCGAGACATTCTTGTTGAGCACCATCACGAATGACCTGTGCTCGCAAGGCAATATCTCCCTTGAGACTTGCAACCACATCGGCAGCCTGCTTCTCCTGATACCAACCCACAGCGGCATTCAGGCACAAGATACCGATAATGACACCAAAATCGACCCAGTCATCCAGACCAGCAGCAAGTAAAACAGCCAACTCCATGACTACCACCAAGTCAGTCATATTGCTATCACGCAAAATCAAGGCACTCACCATATAGAATTGGACCCCGGAAGTAAGAAAGAACCTTGGCAATAGGATTTTCCTTCTCAGACGACAATTCGTTCCAACCAGCCCGCTGACGGCGCCGTGGAATTTCTTCGCTGGACAGACCCTCACGAATGTCGGTCAAGGTCCATTCATCAGGAAACTTGCCAGACTCGCCCTCGAGCTTTTTGATATGAACCTTCCGCTTCTTCCATGGGGCATACCAGACTCGTTTCTCAACAAAATCGCCTTCATCTTGGGCTTCTGCCTTTGCATCACGGAAAGTAGACACATATTTGACAAGCTTGCCATACTCATCGAGATTGGCCCAATCCTGGTTCAGAGACGCCCGGGAAATGCGGGAGCTCCGGCGTATGTCAGGCCGCTCGGGATCTGAAATAGACGCCATGCCAGGTGAATGAGGTCAGAATGCTTGATTGCCGATGATCAGTCCGGGTCAAGTCGCTGGCGAGAGATCGTTGAGTGAAGGTGGCGCCTGACGAAGAAAGATTTCCTGAAAAGGGAAAATGAAGAGGGATAGCAAACAAGGAGACATGAAAGGAGGGTAAAAATTTCCAAGTTGTTTGTTGCCCTTCAACACCTGCAAGCCAACAAGACGAGAAACCTATCCTGTGAGTATTTCGAGGGGCAGGGAATGATGTTCCTCAACGTTCAAGGGAGGGAGAAAAATCCTTACCTACCGTCCCTTTCGCACTCTATCATGCTGACGTCGTGACAACGAAGGTTTCGGCAGGAACATCTGCATTGTATGCTCATTGTTTTGGACTTCGGCAATTGATATTTGGAGGGGGAGATGTCGCAAGGGACCAGCCGAGGGTCATTCAAATAAACCAGGAGAATGTCAACATCCGAATTACTGGTTCGGCCTATCAAACAAGCGACATGTATACCGTTTCGTGTCTCTGTGCAGTAAACAAAGCTCGTGACGCCAGCAGGCACCTCAATTGACTTGCAGCCAAGGCCATTGAGTCATTGGCCCACGGGTCATCAGCCGTGTTCCATCGGTAGAACCCCGTAAAGCAGCAGATTCAGACTTGGAAGCTTCCCAGAAGATGCAAGCATTGCTGTATATTGCTGTCGACATGGATGCTAGCTCGCGGGATGAGTTTAACTCTGCGATGACTGTTGGGCTTTGGACGCTCAGACTCTCTGAATGGCAGTTAAGATCCCCAAAATTTGCCAAGAACAATCAACTGGGCCAATGAAATCGGAACCACTGGACTCTCTCAGGATGTCAGCGGCTGCCCGGATATCGATGGAGACTGGAGTACAGTTCTCGACGTCATGCTTGACCTGTTCCGCTGACACCCGGCAAGCGGAAACAAAATCCTGTCCATACCAGGCTCCTGATGAACGGGAATTGAGAAAGGATGGGAGATACTTGGCAGCATCATGATATAAAGTAGGACGAGAAGTAACAAGAGATGCAGTCACAACCCACTCCCCACACGTAACCCCGACTAGCCCTTGCTGTGATCCCGAAGCCAACAGCACGCAGGGAGACCAGCTCGACGTATGTAGTTAGACTCGCTTTATATACATAGTTACGGAGTTAGGGTAGCCAGAGCCAAGTAATAGAAACCATGCGATGCATCCAGTATCTCATCTGTTGGTGATGACTCCCTAGAAGACGGGCATTCAATACGATGTGGGGCCAGTACGAGTGAAGAGCTATGTCTTTGGACATTTGCAATGTACTAGCGATATTCCACACCACCTAGCCATGATAAATGAGACGCTGGGGGACTTGCTGCGCGAATGTGTCTTCGGAAGAGGTCATCCGGATCTTGAGAATCGTCATCTCGATGACCTAGGGAGGCACAGACACGCAGTAGCCATTCCGATGGATCAACTACATGGGCACGACAACCAACAACGAACCTAAAAAAAGGGAAAGGGAAAGAAAAGGGACCCTATTGGGATCTACCGGGTCGATCTCCAGGAATTGGAACTGCGTTCCCTCTGCACGGTACGGCCTAACACAGTTACCCATTGTGTTTTACCCCTAGGTTATGTTCGGCGGAGTGTTGCAAAGGTTAGGGTTAAACTTGTTGATAGACGGGGCTCCACTTTTGATGTTAACACGTGACCTCAGATTTCTGCCTGACGATCCTGGCAGCAGGATTATTTTTCTGTTTCTCTTCGGCTTGCCTGTTTTCCAGGTATCAGGTATCTCGCTAGTACATTACAGATCCCAAAAGGCATAGCTATCCAATTATACTGGCCGCAGATTGTATTAGTTGCCGTCTTCTACGGAATCAGCGGATGAGGTGCCGTGTGGATCGCATGCTTTCTATCACTTGGCGACATAGCCCCTAGCCCCCTGAGCTTTCCTTGCAAGAGAGAGAGAGTACGCATGGAGGTACACCAGCGTGGCACTCTAGCCAATACTGCACCCTTGCCACACCTGTCACCAATACTCGATCTACTTGTATGATGAAATCGTGAGAACGCAGGTTAGAAGCCTAACGTTATATATGACACTTCATTGACTCATGATTTCTCTTTCCGTAGATCACTCATAACACAAGCTTCCCATACTCGCACATTTCATTTATTTAGTCTTTCCGGAAGGAATGTTGAAGAAGACGGCGGGCGAGCCAGGGGAGTAAGCCCGATCAACGCGGTAGTAGCCCTTGCGGTCGAACTGGATGATGTCGTTGACCTTAAGATCGGCAACATTGCAATCAGCAACACCAGCCTCGCGGAACTCCGTTTGGGAGTTGAGACAATCCTCGAGCTTATCATCCTCGGCCATGGCGTCCTTATTAAGCAAGTAGTCGAAGTCCACAAGCTCGACGGGGACGACATCCTGCTCGGTGGCGAGCCAGGTGACCTTCTTCTCTGTCTTCTTAACATCACCTGCAAGGTGCAGCTCAAGCTCGAGGTCGGTGATGATACCGGTGGCAGTATCGGTAGTGATCTTGCGAACGAAGGCATTGCCCCAGTTCATGAGGGTGATCTCCTCGTCCTGCTTGAAGAGCTTGACGTCCTCCTGCTCGAGCACAATAGAAGGACCGAAGACAACCTTCTTCATACCGACAGCGGCGTTCTTGGCGTGCTTAGGCTTCTCCTCCGAGTACGGGGCGGGGGAACCAGTTACAGTGGTCTTCACAACGTTCTTGTTAGAGATAGCGGTGTGGCGACCAGCAATCGGGTCAATGTACTTCTTGTTAGTGGCCCAAATAAGAGCCCAGTCGAAGTTGACGATGTTCTTAGAGGGGCCCTGCTTCAGGATGAACTCGCGAAGAGCAGGAATGGTCATACCACGGCGGCGAATACCACGAATGGTAGGGAAACGGGGATCATCCCAGCCCCAGACGACGCCAGCCTCAACCAGCTTAGTGAGCTTCCGCTTGGACAAAAGGGTGCGAATGAAGTTCATGCGGGCGAAATCCCAAACCTGAACGGTGCGCAGCTTCATCGTATCCAACATCCACTGGTATTGCGGGTTGCGGTCACGGTACTCAATAGTACGGAGAGCATGGGTGACACCTTCCATCGAATCGACAATAGGGCAAGCGAAGTCGTAGGTAGGGTAGATCTTCCACTTGGTGCCGGTACGGTGGTGAGGAGCAGGGTTGCAGCGGTAGATGACCGGGTCACGCATAGCCTTGTTAGGGCAATCAAAGGAAATCTTAGCACGAATGCACCAGCGAACACCCTCGGGGGTGCTTTTCTTCATCTCCTCAAGGCGCGACAAGCTCTCTTCGACGGAAAGATCACGACGGGCGCTAGGAAGACCGTCGAAACGCTGAGCGGCCATGGTCTCCTTATCGGTGTCATCAGCATAGGCGTCGCCCTGCTTGATGATCTTGACACAGTAGTCGTACAGCTCGTCGAAATAGTCACTGGTGTAGGTCATCTTGTTAGGCTTGATACCCATAAGGGCAAGGTCCTCCACGATGGCGTCCTGGAACTCTTCCTTCTCGTTCGAGGGGTTGGTGTCGTCGAATCTATTACAGATCGATTAGTTTTGAATGTTTTGTTTGCGCTTTCCGGGTGCTGAGCTTACCGCAGAAGAAGAGTGCCGTTGTACTTCTCATGCGCAAAGTAATCGTTGAGAAGAGCAGCCTTAGCGTGACCAATGTGGAGGTATCCACTAGATATGCGTTAGTCGGAGACCGAACAATTTCAACTGCAGACAACTTACGAAGGTTCGGGAGGGAAGCGGGTAACAACACCGTTCTCGGTGTTCTTAAGAGCAATGTCATAGCTGGCACCCTCCTTAGACTTGGCGGTCTTCTTCTCCTTGGCAGCAGCGTTCAAGGATTCGAGAGCCACGGAGGTCCAGGGGCAAAGCTCCTCAAGGAAACGGAACCAACGGGTAATATTCACAAGGGTACCCTTCTTCAGAGCAGCAACGGCCACTCGGTTGCCGCGGAGAGCACCCCAGAGAGCGATGTCGGGTGTAGACAGAGAGTATCCGATAATGAAAGAACGCAAGAGAAGGTGGGTGTCAATGCGCTGGAGAACGGGGTCGAGAGCCTTGAAATCGAAGGTGGTCAGCGAATCCAACTGAGAGATCCACTCATTTTCCTATAAACTGTGTTAGGTCCGCATGCTATGTAGACTCGGCGGGGTAATTGCAAAGCTCACAGCCTTGGCATCCTTGCCAGTCAAGAAGGGGAAGTGCTCAGTAAGGCTTTGGATGACATTGATAGTACCAAAGACATTGTTGGTACCGCTGATGAGCTGCACAACGGCTTTATCGCCATCCTGGAGGAGGGCAGTGTCCTCGTAGGAAATATTGATAACCGGAGTAGGACGAGCCTCGTTGATTGAGGTTGCGATAAGGACCACGGGCAGAACTGCCGAGTGGTTGGCACGAGTGGCCACCTTCAGCTCGTATTGAGTCATTGCGCAGAAAATGAGTGACAATGGTGAAGTTTTGGCGGGGCAGAGGCATTATCTACATGCCCGTGCGGTGTCACGTTTCTCCGACCCGAAAGCTTTCCGGCAGAAAACAATTGCATCGTCCGGCTGTTCAGCTCAGATCAACGATTGCCAGCCATGTCGTCCTTCGGCTCCGTCCTGCCTACGACGGCACGCGGAATTCTCTCATCATGTCGTGTTCCGCTACGAGGGCCCTCAATTGGCCCCGTTCTCTCCAACTTCCAGCAGGTTCGAGGCCTCAAGTCAAAGGGCAAGGGCAAGGGGAAGGAGCAGCCTAGCAAGAGCCGCAGAGGCCCGCAGACATTTAGACAAAAGGATTTGAAGGATATGCCGCAGTTTGCGCTCTGTGATGCTATGCGGTTTGTCTCCCATGTCCGACCGAGATCCGTGGTTGATTAGACATTGACATCTTACAGATATATCCGAGCGATCGAAGTCGGCCGCGAACCTACTGTCCGCAAATACGAACTGCACATTCGCTTGAAAACAAAGCGAGATGGACCTGTCATCCGTAACATGATCCGGTTCCCGCACGCCGTCCAGACCGAATCCCGCATCTGTGTCATCTGTCCCCCAGGCTCGAAACACGCCACGGACGCCCTCGCCGCAGGTGCCGTTCTTGTTGGTGAACAAGAAGTCTTCGATTTGGTCAAGGCTGGCAAGATTGAATTTGATCGCTGCCTCGCTCACCCCGACAGTTTGCCCGCGCTCAACAAGGCCGCGCTAGGTCGTGTCCTCGGTCCTCGGGGTTTGATGCCCAGTGCGAAGACTGGTACAGTGGTTGAGAACGTGGCTGAGCGTGTTGAGATGCTCCGTGGTGGTACCGTGTACCGTGAGCGTGACGCCGTTATCCGCTTGCCTATTGGACAATTGGGCTTCTCTCCAGAGGAACTGCGCGATAACATGCGCGTGACCATCGACCAGATTAAGAAGGATGCCTCCGCACTGACTGACCGTGTCAACAAGGAGATTTATGAAGTTGTGAGTACTTGGACTATATTTCATTTGGAATTGGCCTCTGACAAAGCATTAGGTACTGAGCTCGACGAACGGACCGGGCTTCTCACTCAACGGAGAGTTCCGCACCAACGACTCCCCCGAAACCTCTGCCTTGAAGGGCGTGTAAACTACTTATTACTTTCTTATATCCTTTGGCGTGTACAAATTTATTGTTTTATTAGGAAGCATTGGTGTATCATGGTATCACTGTTGAATTAGACACTTTCATAAAAAAGAACGCCGACGCTATGTATGCAACCCAGTCTGTATTGAGAACAAAGCATGCGGTTTTTACACCTTGAGGTTTCTCAGCGCAGCGACAGCGCTGACATCCTCACCCATCAGTTCGTATATGCGCAGAATCGCCAATGTCCTGGCATCCCGTTTTCCGCCTGCAGTGGTGGCCTGCTCCAAAGCCGACTTGAGATCCAGGAGCAGTGTGGACTTGATCTTGGCGACTCGGGGTTGCAATGAAACCAGGAAAGGATGTTTCTCTCCGACTCGGGCAGCGATTGAGGTCAAATAGACAAACTTCTGGGCATGTCGTTCAAGCTTCTTTGATGACATTGCCGGTGTGCCATCCGCCAGCTCCTCATCATCGCTGTCCTCGCTCTCACTGCTGTATAAATCGGACTCTGTCTCCGACCCCTCCGGTGATTTAACATCCCGCTGTGATGAATTGGTTTTAATCATCAGCCGGTGTTCCAATTCCTCCACGCGATCTGCATAGTCCAGCAAATCTTTGCCAATGTCGGCGTTCGTTCGTAGCCGCCGCTTCTCATTCAGCAGTTCCTCCACTTCTCGGCGCCGGGCCTCGACCTTATCCCGAATAGCTTTAACATCACGCTGGAAGGATAACACGCCAACTTTGACACCTTCTACTTTCTCCTCGCCTCCCCGGAGAGAGGTTCCTAGAGAGAGGAAGTCCTGGTAGTTCTCATTCACCAAATCCAACAGCTCCTTGTTCAGGGATTGCTCCAACCCTCGCAGCTCTTGTCGCAAATCTTCGAGGCTCTGGTGACGATTTGTTAATGACGAGAGAAACGTGGCCGGGTCAAAATCAGGCGCGAGGAATGAAGTGCGGGATAGCGGCTCGGGGAAGGGAAGGCCTGAGGAGTCTTCTTCGAAGTCCGAGGCAGAGCCGTCGGAGTCGCCAAACTAGAAGAACGTTAGACAACATAAAGACTCAATGCTTCAGTATCCATACCTGGAAGCGATTCATGGTGAAACAAGTGGGCAATGGATAGTCAACAGGCGTCGCAGATCGGGGAAACGTGTTGTCGGTCTTGGCAGCCTCTCCGAAGTACAACAGCTTCTCCGCTTCACAGACATCTGATTTACACTAATCTGACAACGCAGCCTGCATTGCACATGCAAGATTCATGCACCATTCCAGAACTGAACCTAACTTAATTACCGGTACGTGTCTTTTGCCTTCTCGGAGCGGGGTTGTCTTGTATCTGTGTTGTCTCCTGCAAACTCCGTAGTGTGGATGGAGTCAGACACACTGTCTGCGCGAAGGGAGAGATCCCGGCTGTCGTCGTCTGCCTTTCCTCGACAAGGATGGCCCCGAGTGTCTCCGTCCCACGCGCCCCCAGTTGTCAACGCTTCAGATCCCTCACATCTGGCATATCCGCGAAACTACGAGTCTGCCGCTGAAGAGTCAGACCGGGCATATCGTACGACGGCTTTGCGCCAACTGACTGGAAACCCGAGACCTCTGTCCCGCACTAGTTGGGCTGATAACCCTGGCTCCGAACGGCGGTCGTCGACTTTGCCTACGCGGCCGGTGCTGGTGAGGGCTTACTCTGGCGATGCGGGAGATAACTCCTCTCAATCATCTGCTATGTCCGCGCGCCGATTCTTTCCATTTACTGGCTCCAGGGGCGCGGCTTCTGCTCAACCTCAACCTCAGCCGGATCTGATACTCCCGTCAGATAAGGACTTCAGTATCGAGAGCATACTGCAGGCGATTGAACCTGATATCCGTGGCACTCTGGAGTCCATCGCCGAGATCTGTGGCCGTAGCAAGCTGAGTCTTGCCAATGAATATGGAAGTCACATCGCACCTTTGGGTGAGATATGTGCTCCGCCGGGGGGTCTAGGACCTGTCGAGGAAGCCAGTCTTAGCGAGGAACAGCGGTCCGCCGACAACGTGGTTGTCCAAGATGAAGATATCAATATAGCAGATACTGGCCGGGATATGCAGCCATTCTCGTTCCATCGGTACTTGGAAAATTCACGGCATACTGCATCCATGCTCGAACAGAATGGTGCATCCCATCCAGCTGGCACTGGGCAGCCAGATCCCCTGATATCTCCTGCAATGAACCCTCAACCAGGATCAAGCATGGACATCGGTCTGGATACCTTGCCGCTTAGACGTGAATTTGCATCAAGGCCCAAGAATGGTGGCCGTGATTTACTCGCCAAGAGCGCCGTTCCTAGCAATATGGTACAGCAAGTACCAAACATCGCCACTCCAGCTCTGGTCTCTGAGGTTCATCTGGATGCAAGGGCTGACGGTCGCTCTTCTAACGAACCTCATCTGCCTCCCAAAGCTTCCCTCGATGACGCACCGATTATGAGAACCCCAGGGCCAGAACTCATTCAATCTCTTCTTGGTTGGCTAAAATGGCCTGCAGGTATTGCTGGGCCAGATTCTCGTCCTGCTTTACAGTCAGCTGAGGGTCGCTTGCGTGCTATGCTTGATCATGCCGGGAATCAGGATGCTGTTCCGGCTATGCTTTGACGGGTTCTTGGACGAACATGGTGTCCTGTTATGCGATATGATAATGACTTTGATACCTGCTAACCATGAAACAATTGTTCTAAAATCCATATTATGATTGCTTTGCAAAATGATAGATCAACGAGACCACAAACAACATCGAAGGTTGTAGGATGCGATATAAAAGAGAAGACCCAAAAAAAAATTTTTATGGGAATCTATTCAAAAATGCAATCACACTTTAATTGGATCAGACATCCTATTCATGTCCACGAACGCCAGGCTAGCTCTATAAATGCAACCGATGAACAATTATGTAGTAGCATCAAATGACAAGAAGTGTGTACAGGCCAAACAGCGCGCATACAGCGATGAAACAAGGTGGCAGGGGAAATATGTATATAAGGGTGAGTGGCCGAGGGGGAGATCAACTAGGACTCGGGAGATTCAGATCCCTTGTCCTGCGCTTGTTTCTCACCAGCCGGCTCTGAACTCTCAGGTTCACTGGCGATGGTCTTGGCTTTGACGACTTCGAGAAGCTTATCGCTAACTTCGCTGGCTCCTTCAATTTTGCTCAGTTTTGTTCGGAAGTGCTCGACATCGGCTTGCATGCTATTTTCTTTGTTAGTATCAAGGGTGTTTCGGATATGACAGATAGGAACTAACCTCTTCATTCCAGCTTCAGTCTGCACATCTGCCTCCTCAAAGGCCTTGGTCCATTGCTCCCGGTAGCTGTTGAAGACTGGAACCATGATCATGCTGACTGTCATATCTGGGAGATGCTTGCTCAAGACCCGATGCAAAGTGCCCGTCTCCTTGGCTAGTGTTTCCATGTAAGGATGAACGGCAGTGGAGCCACCCTTGGCATCCCATTCGATCTTTTTCATAGCATTGACATGGACAGAAGATCGTGAGCTCATGATATCCACCAGCTTCTCATGAATACCACTCTGGTGCTCCTGACACAGTCGCTTGACTTTGTCAAACTCGGCCATCAACGGGTTGGCCTGTCCGGAACGTCGCACAAATTCTCGTACATATGGCACCATAGAAATCACAAAGCTCAGTGCTTGCGATGACAAAGCAAGGTGTTTGGTTGTGATGTTCTTGAGACCTGCACTGCGTGTAGCACCAGCTCCAAGAATCAATTGCGATGACCGAGAGTTGAATAGTTTGAGTATATCTAGTAGGTGTGGCGCAATATCCTGCATCATGCTAGGGATATTCGCCATGAGGAACTCAAACTCCTCTATGGTGCGCATCATCGCCACAGCAGAGTCAGGCAGGATGTACTTTTGCTCGTCGATAACGGCAGTTCGAACCTTGGTTTTGTCTGTCCCGTTCGCGGCGGCATCTTTCTCAGGCCGAGCTTGGTCATTTCCGGAGACAGGGATCCAGATCTTGGAGATTTCGGTCCAGGCATCGATATCATTGGTGCTTGCTTCTAGAATCCGTGTCAAGATTGTGACTTCAGCGTCACCGAAATCCCGTGCATCCCAGCGGTCGGCATCCATGACTTTAACAATTTGATGGCGCTGGCTATCACCGAAGCGGGTGATGAAATCGCGGATTTGGTTGCCGACGATAGTCTTGAGAGTGGTACCACTGCGTCCCGAGATGGCCTCACACTCATCAGCAAACAGTCGGTTAAGGGTGAAGTATTGCAGGAATTGCTCTTTCGAAAGCTGGGCGGTCTGCTCGGATCGAACTTTTAACACCTTTGTTATCTGAGACTGGGCGATATCAACAGCCTGACCGAGTAGACTTGACATGTCCAGGACCTGGAGGATCTCATCTTGGGCCATGTCAGAAGCTGTCGGGCCGATCTGTGGAGACTTCATAGCTTGATCCAAGCTTTGTGGGTTGGGGCTTCCTGGAATGGGGCTTCGTGGTGGTGATTTAACGCCAGATGTTGGTGAATTTCCCAGGCCACTGGCGATATCGAGGAGGATTTTCACCTGAACGCTGAGTCGTCTGAGAGATTCGCTAATTCCAGTGTACACATTGACCAACATTGCGTACGCATCATCCGGATCGAGCGAACGCAGATTGCGAGCAAGAATCGATGACTTCTCTTGCTGACTTAATTGCTGGCCGCCATGCGTTGAAAGCGACACCATAGATTCATTATCGTCATCACTGGAGCTGGGCAAATATTTGCGAATAAGGCCCTTCATTTCTCGCAGAACAGCAGTCTTGAACGAAGTCGCCGCTGACATCGTGTAGCGAGATCGAGCAAGTCCATTGAGCTGGGTATCCAGTTGGGATCGCAGCTCATTATTGAAATTCATGTACGTAGGCGACACCGATACTCCAGATCGATTACCACCCCGCTGTCGCTGAAATGAAGCTCCCCAGCGCTGAAGTGTAACATCTGATGGCACAGATTTGACATGCTGTCGCAGATCTCCCAGTAAGTCATTCAAGAACCGGGTTTCATAGCCCATTCCAATACGCTGGCGTAGTTGTGCGAGATCTTCCGATGCTCCTTCCAAGGCCTTGATACCTCGCAGATCAATAATACGCCTGGGAGCATTCTCTTCGTGCTCCGCATCCTCCGCGGCGGCTTGATCGGAGATCTTCTCGCCAGCCATTAACTTTTCGACTTCCTCGAGCCCATCTGAAGCTTCCTCAATATCGCCCTGTTCAACGAGTTCCTCGCATCGAGATACTGATTCGACCACATCGCGAAGTTGTGCCACAGCCGCAGCCAGCATCCTTACATTTTCCCTCCGTCGTCTCAAGTTGACAATCTTAAGTCCTCCCAAGGCCATTTCTTTATCAATCTTTTGCAAATCCTTCCTTAGCAATTGTATCCGGTTCACCGAGTCAGCTGCTTCCGCGTGTAGCTCTCGAAGCGACCCTAGCGCAGTAAAGAAAGATTTTGATGCCGTTGAAATAGACGAAATTAGATGAATCTCCACAGTATCCATGTACCAGGACAGCTTTTCCTGAAGAATGGCATTTGTTGCTAGTGCTTTTCTGCCAGTTTGAACTGGCTCTAGGGCGCTCCCATTAGAACCTTTGTCATCCTTGATTGGTGGCCTGGGCGGTCGAACCACGTCGGATTTCTCTGATATCACATCGAATGTGCGAGGATTTTCCAGGTGGAATCCTTCGTCAAAATATACCTGAGGAATTGTGGAAAGGGGGGTCACAGCGGGACCGCGGCCACGGCCACCAGAGGATCGTCGGCCACGAGTATCATAGGGTGAAGATGGTCGTGAACTGGTCGACATGACCGAGGATCTCCGCTCGGGGGACCATGGCATCAAAGAATCGCGATCAGAGTCTGGCTTGGGAGACTTGGCGGCCTGAGTCGGTTGTGTGTCCTCCCCCGCGCCTTCTTTTGGTTGTTGGAACACATCGTACAATGAGCCCACTTGTGCCAGATATTGTTGGAACGCCTTCGGGTCCACACGTGTGATGTTTGTCAGAGTAACTGGAGGTATATCGCGGGACGATGGGGGCTTGTAACCGGCATTCGACACTGCACTCTGGGCCGTAAGACCGGTGCGGATAATCGGAGGCTGGAGAAGGGTCGAAATGGCTAGGTAGACGTTAGCAATAAAAATTGTGGCTTACTCGGAGCACATACCATTCTGTCCAGACTCTGCGATTGAGTCATGATGATGAGAAGAGTCCAGGACTCCTCCAATGCTCACGATAGAGCTCGCTGTTGATCCCCTCCTCAGGGGGTATCGTTGAGGGGGGACGCGGGGAGACTCCAACTGGCTTGTTGAATATGAAATTGAAGGCGAGGACACCCCAGATGCCAGGCTATCAATCGATTTCCGCGGACTGTTCGACATGGCTGTTCACACCCACGAGCCAGATCGGACGGCCACCGGGGGAGGGTCGATCGTAGAGATGTTCCGTGTTATCTGATCATGGCAGTGGATGAACCCTGATTGTGCTGTGACAGGCGATGGCGCAGCTTCCAATGCTGATCTTGTCAGCTCCTGCGACTCGCGATTTCGGTCCGGGATCAAGTTTGGGAGTTGAATGCTTGTAGTGGTTTTGTTCGAGCTGGCTATGACAGCTCACCCCCAATTGGGAAACACGCTAACCGCAATGCCGCATTCCCGGACTATCAATCCTCCGTCATTTCTGCCTCATAAACGAGGCTAAAACCACTTTACGCGCGAACTGCGACGCGTCGCGTTGGTGTTTCCACAAAAGTTTCCTTACTCCCTTCCACCAACGCTCATCCACCCAACCTGCCACATCTGCAAAATGGATAGACGCACCCCCTATACTTTGAGCGTGCTTGCGCCCAGCACAAATGGCGCTGATGAATCGCGTCAGACTATTCAGAACCGCCTGCGGGATTTCGTACTGGAATTCCAGCTGGATAATGCATTCATCTACCGGTACGCATCCCACATTTGAGAGGCCGCGATGGCCACTAATGATGCAACAGTGATCAATTACGACAAAATGCTCTTGTGAAACAATACTACTGCGATATTGACATTGCCCATCTAATTTCTTACAACGAGGAGTTAGCCCACAAGCTCACCACCGAGCCCGGCGACATCATCCCTCTCGTAAGTCTCTGATACCGCCGCCCGATTTGACTTCTGCTTACATCAAGTAGTTCGAGCTAGCTCTGCAGCAGTGCACTGCGCGAATTGTTCACCCAGGCCAGCGAGACATTACACTTCCCTCCCACCAGCTGCTCCTCCATTCCTCGGCATCGCACATCTCCATCCGTGATCTCAATGCTACCAACATTTCCCATCTTGTGAGAATTCCCGGAATTGTGATTGGAGCTTCCACGATATCTTCCAAGTCAACTATTGTGCACATCCGTTGCAAGGGTTGTGACCACAGTGAAAATATCAGCGTCGACGGCGGTTTCTCTGGCCTGTCGCTACCACGGCGATGCGGACGAGTCAAGGAGCCTGGTGACCAGGGCACCGGTGAAAATTGCCCCTTGGATCCTTACGTCGTTCACCATGAGAAATGTCAATTTGTGGACCAGCAAGTTCTCAAGCTTCAAGAGGCCCCTGACCAGG